AATTATGACACTACGGGCTTCGTAGGCTACATAGCAAAAGACGCGTGCGCACTGCATGGAGGGGGAAAGAGCGAAGGGGCTCTAGAAGACGGGTCCGCCATCCATGCTATTATGGAAAAGAAGGCACGAAGGCTAGGGTGGTAGGAAGGCAAGTAGGGAGTCTGGGAGGGTACTGGGTATGCACTCTGGCACTATAGCGCTATGGCGCCAGTACATCCGTGTACTGTAGGGCCTCACACCCCTGACCGTTGGCCCTAGGCTTTTAGGCCCTCTTGGCATCTGGGACTTACGCACCTGTCTCGCCTTACCAAGAGATGCGGCCAAGGCGGGCTGCATAGCTTCGCCCACCCTCAACACGCCCTAACCAGCTACCTCGATGTTTAACGTCGCCTCCAGGCCACCTTCTGACGTCCACAAGCCCCAAAAAGAACTTCACATTGAAGACTGGCCTGTCATGCCTGTGGTCCCTTTTTGCCGTCATCGTTGTTTTCCCCATAGAATAGGCCATGACGTCGAAAGAGCCGCCTCTCAGGACTCGCAGCAAAACAGCATACAGCTTCGTTCAACAATTGGGTGTGCATCATGGTATGCTAACCTGAAGGAGGTACAGTACCTATGACCACTGCTACTACATCTATTACTACAAATAGTATCATGGAATTGCGGCACTTGCTGAGGGCCGAGGGTCGATAATGGGTCGACGGTCGATAATGGGTGGCGGCCCATGGAATCCCCAGATTCAGGACGACCCAGGGCCTCCCTTCTTTTTTCTTGAGGAGGGGGGCCTCGTATGGGACCTAGACGCAACCACGGGCAACCACGGAAATTACGTCTCGCCAAGTCGGCACGTATCAAGATGCACCACGCTACTACTGCCCGACAAGATCGTCGGTCAAGCACTGCCTCATCTCGGATTATGCCAGTCCCCATCACCACGAGTAAAGGAGAGTGCGCTGCTCAAAAGAAGGGAACGAAGTAGAAGAAATAACAAGAGAAAAAGAAGAAGAAAACCAACTAGACCGATCTGAAGAGGCCTCAGCCTTTCGCAAAACCCGGACCAGGGCATTTCAAATGCCGGTGGCTGATGCGGTTCGGCGCCCTACAGCCTACAGACAATCAGCCAGCCTGGAACTTGGTCACACTGCAGGCCAGGCTGCCAGGCTGTCAGGCTAGGAGCTGAGAGACGCAGGCTCAGCGCCCTCCCCCAAGGAGACAATTTGGTGCGCAGCTCAACTGCACGTCGCATCGTACAATCACCACGCGAGGACAAAATTGGGCCGCCAAGGCTGGCAGGATGATCGACACAGCACCCTCGCTTGGTTCCGGCCCGCCTAACCTACCATTCTGGACGCATCGCATCTCCGTTCGACCCCCGCATTTGCCCTCATCACAAGTCATCAACATTGTGAACGAGAGACGCCCTCAGCACTGCCGACAAAACCAGGGCTTTCACTGCCTTGCGAGACGCAACATCCCACGGAGCCTGTCCAGCCGCCAGACGCTTGCTAGTGCAGCAGCGTCGGCTTCCTGACCCCCTTCGGGTTTAGCAAGCTGTGTTGCGAGGGGGGGCCACAGATGGGTGGGGGAGAGGGGGGACCCCAGTGGGAGGGGGTTAGCCCACCCTCCCCCTCAAAGGTCCCGTGCCGCCAGTGGCTAAGCCGGCGCTCTGCGGCAACGGTCATGGAAGCATTCGAAGCCCGATCGAAGGGTCTCGTCATGGATCCTGTCTGTCTACTCTCAGCCAATCCAAGCGTCCAGCGACATGTTAACGCCTCACCGAGACCAAGAAAGTGTTCAGGCCACAAGAAGCACAGACAGCTACTACTACACTAGTCCGTTCATCTTGCACGTTATGATATCGGGAACACGGAGGCAACAATGTGCTGCAATACGCGCGGTCTCGTCCGTGAGAATTGAGTATCAGGCAGGTCCAAGTCTAGCTGCTGGCCGCTGCGGGTTTGTCGCAGTGCCATTCGGGGCTTAATCAACCTGGGTCAACAAAAAAAAAAGTTGGTGCATCGAAGGTGGCTCGTCCGCTTGGCGCTCGAAGGGAGGGCCCCTTTGCTGCAGCTCTGCAACAAGACGTCATGTTCTGGTTCTTTCGTTGCTCAAGACCTACATGCCTCTATCGAGTTCCAGGCACCTTGACCACCAGAAAACAATGCCACCCCACGCAAGGAGACTTTCACGGGTCATCTGCCGGCAAGATCTGGCACCTATCATTTGCAGCTTCAGGATACATGATGACGGCAGCGCCAAGTCACGGACGAATCTGGGTTCACGCTCGTCCTTCCCTTTCCCCCCACTCCCCTCTCCTCAGCTTTTCAATATGCTTGCGGCTTTGCAAAATTAGGGAGGGGGGGGGGGCGGCTTTAGACGGTGTCTGCACAACAATACCAGACCTAAAATATCTCTCGACTCTTGCCTGTCCACAAGAACCTGGGCTGTCAACCCCTCTACAGTGAAACACAAGCCAGTCGATACCAAGCTTGGGCCAAGACATCGAAAAAAGATGATAAGCTTTGTGCTCCATATGCCCCATGAGTAAATCCAAAGGGAACATGCTTGTTCTTCAAGAAACCAACCCCCATGAAGATGATAGCGGGTAAAGTTGAGTTGGAGCCGGCAATGACGACAAATTGGGTGTTAGACGGCCTTGTTGACCAATGAGAAGACTTGACACGCCGCAGAATCCTGGCTTGAACCCAGGATTACACCACGTCCACACTGGACTCTCCTCTCTCTCTCTCTCTCTCTCTCTCTCTCTCTCTCTCTCTCCCTTTTACTCTCCTCTTGACAGCCAGCAAAAGAGAGCTATGCAAGCCACACTATCACGACACCCTGCGCTACAGCTGGTTGAATCGTGGGCCATATCAATATCGTACGACTTATGAAAGATATGCGAACAAACTTATGCATGATGGAGTGGGCTTCTAATGGAATCTCGAATGTCCGGAGCAAGCTGCTACCGCTGCCCTGAGCGTCTGACAGATCTAATCCTGGGCGGGGGCCGCGCAGGTCCTCAACCCTGGTCTCGTACAGATATTGTGATTAGTTGATCTAGCCGTGATGACGGTTCCCCCGCCGTGGCCGACCCTGGCTCGTACGGCCAGGGCAAGCTCTTCATTCCTCCCGGCGCTTCTACCGCGCCGTTACACACACTACACGAGAAGCTATGGAGAACAGGACCACCGGACCAGCCCAGGTTGAGTAAAAGCAAGCTCAACGCCAAACCTCTCTCATGCCTCTCTCTTTCGCTGTGCGACAAGGACCCCAGCCTTCTGCAAAGAATAACAAGAGGGCTGAGTGACCGAGTGCCTGAGCGTCTTCGTACCTGTCATCTCATCTCTAGTCTCACCAGTCGGCGGACGTGCTTCAACCCCCGCTTTTCAACATATTATGGGCACCTGTCTCGCTCGAACCTCGTCTGCCCTGGAGCAGCCGGCAACCCCCCAATCAGCGCCTGGCAACCTCATCCTTCCGCGCCAATGTCGGCGGGCCTCCCTCCCCTGGCCGCAGGGATCGTCCGCACCTCCGTTCGACCTGCTGCAAGTCAAAAAGGTTGTTCGGTCGCTCTCATTCGTGCGAGTGGGGTCAACAAGAGATCGATGCAGGTGGACCCCTCAGCAGCACCGCGGTCGTTGATCCCCCTGCCTTCACGGATGACCACCGTGATCCGCTAACCTAAAATCCGGCACCCCACTCGTCAAGTCTTCCTTGTACTCCGTACCATAGTACTCTCGACCGAAGGCACCCCCTCCCCTTGTATGCAGCCTGCGATGTGCAGATGCGCTTGCGGTCCTGTGCTGCACACTGGCTGCGGTGGATCGGTTCTACCTCGCTCGCTCGTGAACTCACTTCACACAACGGCACCTCTTGCTCCCATGTGCAATTAGCATCAGGCTGGCTGTGCTGGCTGGCCCCTCTTCCTCCTCCTCCTCCTCCTCCCACTACCATTGCCTCGGACTGGTCTCACTCAGACATATGTCCAGGACACACAATTTACATGAAATTCTGCTTGTCACAAGTGGTTTTTTTGGTTTTTTTTTTTGACCAAAGCCGAGGTTTTACCCTCTCGTCGACAAAAGTGCGGTACATCGAGTCCGCCCCTCCTCCTACGCATACGTGGGCCGTTTCGCCTCCTCTCTCGGTCTGCTCTCCATCTCTCATACCAAGAAATGGAGCAGTGGCACTCACACGAGATAAAATGACCGGCCGGCTGTGGTGATGCTGCGTTATCCGACACGGGTTTTCTGAGGAGGGAGTGGCCCCGGGGCGGGGAGGGGCAGCAGTCCAGGTCTCCATTCTCGAATCCTCACGCCCAAGTGTGAAGACAGAGAGACAGACAGTCTCGATGAACAGGCCAGACCACACAAGAGACAGGGCTCCCGGCCACCACCCCTCCACCATCCGCGCATCCTTGGTGGTGGCCGCAACCCACACACCCCTCGGGTCTCAGCAACCTTTGCCTCCACTTGTACCTCGCGCGCAGGATGAATCCCTGCCCCGATAAGTGATGAGGGGGACCCATGTACCTACATAGTACATGTAGCCTACCTTTGGCGTCCCGTAAAGGATGCCATCTTTTGTGGAGGGGATGCAACTCGTCTCTATGACCTATGGCTCTTTTAGTACTACCCAGAGAGGGACTTCGCCTACCTACTTGATGGACCTCACGCCCATCTTCTCTCGCTTCAATATTTTCTTGCCATACTGCCTTGCATCTTCCCATCACTTGGACGAGTTTTGCCATGACAGCCTTTCTTCCATATTAACTCCCATTTACCCAACCACTCCCCTTCAACCCTGAGCGTTGACGCCGCCACCTCTCCTTGACCACCTTCAACAAACAATATCCGGTTGACGGTACCTTCTGATCCCTCCAACAAAGTCTCCTCTTCTCCTCTGGGCTCTTGCACACAATCATCCTTGCCACATTCTTCCTGCAACCTTCGGAGGATCTGGTTCTTTTCTCTTTCCACTCTTGCAACCTTGTCAAAATGACCGTCCCACTACCAACTCCGTCGAACCCCAAGTCTGATGCGGCTGCTGTGCGCAAGCGGAGGAGACGTGCGCCTGCAGGTGGTGCTGCGGATGATTGCTTTACCTGTACCAAGAGGGGCGTCAAGTGTGACCGCAGGAGGCCCTACTGCTCGCAGTGCTTGGAAGTCGGAAACGAGTGCTCCGGATACAAGACCCAGCTGACCTGGGGCGTGGGTGTGGCCAGTCGTGGGAAGCTCCGCGGCCTCTCGCTACCGATCGCCAAGTCGCCCCCGGTCAATCCTGTCAAGAAGAGCTCCCCCAGGGCGCGGGCGAACTCGAGCATTACCAGCAGCACCGCAGGACATGGACATGCGGCGAGCGCTGGCCACTGGCACGAGCAACAAGAGTCTCTCTCGCCCCAGAGTGTCCGCAGCGACATAGACGGGCCTGTGGAGCACCACCGCTATGCTACTTCCATGCCTGCCACTCCGTTTCACGGTCTCGATCTCTCCAAGATCACACACGCAGAGCCTACGCCTCCTATGCCAGCGGTCCCCAGCCACTGGCACGGCGTGCCCTACGCGACCAGCCTGCCAGGGGAAGGTCTTCGCTTCCCCAAGCTGGGCCCAATCCTCGTCCACGGACCTCCTGAGCCGCTCGCCTCGTCCATCGAGTCGCTGAGTGATGCAGACTACCTGTCACCGCTGAGCAACACCTTCTCGAGGGATGATCTGCCCTTCGTCACCAGCCCCACGCACATCTACGCTGAGAGCTACAACAGCGCCAACTCGCCCGTGCCCCAGAGCCCGGTATCATCCATGATGATGGACCACGGCCGCGCGCCCACCTCGTGCCCCAGCCTGGTGTACGCGCCCTCTGAGCCCAGCTCGAGCATCCACTCTCACATGGACGGCTTTGAAGCCCACTTGAACACCCGCCTGATGGATTACGAACCACTTGGTGAGATATTGTTCACCTCTCAATACGTCTACTAGGCTCGTCGGGACTAATAATGTCCTCAACTGTTCCAGCAACTCCTGGTTTGGACGCCTACAGCACAAGCGCCCAATCTGAGAGGCACTTTTGGGCTTCGCCGGAAGAGGACAAGGTTTCGCCCCGTGGTAGTGGTGGCCTCCCAGAGCACTCACTTCCCTGGTCGTCGGTCATGGATCAACAGCCGGTGCTACCGGTCAACCAGGATCTGATCGCCAAAATCCCTTTCTTTATGGACTATTATGAAAATACCATGTGCCCAGGGATGGTGTTCATCGATGGGCCGCACAATCCTTTCAGGGAACATATCATCGCCCTTGCCACAGGCAGCCGGAGCCTGCAGCATGCCATCTGTGCGCTTGCTGCATGCAATCTACGGATGAAGAGGAAGCTGAGCCTGGCGCACGGCCAGGATGAGAAGGATGTCCACAACAGCAACAACAACAACAATAACAATAACAACATGTCTCCACAGGCAGCGGAGATTCAGAGCGACGACAGGACGCTCTCGGAGGAATACCAGCACCGCAATCTCGCTGTCAACCTGCTCAACGAGCAGCTGAACGACCCGACCAAGGCACGGGGCGATGCCGTTCTCGCCACGATCCTGCTCCTTTGCCACTACCGGATGGCGGAGTCTGGGATTGCCAAGTTCCATACCCAGTTCGCCGGTGTGAAGAAGATTCTAGGCATGAGGCGTTCATCCCCTTTCCCCCCTTCCAGAGACTCTGCGTGGATGGAGGCCCTCTTCACCTACTTTGACGCCATCTCGGCGAGCATCAATGACCGCGAGGCCCAGCTCAACACCTCCTTTTACGGCGTCATGCCGGATGCCCAACTCCTCCCTCCCGGCGCAGAGAACCTCGTGGGCTGCGACCGCGAGCTCTTCAAGACGATTGTCAAGCTGGGCAGGCTTAACCTCCTGTCTCAGCACCGGCCGGTGCAGAACCTCCTCACAACCGCCCCACCGCGCGGCGTGCCATCGCGCTCTCAGTCGCCGCTTGAGCTGCCTCTCGGCCATGTCTACAAGACACAACACCAGCACCACCTCAGCGCCGATATGTTCAGCAGCAAGCCTCAGCAGCAGCAGCAGCAGCACCACCACCACCACCACCAGTACGACAGCATGTTTGGCCCGCCTCTCGAGGAGGAGCACGTTCTCTCCCCCCTGATGACCTCGCCCTCCTCGGCCTATGACGACCACCGCTCGACGTTCTGGCGCGAGTGGAAAGACGCACGCATCGCTCTGCAGTCCTGGGAGTTTGACGCGCAGCGTGTGCTCGCAGCGCTCCCCGCGGGGTTGGCAGCCACGCCGGCCCAGGTGCGCGACTTGGGCTCGCTGTCTGAGGCATTCCGGTACGCGGCGCTCTTGTACACGGAGCGTCTGGCCAGCCCCAACGTGTCGAGTGCGCACAACAACTTCCGCAATCTCGTCAGTCAGGTTGTGTACTACGCGACGAGTCTCGAGGCGGGCTCGTCGGCCGAGAAGTTCCTCTTGTGGCCTCTGTTCGTCGCAGGCTCCGAGTGCGTCAACGAGATGCAGCAGGGCATGGTCCGGTCCAAGTGTCGGGAGATCATGGCCCGGTCGGGCTACATGAACAACCTCTCTGCACTGGACGTGCTCGAGAGGATCTGGGCGGGTGAGGGCCGGGATGGCCAACAGGAGAGCAAGCTGGGCAGCCTGGTCAGGCGGGCCCCTTTCAGCTGGACAAGGTGCATCGGCGGGCCTGGTGTCGAGGTCGAGTGGATCATGTTCTGATGAGTCCAAACCGGACCAAAGAATGAAAAAGACAAGAACCTCCCTGGAGGATTTCTCTCGTTTTGCACAATGATGACACACGCATACAAACATACTTTACATATTCACGATCATGGCTACGGCAGGACTTTGGGGGGGAGGGAGGGTTGGGACTCAACGTCGTTGCTGTGGCCTATATTGTCGGCTAAGGAACGCTTTGAAGAAAAACAAATCGGCATGAACTATGGGCGGACGGCATTCGGGATGAAAACGAGATCTTATGGGTTTTACGTCTGACGCTGGTGTACGATTACTATTCGGAGCCACTGATGGGTTTTCTCGTAAAACTCATCTTTTTTTTTTTTTTTCTTCTTTTCCGTTTCGGTGGCTTTTGATTTCTTTCTGTCTCTTGTTTTGTCTCGCATGATGGACATAGTGTTTTTTTCTCCTGATTATTCTCTGTCGATAAACTGTATCTATACCGATTGATTTAGTCGAATAAGCTGAGACGATTCATCCTCATCAGCCCCTTGTCCCCCCCCCCCTCCTCCCTTGAGAGTTCTAGAACCAGCAGTGACGCCGTAAAGGGAAAAGGGGTCTCTACGTTCGGTACTCTACTGCAGTGTACGCCAAGAGAGGGCCGTAGGTGCCAAATCGGAAGTAAGCATGCCAAGCAGCAAATGAGCCTCACGATCTCAGGAGGGTTGGTACCGCTCTCGCACTCGCTACAAGTTGCCAACCGTACTATTGCTACAGGACTGCTATTACCACCAGTACTAACGTGATCCCATTATTCTTGAACCGTGGCCCGGACGGACGAGTGAGTTGGCTAGCCAGTTGGTTAGCCATCCATTCAGAAGGGGGGGGCGGGCGGGGAGGAGGAGGAGGAGGAGGAGGAGGAGGGGGGGAAGACCAGCGCCAGCACCCGCAGGAGGAAGTAGTGCCATTCGCACTCGGTGACCGAAATCCGATCATGTATGTATTTCTTTTATTTTTTTATTTTTTTTTGTTCTTTTGTCTTCGTCCTGCGCCGTGGCCCTTTGTTGATTTTTTTTTTTCGATTATTTTTAATAGCAAATCTCTGTTATTGCATTGCGATGGGGAAAGAATCACACACACCTTGGTTTCATTGGGGAAACGAGACCCTTGCTCTGCCTTGGCTTGATAGTCTTAAGTTTATGCAATGGATGGGCGTACGGTACGTTGGGCTTGGCTTTGTAATGTGTGCATGCATATGCTTTTCCGTGGGTGCACTAAAAGCAGACCGGGACCCTTGCCATGTCTTTTGCAGGCGCTAAGTTATATACGTCGTACGTGATGATGCCGTCTCCTATACTACATAATACGGACTACTGCAGGCGCGCTTGCGAAATGGAGGGGGGCAAGGGCAGGGTAGGTGTTGCGTGTGTGTGTTGCGTGTTGTTGTTGTGATTGTTGTGTTCTGGCCTGGGCCTTATCTCGATGTCAGTGTGGGTGACGACCTTTCTCTCCTTCTCTCTCCCCCCCCCCCCCCTTTCCTTTGAGAGTAGAAGAAGACGACGACGACGATGACGAGATGAACAAGTGCCATTGGTGGTCGTATCATATTTGTCCCAAAAGAGAGCCAAATTTCATGCTGTGCCGTCCCCCCCCCCCCACCCTTTGTCTTCCAGCTACCCTCCTCATTCTGCTTGCCGCTCCCAAATTTAACAGCTGGAGTGGTCTAACAGACGGGAATCAGATGTCAGAACGGGATGTTTCCCCCGTACGAGCGAGACTGAGCTTTGTTTGTGTTCCCAAGGTCACAGCAGCTCTCATGTCATGGCCCTCTTGGCTGCAACACTGCACAGTACTACCCTCCCTCTTTCTTGCTCGAAGCCATAGCATAATTCGCCGGTGGGAAAAGTAGCAGGGGTTTGGGTTGCGTTTCTTTCCCACCCTGGCGTCCTGCATCGTAGATCACGGATGGGCTTATGGAGACCAACACACACTTCCTGGTTTCCCCCGCCCTCTCTGAGCTTTCGGCGCCGGGTCTCCTTCTCGGACTTGATGGTCGGATGTGTTCCTTTATTTTCTTTTTTTCTTTTTTCCCTTCATTTCCTTTTTCATGCCTACGAACCGACTTTTTCTCTAGGGTCTTGCTATTGTGACCTGTGATTACTTATATAGTTAATTATTGTATACCGATTGGTCGAATATGTGGGCCTCGTCCCGATCTTATAACATACTTAAACAACAGCCTTGTGGGTTGTAAGTAGGGAACCCCCTGATAAAACAAAGAAGCACAACTGGCTACTATCATCTATCTTTGAGGAGGGCCAACATAAGAAACCTGGAAGGAAACGATTCGGCCGAAAACAAGGAGAAAGATAAAAGTCTCACACCATCTCGTGTCCGAGCCTGTAATCCACCCAATACGGTCGAGCCGCCCTCCTCCTCTTCCTTCTCCTTCACTGCACCTCCACGCGGAGGGCCGGACGATACTGGGCGGAGCAAGCAAAACAAGCATGTCGCTGCAGTGTTGCATCCAGGGGGGGCGCGACAATAGGTGTCAGTGTGTGAAGGGGCGGAAAAAAGCGGGTTTCCTATCCGCGTGGGGGTTCCAATTTCTCCCCCACCGGACTGTCTGCAGCGAGCATTTCCTCAGACACGTAGCATAGAAGTGCAGCTGCAATGATACCCTGAGTACTTCTCTCTCACTTTCTCTCTCTCTCTCGCTCTCGCTTTACAGCAGTCTAGTGACACGGTTGCTACACGGTGTATATCGTATATAGCAAGTAGCCCAAATCCCAGAAAGAAGAAGGAAAACTGCACTTGCTGTAGCGGGCGCCGTTCAAGCTCCTCCTTCTATTCTCCCCTCCCCCTCCCCCGGGCGTCTTTGTGCCGTGGATTCCCGGTCCAACCTTTCCACCCCACACGCCAGCGACGTCGTGATGCAGGACGACTCATGCGCCCGCCATGCATGCGCGCGAAATCCAGGAACTAGGCATCGTATGTATGTACGTATGCTCTTGTGTATGTGTGTGTCCCCCGCCCCCCCCCCCTTCCAAGTAATTACGCCCTGTGTGCTATCTATGTGGGCCAGACACTTTTTCATGCAGGGTGTTGTTGGATGGGGATGTTGGAGGAGGTCCCACACCACCATCATGATGAGAGCACGCATGCACCAAGTTGCGAGGCGCCGAGCCTCGTTTGATTGTGTGGGAGAGGGCTGTGAAAGTGCATAACGTGGAGTGCTGTTACTACTTAACTATTGTAAGCAGCAGTGCATGATAATTTCCCTGCATCGTCTGTGGGTGATTAAGCTCTTCATGATGTTGATGGTCTGCTTACTATTGTATGTATAAAAGTACGTGCGTGCATACTCTAGTAAGTACTATACAGTATTATAGCAATATCTACCATGAAATGTGCACATGTAAGTGCGTATAAGTGAGAGTGCTATATAGTACATGCGTACCACAGGATTACATACATTGGTCACACCAGTTACTTCTTCTCCTCCTCCACCGTGCCCCGTCCCTTGTCACGGAGAACACAAAAGCTGAATGAACAAGACCACTTGCAGACAAAGACCCCCCGGCCCGTCGGCGGTCCACATGTAGCCTGCAGCCGCCTTACCATCCGTCCAACCACAACCGCAGCTTGGGGCTTCTAGAAGGGCTTGGACGGGATGGGACGTGATCTTTTTGAGGAAAGGACACAAGACAGGTACTATGGGTAATCAATGTATTAGTGCCTGCTATGTACCATAGTATGTAGTGCTACTGTACTGTACTTGGACCCACGGCCCCTCACCACCCTGCTTCTTCTTGTTGTTCCTCCTCCTCATTCTACTAGCCCAAGAAGAGGCCCCCTCGAACCAAAACCAGCCAACAGGAAGAGAGGGACATGGACACACACAAACATACACCCCTGGGGGTGGTATTACAATTCTAGTCTTCTTACCTCCCCAACAACCCCCCCTCGTTCTATCCTTCCTTCCCCCCCCCCCGGGCGCGCAAGGCTGTCCGGGCGCATCCACCCGCCCACTCACACTTCACACACGCACACCACACTTTTATCTCACAACCATCGGTGCTACGCTGCACCGTCCTCCCGTCTGCCGGCGTCATCATGCTTCTAGAAGGGTTCTCGAAAGAAAAAGAGGAAGGCAGAGACAGAAGAGAGAAGGGGGAGAGAAAGAAAGAAGAAATGGGGGGGGTGTTCCATCCTCCACCAACGGATGACGGAGAGAAATGAAGTGGATCTCCAACTCAACTTCCTAGGCCGGAAAGGTCTTCTTACTCTTGTTGCAGGAGACGCACGGCATGAGGCGCGTCCTGAGATATGCGTCCTTGGCGGCTTCTATCACACGCTTCTGTAGCCTCGGAGGTGGGAATGGGGTTTTCTTTTTTTTTGATGTATGTGTGTGTTGCATGCAGGAGAAATAGAGAGAGAGAGAGAGAGAAACAGGACCTACATACATGGGGAGCGGGGGCGCTAGAAGCGGCAGAAGGGGGAGGGGAAGACGGGAACGGGAAAGATGAGGGGTGATTTTTTTTTTGGGGGGGGGGGGGTAGGGGGACAAGCCGACCGAACATGCATGTGCTTTTGTGTGCACATGCAAAAACTACACCACAAGGAGGAGATGGCTTCACGGACCGAGGGAGAGAGAGAGGGAAACGAAGGAAAATAAGCTTGGTACCATCGCGAGGCTCGTCCTCCGGTCTCCGTCCGTTGGTTGTCGAGTGATGTAGCTGGCTGTGAAGGTTTGTCGAATTTAGGGTACTCGGCTTACATTTTTCATTTTTCAACGGTTTTCAACGAGGCTATTACACATAGTCCTGCATACTACAGATAGGAGCGGGGAGAGGGTAGAGAATCTCAGCAGGAGTGACTGTGCACAGACACACACACACACACACACACACACACACACATTCAGAGAGAGAGAGAGAGAAAGAGAAAAGGTGGACTGGGGGAAATGCTCGATCATGTGCTCTCTGTCTCGATCCACCGTCAAGGACCGCCCCCAGTTCCAATATCGAGGTGTGATCGTCAGGCACTACTGTTTCCCCAGGGCCCACCGCCCATGGGCAGACAATTTCTTCTAGAAATTCTCGAAGGCCTCGTAGTCGACTAGAACATCAAGATCGAAAAGGAAAGAGGAAGAGAGGGTTGGGGGGGGGGGGGGGCGAGCGGCAGGTGAAGAGTTGGAATGAACCCTGAGCCCGACGTCAGAAGAGAAGGAGGAAGACCGGAGAAGATTTCTTCCCCAGGGGCTCCTCCGCCCGTTCCCGACAAATAGCAGCATTCGTCGGAAAGTCGGGGGTTTCTGACTGCAAGCAAGCATCATTATCATCATCATCATCTTTTTGCTGTCTGTTTCCAGGCCCAGGGACTTTTCCGGGCGGACGAAAATGGCATTGGACTACCCGACTGGACGGGGGTCAAGCCTGCTACAGATGAGAGAGAAGAACGGAGGGGGGAGCGGGTAGACAAGAAGGAGCAGGGATTCTTTGAGGTACATAGTTGCAAAGGAAAACGGCTTCTCTCGGTCGACTCATGTGCTTTGTTGGGGGCGGAGAGGGGAAGGGCATTACTTGCTGTTGTGTTTAGCTCGTTCCCTCTTTTTACTCTTTGCGAGAGGAGGAGGCTGGGCTGGGCTGGGCTTGGGCCTCAGACTTGCACCTAAGGCTGGCTTGCAGTCAGAGAGGAGGGGGGTCCCACTTGCGCGGTAGATGTCGAGGCCGGCCGTGGGTCCGCGGAGTGCGTTCGGGGTGGGGGTCACGGGGGAGGCTTCTCTTTTGCTCTTCTTCACCGTCGGTGTGGATTGGTTGTTTGGATTCACTTGGTTTGCTTGATGTAATTACTGTAGTAAATAACAACACTGGCAATAGTCCTCATTCGTGTGCAAAGTTGAGTTGTGTTGGAGAGAAGAGCAAAATTGTAACGTAATAGTTACATACTCGACTTGATTGAGAAACGAAGGGATGGACAACAAGATTGTGCAAACAAGCACTCAATTACATCAGTCACCAATGTAAACGTAGATCTGCAGAGTTGCCATCTTGATTCGTGAGTGATATTACAATGACAGCATCCATTGCAGCTATTTCTCACTTTTGCATGCATCTGGCCAGAGAGAATATGTTGGCACACTTCTGTGTCTTTTGTGACCATTAGATTGAAGTGTTTTGAATGATTGTATGATTCGCGTGCTTGTATACTTCTTGCATTGATTTAGAAATGTGAAGCACTTAGGCCTGCTGTAATTGAAAGTTAGAAAAGTACTTTACTCTCTGAAGAAGAGCACACACTTGTCTAATTAATAACTCACCGTTGAGGACACCTGCGAGTTATAACTCGCTCTCCGAACATTCCTCTCCTCCTCATCATAAGTCGATTCACTCATGAACGGACTGCGTGCTCTGATGGCAGGTCCCTTGAACAACAAGACCACAGGAATCACACTCATGGCGACCCCGACAAAGCCCAGCAGCGAGCCAGCCCAGCCAAACCCGAGGTTGGCAAACAGAGGCTTGGCAGCCAGAGGCAAGAAAGCCCCAAAGGTGTTCCGACCCAGGCTGGCAGCCGAGAGGGCCGAGGCGGCGTACTTCTCGTAGGCGTCGGTCAGGTAGTTGACGACGCCCAGATAGATGCTGTAGATGCCGACGCCCACGCAGGCGATGCCGCACGTCGGCACAATCCAGTGCACACTGCCGCGGCACGTCCAGCCGTACCAGAACAGGCCCGCGGCGAAGAGCAGCGAGCCCGGCACGGCAAAGTACAGCCGGGCCTCGGGGATGGGCTTGCCGGGCCGCTCCTTGTTGCGGCGGCTCGACCTGAGATAGGCCCAGTCCTGGATCGGGTTGATGAGCGTGGCGATGACGGCCCCGGCGCTGATGGCCAGCTGGACCAGCCCCGTCTGCAGCGTGTCGAAGCCGTACGCGTCCTGGAAGGTCTGCACCACGGAGCTGAAGAAGAGGAACAGCACGCCCCAGGCGAAGGACACCCACAGCGTGAAGAAGATGACCACGGGTTCGGTCGTGAGCATCCGAGAGGGCCGGTAGAAGGAGATCTTGAGCTGCTGCAGGACGGAGTCCCGGGACAGCTCGCTCTCGGCGTAGATGGGCTTGCCCGTCTCTTTGCGCAGTCTCTTGGCGCGGCGGGCGAGGATCACGTCGCCTCGCGTCTCGCGCAGGATGAACCAGAAGATGGGAATCAGCCCGGCGTTGTAGATGATCTGGATGTAGAAGATCCACCGCCACGGGTCGGTCTTTTGGATCTGGACAATAACGCTGCCGACAAAAGGGCCAAGGGCGATGCCCGCCACTGAGGTGAAGCCGAAGAGGGACATTGGCAGGGAGCGGGCCCTGTCGCCTTTCCATACATCCGCTATGCTGCCGCCGACGATGTTGATGCTGACTGATGAGGCACCACCTCCAAACTATTCATTAGGATGGTTATGGTGTCAGTGGAGGGATCATGCTAGTGAGTGATGAATTGCATCGAAGTGAACAAAGGAAGCGCATTGCCGATAAACGAGAACAATAATTATAGAAGACGTACGAAACGAGTCACAACAATCGTGGCATAGTTTTGCGCAAAAGCAGAGCCAAAGAGAAAGGCCACAAAGATGATGTAGGCTCCAAAATACCTTGAGGTGAATAGTCAGTCAGTATCAGTTCTGCTATGGTCACCAAAATTGTTATCTTCCAGGTCGCATCTGGGAGAAGCTTTCATCCATACATACCCAGGCATCCTGCCCTTGGATTCTGTCAAGGGAACAAAGATCAGTGGCCACAGCGCAGCACCCATGTTCCACGACACCGTGGCCCAGATGGTATTGTCAAAGGGGCTATTCAGCACGGCAAACTGGCTGCTGATGTACGACGCCCCGGCCCCATAGCTTCCCGCCGGGAGCCCCGTCAGGATCGACACAAAACAGATGGTCACGGTGAGCACCCATTTGTACCAAAAGGGCCAGTTGAATGGATTGTCCGGGTCGTCCGGGCCGTTCCAGCCGTGGATGATCTTGCCGTCCTCGGTGACCTTCTCTGCACCGGGCACGCCCTCTGCCTGGCGGCCTCGCTGTGGTCGCGCTGCCGTTGACGTCCTGCTTGTGCTGTTTGCTGTTGTTGGTCTGGTTGTGCTATCATCTGACCATACAGACTGAAGGGGCTGGTCTACTGATATGGTAGAAGGTAAATCAGTAAGCCAAGTCAGTCAGCGGCCAGGTCTTGAGAGGTAGAGAGAAAGGGAGAGAGACAGAAATGAAATGAGGAGAGAGAAAGACAAGAACAATATTGACCGAATAATTACCTGGACCTAGAGACGAACCATATCCGACGTGGTCTTGCTCGTCAATGTTTTGGTCGGTCATTGTTCAACAGCCCAGCTTGCGCTTCTCAGCTTTCTTCAAGTCCGTGGCCCCCTGAAGAAAAAACACACACAACCCTGATGGAGGAGCTGTTAGGAATCAATTGTATTAGATGCAACAGCAGAAGGCTCCATGAAAGCTGGATCGTAACAGCGACATGAGAAAGCAACGTTAGCCTCTGGCGGCCGAATTGGCTGCTCTCGACGATCAAGGCCACGCGCCATCTTGAATAAATATTCTTTCCCCATCTGACGCGGCCCCTTTCATTTTACTACACATGGATCCATGTTTGACAGAAACGGGACGTCGAACATTGTCAGAATCCGGCTGTTGCGGGGCCTTCTTTTTTAGCTGGAGAATGTGAAGTCATCGATTCGTACGGACGGGTTGTACGCCAAGGACAGCTGTTTTTAGAGTTTCTTGTCTGTTCTTGGACTGAAGTGATTAGCTTCGTACAAGCCGAGAAATTAAAATGTGTGTGAAAGCAGTCGACGTCATCATCCAAAACGCAATTCCTCTTATGTAAAGTGTCTCACTTTCATACTTTTTCTAATATATTACCTTTTTACTCTTTTCCAATCGGCAGTCTCAGATGCCAAGATTTTCTTAAAGGCTCCTCGTGTCCAAGGCTAATTTGGTTGTTACATGTCAAAAAATAGAGCAATTGTGTGGTATTCAAAAATAAACGCCATTGAAAGCCATGAGGCTTCGTACATAGTCGTTCCTGCAATGAAACCCACGTTAGTAACTAATAGAACATACAGGAGTTTTTATATTGGTCTGTCAGTGCTGTCGCATCGATTTACGTTCAAAAAGAATGAAACTTTGTTCTATTCTAAGAAAAAGCATGGAAAACGCCGCGGGGGCTTATCTTCTTAGATCCGCACTCATGCAAGTCAGAACCATAAGTTGAGCTTGTACAACGTCGACACTTCAAAAATACCTTTTCAGTTCTATTCACTATCTCAACTATGATTTGGACAGACGAAAGGGGCCCAGTTAAATAGGGGTGTACGTAATTCTCCATTGTTGGTTTTGTGTCTAAGACTGAAATAGGAATACTTTAGGCCTTTTCGTTTCCTGTAAGTTGAGTAGCTTGAGCTGCTATTAGGCCTGCAGCTGAATACATAATTGATCATCAGCATTAAACCCCCAACGCTGTCTCCTCATTGGCCTGTGAAACTTATAGAGAATGTGTTAGGATCTGTTGCCCCAGCACATAATCCTAAACTCTATCATCGAATTCTGACATAATACTCTGGACACTCATCTCGAGGCAGACAACCTGGAACGCACTCCAATGCATGTGATCACGTGTAAAATCTCAATCATCCCAGATGAATCATAGAATGTCATGGAAAGCGTCGTCACATTTTCTGTAAATATGTACATTGTATCGAGAATGTTAACATATATATATATATATATTCCATCAGAATGTCTTCAAAAACAAGAAAGAAAAGCTCGCACTCATCATCCCATTCTTTTACAGAGCAGTCAGCGAGGCAAACCAATCCGAGAACAGAGCAATCTGCTCATCACTCGCAATAGGGATGGGGCCAAAGCCATCACCCAGCTCCTGGGTGACGTTGGAGGAGCCAACGACGGGATCCCACTGGGCCAGGCCGTCACCATTCGGGTTGCCCGTCTTGATGAAGTTGACCCAGTAGGCGTTCATGATGTCGGCAATCTCGTAGTCGGCGGCCTCCCAGTCCCACTGCTTGTAGTAGAGGTTGTTCTGGGTGTACTGGATCTCGCTCATGTGCGAGGCGCCGGCCGAGTTGCCGGGGGGGATGTGGTCCCAGAGGTAGGTGTAGACCTCCTTGGTCTCGTTGGACTCGAACAGCGAGGCCCAGAAGTTGGTGCCGACCTTGGAGCGGTCCGTGTACTGGGCGTTCTCGGCAGCAGAGGCGGTGGCCGAGTCGTTGGCCGAGTAGAGGGCGAAGAACCTGTCGATAAAGTCGCCCGTGTAGGTCTCGTTGAGGTCGGCCAGGTACTCGTCGAGGGTGATGTCCAGGCCGTAGGTGGCGCCGCTCTCGTCCCTGGTGTTGCCCGTCAGGACGGGCACGTTGTTGGCGATGCCGTACTTGAGGGTGTTGAGGTAGGTGTCGGGGATTGCGTAGTAGTCCAGCGTGGCCTTGAAGGTGACGGCTGTGGTGCCGGGCTGGGCGGCGACATCGAGGTCCTCGGCTGGGAGGGCGCGGAGGCAGGCGATGTCGGAGCAGTTGACGGAGGCCATCCAGTTGAGCGAGTACTCCTGGGTCACCTCGAGGGTCTGGTAGCCCTCTGCGAGGGAGCTGGCCGAGGGGTCATGAGGGTCACGGACGCCGGACTGGATGATGGCGCCCACGATCTGGCCCTCAGTCAGCCTGCTGTTGAGGATGTGGTAGGTCGCCGCCGAACCGGCAGACTGGCCCATGACGGTAATGTGGTCTGGGTCGCCTCCAAAGGCGGCGATGTTGTCGCGGATCCACTGCAGGGCGCCGAACTGGTCCAGCGTGGCCCAGTTGCCTGAGGAGTTGACGCCGACGGCGGCATATCGCTCCTCGGAGAGCTCAGGGGTGACGATCCAGCCCGTCACGCCGTCACGGTAGTTGTAGTTGACAAAGACGACACCTGCGTCGGCCATACCGCCTCCGTCGAAACGGGGGTCGGCATTGGAGCCGCCGGCGGGATAGCTCCACATGACCACGGGCAGCTTGTCGTCGGTCGAGTTGGCGGCACTCCAGACGTTGAGGTTGAGGCAGTTCTCGCTGATGTTGGCATACGAGGTGCCCGAGGACAGGCACGAGTCGCCAAAGTCCTTTGCGTCCAGCGTTGTGTTCCAGGGTGTCACGGGCTGAGGCGGCTTGAAGCGGTTCTCGTACGCCGTGTCCGCGCCAAAGGGGATGCCCTTCCACACCGTCACGTCCTGCCAGTGGGTCAGCGTCATGTTGGCTGGGCTGCTGTTGAAGGCTGGGTAACCCTGGACCGGTCCGTTGACGGTCTGGATCACCTGGTCGTACAGGGCAGCCTGTACAGCCGGCAGCAGGAGCGCCGAGGCGCTGACGGCCATGGTAGTGGACCGCATCTTGTGTGTGTGTGTGAGAGAGAGAGGGAAAGGGGGAGGAGGGACGACGACCAAGGGAAGAAAGCAAAAGAAAGAGTGACTATCTTGGGATTGGATACCCAGGGTCGAATGCTGTGGTCAGTCAGTGAGTAGAGGGTTTTCCAAAAGGGCAGCAGACGAATGGGCCGGTTGATTTATATATGTATTATTTACTTCTACTTTTTATATGTATTTTGAACTTAACCATATACAATCATAGTGTCTCCTCCTTTCTTCTGGGTACTTGGAAGCCATGAGAAGGGAAACACACCCCGATGGAGCCTGCATACAGGCCTACGCGTCAGCTCATTCCTTTTTCCCGTCCACAATGACGCCTGTCAAAAATAAAGAGAGGGCCAACAACGACGTCGCATCCCCGCCTTTTTCTCGCCTGCTCGCCCTGCTAAGCTTGACACTGTTTCCTACTAATCGAGGTCCCACTGCCCCTGTTCATATCCGGGCGGCCCACCCTTCCCATTCCTTGCCAACGGTGACGGGTTTGTGGGGGGGGGGGGGGGGCGGCGTACGTACCTCTGAGGCCAAGACTACTGCTATGAAGGGTAGGTGAGTTGCAACAAGCAAAATAAAATCCGAAGCTATCTGCGACTTTGCTCGGCCGGGTCCCGCTTGTCTCTCCACTCACTTTAGCATAATAGAGTAAAGTGCCAAGTATGCAACGGTTTGCTTTTTCCTGACTACGGCTAGTAGCAAGAAACATCATTCCTACACGGAACTACGTAATCAGTGTCTTGTTTCGTCCTAGATATTTTGGCATCCTATCTACTTTCTCCCAGTAGTAGGTCATAACATATCCAATCCTGTAGCGCTTACATGATGGGCCATCTCGTCTAACTGTATAAATCGATATAAAGTTCAAACAGATAACTTAAGATAATCGTCTGTGAGTAAGAGATCAGATCATAGAGCACAGACGTTTCACAAGCAGCACAAATCCACATACTATGCACAGGGGTATAATAAAGTAATGAATAAAGTATGCAAGAAAAACCTAGAGATGCGCCATCCCATCTCGCCACCCGACCGAACCAAACAAACAACATCTATTAAAAAAAAACATTTCCACTACGGCAAACAAACAAATGAAGGACCTTGAGTTCAAGGGGGAGGGGGACGCGTACTCTTGATCCTGGGAGAAGCCTCTGTTGAAACCACACGGAGATCATCGGCAAACGGAATGGTGAGCTCTCCCTCCCAGATCTACTCTTTTTTTTTTCTTCTCTTTCTTCTTCTTCCGGTGGCGAGATCTGAGAAGAAAAAAGCACCATCCCTGGGTCATTCATGCTATAATGCTACGGCACTATGCTACTGTATGAGCAATCATGTCCGCAGATCGGGCTACACCTCGGATATAGCGGATCGTACGCTGCCAAAAAAGAAGGGTGCGAAAGATCTGGCGAGTTGCTCCCCTAATTGAGCACCCTGTTAAGATTTCCATCTCTCCCTTTGGGGGTTTCCCTTCCGCTGCTCTTCCCCTTTCCAGTTGTGCTTAAAAGTCCCTCACCCATGGCGCCACGGCACTTTTGCTTGTGGGGTGAGGAAGAGGAGGGCGGGAGTGGCGCCCTGTTCTCCACGATCAAGCACTCAAGGTTGTTTACAAGGTTCATTGCCGTTTGTAGCGCTTATTCAGGCGCCCCCCTTATGGATTGCCGAGACGGTGTGTGGACAATTTCCGAACCTTGGTACGGCTTGCTCTAGATCTAGACTGCGCCTTCTAGCCATTTATCCTCATTCTTTACTGCTCGTGGCATTATAGTAATTCTGTTGCTTGTGTGTGTGTGTGTGTATGTGTGTGTGCGTGCGTGCGTGCGTGCGTGTACGTGTTTGTGTTGCAATAAATCCTGCGCATTGTACTCGGAGAACACAGCTTGTTTCCGACCCTGCTGGAATGTCCAAAATAGCGATTGACCTGTCACATCTTGCAGAGCCCAGCCCTTCCATCAGCTCACGCCCCAAGAAAACTTGTCATTGCTACCCTGACCCACTCTACACGCGGCATGCCGCACCTGGGCAGTCCTCAATTTTACGTTGTTTATGGGGTCTTGTTCGGACGAACTATGGGATTTTGACGGCCCCAGACGCCTCTGTGCGTTTCTACCATGCATCGTAGCACCTTAAAATCTATATTCTACTATGTAAGAGAGTATGACACGGGAAGCATATTCTATGGATACACAGCCATGTTTAATCGCCTCTCAACGCTTAGAGCTTCTCCTTAGGCGTGATCAGCTCCTCCACCTTGGCAAATTGGTAGTAGTACTCCAGACTTTGTGGGTTGGCCAGTGTGCCGCTTGGGGTGATCTTGTGGCCCGAGACAATCTGTTTGACTGGTAGCTCGACCTTTTTCATATTGATTGTCATCTGTTTAGAGAGGAAATGAGAAAGATTAGTACATATTTGTCAGTCAAAGTAATATTTTCTCTTGTTCTAGAGAGGGGAAGAAGTAGGAAAGAAGGGGAAGAGAAAAAAAAGGTGCACTCACCGGTATCTCTGGCGTCTCAAACACGTACTTGGGAACATGCCTCTTTGACAGCTCCGTCCGAATCGCCTCCTTGATCTCCTCCACCAAACGCCGCTGGAACTGATGCCCAGGCTTCATCAACAAAAACAACAACACATTCTCGTCCTGGTCCTGCGGCCTCCTCTGCCCAACACAGAGCGAGTCCAGCACCCGGTCCGCAAACCGCCGCTCAATCACACCGTATATCTCCGCGCTGCCGAACCTCACCCCAGACGGGTTCAGCACCCCATCCGCCCGGCCCAGGAACGTAATCTGGCCCGTGCGAGGGTGCACGACGCAGAAGTCGCCGTGCGCCCACACCCCTGGGAAGCGGTTGAAGTAGGCAGCCTGGTACTTGGGCCCGGGCGTCTTGGTGTCGTCGCCGTCGCCGTCGTTCCAGAAGCAGCACGGCACGTTGGGGAACGACTTCACCGCCACGAGCTCGCCAGGCGTGCCGTGGGCGAGCTCGCTCCCAGGTGTCCCGTCCGGCAGCGTGGCGTCAAAGATCCTCGCGTCGGTGCCCAGGGAAGGGCCCATGGTGCCGCCCACGAACAGCGGCTCGAGAGGGTTCATGATGCCGAAGCAGCCCGCGATGTCTGTCCCGCCTGAGATGTTGCCCAGCTGCACGGAGGCGGGGAAGCCGCTGTCGTAGAACCACTCGAACAGCTGCTCGCTCAGCACCATGCCCGTGCACGTCACGACCTTGAGCCGCGACAGGTCGGCCATGGCCCGCGGCGACAGGCCGTTCCTGGCCAGCTCCAGCATCCACCGCGGGCTGGTGCCGAACTTGGTGACGCCCTGGTCTGCCACGATGTCGACGAGCACCCTCGCATCGGGCACAAAGGGGCTGCCGTCGTAGAACACACTCCTGGACCCGAAGAGCAGGAGGCCCGCGTTGGCCAGGTACATGATCCACCCCGTCGTGGTGTACTGCAGCCCCACGGTCTCGGGGCCCAGATCCTCGTGCAGACGGCCCTCCTTGAAGTAGCTGAGCATCAACCCGCCCACGCTGTGTGTGATGGCCTTGGGCATTCCTGTTGTGCCGGACGAGAAGCAGATGATCGAGGGCTCATGGAAGGCGATGTGCACAAAGTCTGGGGCCGGCTTGGTTGTGCTGGATAATAAGGCGGCCCAGGTTTCTGCTTTGGGCACATGGGAGATGTCTCGTGGGGCGTGGGCCCAGCGCGGGATGGAGATGAGCGAGGTGAAAGCGTCACACTCGTCCAGACCTGCGACAAGGTCTTTCATCTTTTGGCGCAGGTCGACAGTCTTGCCGTTGTAGACTGCCGCATCATCCACAAAGACCAACTAATTTTGAAAAAAGACCAAATAGGATCTCATGTCAGTCAAAAGCACACACATACATGCAACAACATCCACGTTTCATCACACTTGCTCAACACTTCCTAAGTTACGCACCTTTGGGTTCACCTGCACACTCCTCTGCAGGATCCCCTTGACCCCCATATCCGTCGAGCTGCTCGAGAAGATGGCCCCGAGCCAGTTCGTCGCCAGCCACACCACAAACGTCTCGATGCTGTTGGCCGCAACAACTACTACGCGGTCCCCCCTCCGCACCCCCTTGGTGTGCTACATGGCCGCCGCCAGCCCCGCCGCCCGAGTCCGCAGCTCGCCCCAGCGGCACTCCCGCACCTCGGACCCGCCCTCGCGCACCTCGGTGATGGCTATCTTGTCGTCCTCCTTGTGCAGCGTGCAGCGTGCTGTTGTCGCGGCGCTGGCAGTGCTGGTAGGAGAGGAGGACGAGGACGAGGACGAGGACGGTGGTGAGGGGCGTGTGTACAGCACGTTCTCGGCAAAATTGAGGTGCACGCCCTCGAACCACCGCGGCACCGTGTCGATGGTCGCCGACTCGTCAACCACGCGCGTGTAAGTGCCAGAGTGGATGAAGTTGCTGTAGCTGAAGAGGTGGGCCCAGAACTCGGCTCGGTCGGGTCCTACAGAGTAGTCGTAGAGCTGGCGAAAGGTCTGGAAAGCATGTAAGCATGGAGCCAGTTACTCAGTGACGATGACGTTGAGCCTTTGTCAGAATATGAGAGTCATGGTAGTAATGATTATTTCTGATACGAGAGAAAAACAAAGAGAGAAACCTTGTTCCACAACCTCACTCACCTTGAGATCCCGCCCGCTCTTCCTGTTCACCTCCTGCATGAACTGCCACATCTGTGTGCTCTTCGGATCAGCATGCTCCCAGAGCTTTCGTGGCATCGTAACCTGGCCGTCCATCTTCTTGTTCTCGAGTAGAATAGCAAAACTCTTTGAAGAAGTCTTATGCTCTTCTTTTTGTATTCATAAATCATCAAGAGATAGTTGAGTGAGTAGCCAGGAACTAAAGCCCTGTTTATCGATCCAAGGAGGAGGGAGAAGCAGCAGAAGAAGAAGGAGAAAAAAAAGAAGAGGATGAGTAACCTGGCGAATAACCTCGGCCAGGCCCGTGTCCTAGAGGGAGCGCCTCGCCTCGGGGATTTATGAGGTTGGCTTATCGGGACTGACACGGCACTACGCATGCTTACAAGCCGAGCCCACCGCTCTCTCCCAGCTGCGGGGTTGAGCTGAAGGAAGAGTAAGCAAGGGTGTGAGTGCTCCGCTAAACACGTCGCGTCGAGCAGCCAGATGCAAGCAAAGCATGCATGAGGAGGATATTGTTGAACAGCATACCATCGTTTCCTACTACAACAACTATCATGGAGAATCTATCTGCTCCTGAAACCATTCCTTGTTGCCGTTCTTGTTAGAATAATAACGCCCGCAATTTTCTCCTTGGAGACATCCCTTAATAATTAAAGAAAAAGACAAGAGAGACCACCCTTTTGTCGATCCAGCACCAACACCAAGAATCATGCGCGCCTCCCGAACCACTATTCACACGAGAGAAAGAGAAAAAAAAAAACAAACAAGAAAAACAAGGCTAAACCTGCACCACCAATGAGTGCACCCACCCCCCGCCTGTGAAACCACTCAAAGATAAGCCTGCCACAGTGCGTCCATCATGGCTAGGCTGATGGGGTTCACAGCTTTGCTGATGAGGTCGATCACCGTCTGGTTGGCCGGCACCTTGGCCTCGGGGTCCGTCGTGGCCAGTGCCATCGCCCTCTTGACAATGAGGTCGCAGTTCGTCTGCACCGTGTCGCGGAGCTGGCCCTCGCTGATGTGGATCAGCCTGTGGCTGCTCGTGAACCAGTACATGACCTCGTCCCTCACGAACAGCGTGAGTGCGTGCTCCAGCTCGAACTCGGGCTCCGTCAGGCACCGAGCAATCGCCATGATCGAGCAGCTGAACAGGCCCTCTGTCGCCAGCGGGCCCATGAGCGTCTGCAGGTTGGGCGTGAGTCGGAATGGTACGTGTTCGAGGGCACCAAAGAAGGGCCGCTGGCCCGTCATGAAGGACAGCAGCTCCGAGCTCCAAATGTTGCCGCTGCCCCGTGCGATGTGAAGCTTCTGCGGGTAGCGCTTGTCGATGTAGAGCACGTACGTCATGAACGTGAGCGCCGCCATCTGGTACGAGAATCGCCGCTTGAACAGCCAGAAGTCTGCATAGTCGTCGTACGTCCTCTGGAAGAAATCCAATGCGACCGTGCGAGGCACCCACGTGTCCTGGATTGCGTTGAGGATCTCCAATCTCGCGCTGGCACTTTGCTCGCCCGATTTTTGCTGCACAAGGTTAGGGGTGATGGTCCCCGTAGTATTGATAGCAGGAAAAACACTCACTTTGTTGGTCTCGCCCAGCGCTCGAAGCTTGTCCATGATGAAGAGTACAGGTTCGTCCTTGGATAGATTGTTGCGCCGGCAGTGATCCTCAAACACGCCCTGCAGAGTGATGTAGGACGTATCCTCTTGCACGATTCTGATGTGAGGCGCAAGAGGTACCATCAGCGGCAGCGTGAACTGCAGGTCGCGACGACGGCTCTCCTTCTTGCGACTCAACCGCTGGTTCAGTTGCCGGAACAGCTGGATGATTCTCTCTTCCCTTCGGCAGTGCCGCGCGGCAGGGTGCTGCACTGCGAAGGGGTGGATACTGCCGTCGTGGCCGCGAATCTTCAGCCGGCGGTGAGATGACCCAATGGTGCGCACAAGGTCAACAGTGGGGATGAAGCGATCGATGCGGATAAAGTCTTGGTTCTTGTCCTTCAGCTGGAGATACTGGCCGGGGACCTCGACTTCATCAAACTTTTGGTACTTGAACTCGTTCAGGAAAGGCGTGTAGTTCTCCAGGGACATGTGGGAATTCCTTCGGTCCAGCTTCTCCTCGAACTTGTCCCGCCACTTGCGCAGCTTGTGGATGTACTCGAACATTGTGGGCTTCACCACCACAAAGTCGGCCTCGAACGTCTTGCGGATGTGGGCGGGCAGGATCGTCTCGGCGAACCTAGTAATGTTTGTCTCTGTCGCTTGTGGCAGCTTCGTTCCCTTGGCGTATGATGTCGGCGCGCGGCTGACGTACGCTAGACCGTCGTTAAGGAGCGCAACGATCAACCGATATGCATCCTCATCAGGGGGGCATTTGAAGTGTTTCGAAATCTGATCGACCATGGTCTCCATCGACAGTGCTAGAAGAGGGAAGGCTGTCTTGAGCTGGGACATGATCTCTTCGGTTAGCTCCCATGGGAACTTCTTCTGGCCTGCTTCTGGAGCTGCTGCTGCTGCTGCTGCCGCCGGCGCCGCTGCTGACTGGTTGTCTGGAGCAGGAGTAGAGCCATTGGCTCCATTCGGCGCCGTCGATGTGGTAGGAGTAGGAGGCGGCGCTGTACCATTCGTATCTCCGCCTTCGGGCTTCGCGCTGTTGGGCTCTCCGTTGGCTGTGGTAGGCCGAGATCCTGAGGCAGCTTCCTGCTTGGAGGCACCGTTCGCGTCTTGCTTCTGTTGCGTCGGTGAGGCACTGGCCTTGCTTGCTGCCGCTTGCGCCGCCTTCGCCTTCTTGGCCTCGTGGTTCTTCTTAATGACCTGCATGTCCTCCCTGTTGGTCCGCAGCTGAAAATAGAGGGCTTGAGGATAGGATCTCGCGATCTTGATAAGGATCGAATGCACACGAGTTGCTTCCTTGTGGCTGAGCCCAGTCAGGAGCTGGGGAATGAAGGTGATCCAGTACCACGTCGGCGTGTCTCCCTTGAAATCATCGAACCCGGCCGAGATCTGTCCGTTGGCATCATCCATGCTGAGCAGCCATAGAATCCTGGCAATGAGCTTTCGCGACTTTGCATTCTTGTAGCCGCCCGCTGCTTGCAGATAGCACGTAAGCGCCTGCCGGGCTGCGTTCAGATCGGTCGGATCATCCTTGTATTTGCGGTCATTGAAGTAACCCCATTCAGCCCACGCCTTGGCAGCTGAGATGTCGAAAAACAAGGCGGTGCCGAACGCATTGTCTGCGTCCTCCTTCTGTTTCAGCTTCTCAAGGAACATGCCCTTCAGTGTGTAGAACTCGGCCTTCTGCACAGGGCTAAAGTAGTTGAGGTTTGTGTTGTTGATGACCTCCAGCCCGCTGGTGAGTTCTTTGGGGTTCTGATAGTGACACTTGGCTTGCTCCCGAAGCTTGAGGAAGGCTTCTTGAATCTCTATGTTTGGAAGCGTGTAGATCCGTCCAAGCTGGTTGATACAGACATCGGCAAGGTCATGCTTTCGAGCCACATGCGCGAAACGGTTGATGATCCAGGCGGTTTCGTGGTATCCACGATAGGCAAACGACGAGCCGCTGGCATTCTGGCCCTGCTGCGGCAACAGCGTGAGATACTTCGAGTTGATCAGTCCAAAGATGTGCTGACGCCAATTCACTAGGTCTTGCCAGGCAGTGATATCATCCCAGACGTTGGGCAAGCGCTCGCGCCACCCGCTCAGCAGCAGTTTAAGCTCGCTTGATTTGACATCCAGGTTCTGCTGGTTTGTGATGGCGAGGCTGGCGCAGATAACGCTCGCATCATGCAGCTCCACCAGCTGTTGGAAGTTCTGTAACAGCGGCACATGGGCGTGTGTCGTTTGCTTTGGCAGCTGGTGCCACTTCCGGATTGACAGCTGGATAGCCTCATCGACACATCGCTGGAAGTCCTGCTGAGACTCTGTGCCGTCGTGGAACTTGCGCAGAGTCATAAAAGCCTGGAAGAACGCTCGGCGAGGAGTGGGGGCATCCATGAGCCCCTTGATCATGCCCTCGATGTGCTCCTTATTTTCTGCAGATGACCACATATCCTGGTTGCGCCAGGCACACTCCAAGAGCAGGTCCTGGATGTGTTCGTGCTTGGAGAAATCCTGAAGTATGTCCCACTGCTGGAGCTTCTGTGCACACAGGACCCAGTGATCCTCCCACAGCGTGTACTCGGCCTGGGAGAAAGGGAGAGCACCTGTTCTCGCCTTCACCTGTGCAGACTCGTACATCTCCTGGGCCTTGTCCCACATGCCGTTCTGCTCGTACGACAAAGCGCTGTTTGTCTCGATGAAATCGCACCTCCGACGCCAGGTACCGTAGAAGAAGTCGTCCTCCTTGAGGTTGGCATAAAGCTCAACTAGGGCATTCAAGTTGCTCTCCCTGACTTTGTCGCTGTCGGATGCCTCTTGATTGACCGCAACGTCCTCGAGCTGGACAAGGGCCGTGTACCATGAATCGAAGGTCTGGGCCGCATACTTCAAAACGTGAGCTGGGATTCTGCATTCAGGTGTCGCCTTGGCAGCACCCTTCAGCAAGGCCTGGATCACATTTGGCCTCTTGTCAAGCTGTCGCTGGTGGTAGTCCTTTGTCAACAAGAGCACTAGGCCACGCTTCAACTCCTCGCGCTCCTCCTTGATGGTCGCAGACCAGTACATCGGGAACAGAGTCTCCCAGAGCTCCTTGGCGAGGTACGAGTCGATATGTTGAAGCTGAGTAAGCGGCTCGATGATGTCGCGGACTCTGACGTCCGCGAGCTCAGACATGAATCGGCGGTGGTTAGACATAAAAGCATCATACTTGTCATCTGCCATCAGTGTTGGCTGCCTGGAGTCCTTCGCGTAGTTTCCAAACAGCCGCGACGCTGACAAGGTCCGGAAGTCGTCTTGGTGCAAATGGACAAATCCGTTGGTCTCGACAGATCCGAGAAGCAGCTGCGAGGCCTGTGCAAGCCAGAACGTCTCTCCCAATGTGTCCCAATTCTGAGTGTTGATGACGTAGAGCAGGCGGGCGCTGGCTGTCTTGGATAAGCTCCTGTCCAGGAGGGCCATGAAGCGATTCCTCATGCCAACGTCCTGCGCCCGAGTACCGATCAGGAAGGCATGCTCCATCCGCACCGTGAGTTCAGTCCTGGTGATTTTCGGGTCCTCGTAGATGCGGAGGACGAGATCCAGATATTTGGTGAGCATTTTTGGGTCGGCGCGGTGCTCGAAGGTGAGCATCTTGTGAAGGACGGCTGTTTTCTCCTTGAGCGTGGGCCACGTCCCCTCTGAGCGGAAAATCCAGCTCTCAACCATCTCCAAGATCTTCTCGCAGAGGGGGATGTGTAGAGACTTCTCAACAAGCGTGGCCAGAACGCTGAGGAAGGGCCTCCTGTTATCTCCGAGCTTCTCCATCCGTTTGGCTGTGACATCAATGGCCTTGAGCATGAGCCCGGTCTGTATCTCAAGATCGTAGTCTTCCATCTTCACAGGGGCATTTTGATCAGCAGGACGGACAGACAGATTTGCCTCTTGGCTGAGGGCCGTGTAGTGAGAGACGTGATCGCGCGCCAGCTTCGATTGCAGCGACTTCATGATGGCGGGGATGTGAGCATCAATCGTCGATGGTCGACAATTGCCCAACGACCACAAAATGTTGATGCCAGACACGTAGTTGGAAGATGCCATCGTCTCAGTCGCAAGATTGGACAAGAACGTGATGAATTCGGAATTTGGCGCCTCAGGCTCTCCTTCGGCGTCAGCGTCTTCCATCGCCACGTCCTCCGCCGTGGAAGGCACAGCGTCTAGGACTCGCTTGATGGTGGCTCGTATATTTCGTCCGTCATCGAACTCGGGGTCTGCCGTGTGCAGGCAGTCCTGGAGCTCGGGGTTTTCAGACTTGAGACACTTCTCGAGTATCTTCTGAATCTGGACCACGTTCTTCAAGATCCACTCGTCCGACTTCGAATTTACAATGATGCGCACGACTTGTAATGTGTTGATAATGTTCGTGATGAACTTCTCATCGTATCGATCCTTGTTGTCCGGGTCGGCATTCAATATTTGAGTTGTCTTGTCGCTGGCGAGGACGACATCTGTGACATTTGGGAAGAGGTCGACATCAAGGTCAGCCCAGTACTCAGGAAGTAACAGGTTGTACAAGAGTGTCATGGCCTTCTTGTTTAGGTCCGGAGACATCGGATGACCAGGCTGCAGCCCATCCTGAGCCTTGCTGGACGGAAGATGATAGCGCTCATTCAGCTGCGCGATGAACTCCACCAGGTACTTAACCATCTTTTGGCGGACCGGTGCGGGAATCTGATACTCGGTCTTTTCCCCCGGGGCAGTTTGTCGAGCAGTCGGCGGGGAGGAGGTCGCCATCTCGTCGAGTTTTCGCTTCTTGCTAGCTGGCGACATTGAGGCCATGCTTGACGAATCTGCCTCCTTGCCCGTGACGCGTCGCTTCTCCCATTCCCAAATAAGCCACATCATGTTCAGAGCAAGGCGCCTGCTCTCGAAAGATGGGTTCGGGGGATTGGCCACCTTCCGGAGGCATTGCATGACGAGGACGGCGAACTTGTCGCGGGTCTCGTAGAAAAGGTCCGGGTGTCGTACCAGGAACTGGAAGATGCTTGTCATCTGTTGGACGTTCTGTCCCTCTTCTGCGAGGATACGCCGGGGGCCGACGGACCAGACGGCGTTTCTTGGATCAGCAGGCTGAACAGGACTGCACCTCTTGGGCAGGACTGGCGCCATCAGTTCCAATGCCTGGGTCACAAGCGTGCGACCCTCGTTTTGGTTGTTCTTCAGCAAGGAGAGATAAACCTGGGTCACAATCTTGGCAGGTGTGTCGTAGTTCGCAATGAAGTAACAAAGGACGACGTAGGCTGCGTGCTTGTTGAGCGCATCGTCTAGTCTGATGTATGTCCAACCGAACTTGATGATATCCTTCCGAGCGTCCTGGATGATGGTGTTGTGGTACTTGATCAGCATCGCCGACAATTGCAGCACCTCCATCCTGGTGTGATCAATGCCGGGTTGTGTCAGATCATCCTGCGGGTCGGCAAGGCTGGCCTTCCAGATCTTTGTGCTGATGGAGTCAATGACTGATCTATCGATCAAGCGATTCGGTCGCTGCTCGGGCTCGTCCCAATGTCGCATCACATCCATGGCGACGATGGGGTTGACAATGTAATGCAGCAAAAAGACTTTGGTTTTTTGAGAGGCGGTCCTCCCGGCATAGACTTCGAGACATCGCAGGGTTATGTTCCTCCAGTACTCAATGGAGTCATTGCAGATGATGTTGTCGTGAATGTAAGAGAAGAGACTCTGCGTCTGTCTGAGGTGACCGATCGTGACAGAGTCAATGAGGGAGAAGAGTGAATCCAAATCCTCGGGATTCTTCTCGAGGAATTTCATCCCGATCGCGGTGACATTCTCCACGGCCTGATGCGCAGCGAGCCGCAGTTGACCCTGTACCTTGTTGTCTTTGAGTAAGCCTTCCAGGTCGTTGCCCACCTGCTTCAGCCAGGCCAAAATCTCCTTTTTAGCCATCCATGCAGTGGAATTGTGTTGACACAGAGCATTGATGGTATTGACTGCGTTCACCACGGCAGTGGCCTTTGCTTGCTGATCCTCTGCTGGAGTCTCATTGCAAGCCTGAAGCAAGTTCTCAATGTTTGCCGTAGCGACCTCTCGGAGCGCACCACTGTCGCTATCATTGAGCACTTGGGCAAAGAAGCGGCCGTACTTGATATCGCGGATCTTGCTCAGTTGGAGAGCCCATACCTCCTGAGAATAGCGATTCAGATATTTGTAAACTGGTTTCCGGAACGGGCTCTGGTTGGTTCTTCGCAGTCTCTCTTCCAGCTCCAAGGTTGTGTCAATGACCTGCACCTTGTAGCTCTCTGCGGCCGCGGGAAGCAAGTGGAATATGTTGAACACTGCCGCTACCACTTCCATCGTCTCATGCTGCTCGAAAAACGTGAAAGAAAGTTGCTGCAGGACATTTTCCTCGGCGAGTGATTTGACGTGCATCAGCAGGCGTTGTCCTATCTCGACCTTAAAGTAAGATGTCAAGAGCTTGAGAAGGCGCGCAAGGTTGTTGAGGCCCTGAAGACTTAGCCTCTTAGCATCCTGGAGGCTGGCCAAGACAGGCCGAAGTCCTGACTGGAGTAGGTCCTTAGGCAGCTTGTTGTTTTGCGACAGGACCGTCTTGAGTGCGTCGTAGGCGGCGTCAATGATCGGAGTTTGTTGCAAATACAAGCATTTGAAGAACGTCGCCACGATCCTTGTCCGGTCCTTGTTTGGCTGATTCGGCTGCGCAGGCTTCATAAAGTCCTCGAAGTCCATGGCTGTGCTCAGGATCTTGATGCAGGCTACCCGAAGGCTCACAATGTAGTTTTGTGTCCTAAACTCGGCAGCCTTGGTAGCCAGCGAGTCATCGGTCGCCTCAGCCAATGCCAGCGACTCCATAAGCAGCCGGGTAAGATTTTCATCCATTTTGACGAAATCGGGCTTCAGAGACATATAGTATGTGACCGCGTCAATGTAGCCGATCTGCACCGGGAAAGGCAGCGCTCTAAGCGGTTTGGCGTAGATTTGGTTCAGCAGGCGGTCTCGGTGTGGCTCAAGCAGCTCCCAGACCTGTGCGTCTGCAGCCTTTGCGATGGTATCGAGACACCGCTTTGCAGTCTCACGGACGTGTTTGTTCATATGCGACAGCTCCTGGTTGAGCACATTGCAGATATGCGACATCCGCGGCTGTTTGGGAGCTGGTTGTCCTCTCTGCTGTGGCACTGGCAGACAGTCCTCTTTCTTGATGTTCTTCGTGATCCTGGTGAGAAGTATATCTAGGGTGTCCTGTGCGGCGCGTCTTGTACCTTCGGGGAGGTCCTGTGGCATGTCCTTGACCACAAAAAGCAGTGCCTTGAGACACTCAGCCTGCTTCATGTTGATCCACTGGTCTCCCAGGTCAACGTCAGTGAGAAGCATCTGGATACCAAGACTACCGCCGGCTTTGGTGAACCATTCCTCCTCATAGCATCCGTGACAAAAGGCAGATCCGAGGTTGTGGAAGAATGTCAAACGGAAGACTTGACTTGAGGATCCAAGTATGGTGGCTGCGGAGTTGTAGACCTCTTGTGTTGCGCGCTGGGCTGCTAACCGTACTTCTGGATGTTCGGAAGCCAGCGACTCGAGGATTGCGTCGCATAGGACACGGGTATCAAGACACATGGGCCCCTCGCCAGCGTTCACATCGAAAGGACTCGCACTCCGCTTGCAGTCGACGAGAGCTCTACCCACCTCGATGATCGCAAAATGCCGGCACAGATTGAGTAAGAAGGCATTGGCCTCTTCTTTGAACTCTGGAAGGGAACTGGCAAACATCATGGCTTTGATCAACCGCTTCAGCGTGTTATCCTGCTCCTCCTTGTTGGGCACGGAACGTTGGCGGTCAGAGGACTCGAAGATGGAAAAATCGGCATCCGTCTTGCGTGCCAGCAGGTCCTGAACTTGAAGTCGGACCAACCGAGGGAGATCCTCGGGCAGGTTGTCGTGGCCGATGCGCAGCTTTAAGTGTGCCTTCAGGAACTGGAAGGCCTTCTCTTTGTAGTATCCATCGAATTCCTTGGTCGACCCACTCTTGGTAGGTTTGGGAACTTCAGTCAGCTTCGAGATGGCGAGCTGGATACCCATGTTGGCAGGGAATGCTCTCTCCTTCTTCGAGCCGATGAGCCGCAGATCGAAGCTTGAGAAATCATCGATGAATTGTTTGTAGTCAAGAGGGATGGCGTCCGTCATGTACTTGCGATTCCGTCCGCCCAACTTTCCAAGAATCCTCAGTGTAGTGTGGGCGTGGAAATGTGAATAAGGTGCTGGTTTGAGGTGATCGAAAAGTGCTGTCATAAGCTCATCCATCACCGGTGCCATGATCGGATCGAGGTAATCTGCTGTCAAATTATCCACACAGAGTTCAAGAGTCCGTAAACCCTGGCCCACCAGTTCACTACCTGCACGCAAGGCAACGACGAGGGGACGCATCAGGAAGCTGAGGTGTGGGAGCAGATTGCTCAGCCTGGCTGGAACAGTCAAGCAAAGCTCCACGTAAAGATCCCGCTCTGAGGGCTTCCGGGCTGCCCTGAGCAGGTTGTTGAGGACGTCCAAGAGCATCTCCAAAAGCGGCAGTATCTTCTTGTAGAGGTGCTCGAACTTTCCACCACCGATGCTCCTGAACAGCGACCGGAGAAGCAGGAAGTAGTTCATGGGCTCTTCAGCTTTCGTGGAGTACTCTATGGACTTGGTCACAATGTCGACAACGTGTGGGAGTAGAACCTGCTCATTCTGGGCAGCAAACAGAGTGACGGCCATGAAGGCCAACTTGAAGAGTCTCAACAAGATGGAAGCCTTCTTCACGTCAGCTGATCCGACATCCTCAATGTGCTCCATCAGGAACCTGAGCAGCATACCACAGAAGCTAGGTGAGGTTGCCTCGCTGGCAAGGAAGAACTGTGGAATGTGCAGAAGGCCAGTGTGGTCGAAGATCATTTCGTAGAGGTGTGGTATCTCCTGTTGAAAGACCTCATTGAACGTCGCCGGGTCGATGCTGTGAAAGACCGTTGCGAAGGTCTCTAGAAGGTCCTTCTCCTCTTTGGTGCTCGAGTTCATGTAGAAGTTGGCCATGTACTCGACCGCTGATTGATACTGCGATTCGTGCAAGGGCTTGCCGATCTCGTAGTAGCGGAAGACGTATGCGCCTTCTCGGAAGAGCTTGATGATCACCTGCACCTCCTCAGGACTGAATCCATAGGCAACATCGACCCAGTGTGGAGGGGCATTCGCTTGCTCTACAGCTTGCGGAGGGTTGCATATCCTGAGCTGGTAAAAAGTGTTCTTGAGACCATTCATCAGATTCTTGAACAAAAACTTGTTGTCGATCACAGGATCCGCTCCCTTCTCACGAGGATTCGAGGTCTTGATGGGCATGGCGTTGAAGATGTCGGTCTCATCCCAGTCCGGAGGATCGTTCTTATCCGCGAGGTATGTGTCCTGAATCTGCTCCTTTGTCTGCCTCGCGTATGTCTTGGACAGCTTGACTGCGTTGGCGTATTGTCGGTTCATGGCCGCGAACTTATCTCCGATGGCATTCAAGATCATGATCAGGTAATGTCGAGCGTCGACCTTGTTGTCCATCTTGGCGATGCATTCTGCCATGTTCAGCAGCAGCTTCGCACTCATGGTCTGGAAGCTGGTGCCCGGGAAGGGGTCCTGGAGGTTCCTCGTGTAAACCTCCACAGTCTTCCTAATCTGCCCAGGATTCAGCGAGTCCCTCACGTGATGAATGAGATCTGCCAACATGCTGTACGCCAGTGGCCGCATGTTCTCGTAGACGGTGAGGCCATCTCCGATCAGTGTTCTCTCATCTAAAAGCTCGTCGATCTTAGTTAAGAAGATCTTTCTGAAGTTAAAATTGATTATGTGACGGATCGCGACGAGCAGTTCCTTCCTCGCACTCGACTTCTCGCGGGGGCAGTCCTTCAACAGGCGAACGACGATGTCCGGCAAGGTGGGAAGGAAGTCGGTCAGCTGTTGTGAGTACTGCCTGAGCAGGTAGGCCAGAAAACTCATAGTCTTGACCTGTGCTGTGATGAACTCTCCAAAAGCCGCCCTGTTCTTGATGTCTGGGCTGACACCTGCAAATATCTGCCCCTTGGCCGCTGCATCGGCGTGTGCTTGCTCCTGGGCTTTGGCCTGCAGGCAGAGCACACTCTTGATTAAGGGCACGAAAGCCTTGACATTGGTTGGAACAGTCGTACGATAGACCTGGAAGATCGACACCACGATGATAGGGCACTCGGACAGGACCTTGAAAGACTGCATGCCCTTGAGCAGCGGGCGAGCAGTGGGCTGTTCCACTCCGAACTCTGTTGTTGTTGCCGTCGGTGATGGGGGCCGAGGACTCTGGTGCTGGTGGAAGTTGGTCTGCGAGCTCGAAGGTGTCGAGGGCAGGCCGCCGCCGGCCGCAGGTGTCGGCTCATTGTCCAGCTGTTCCCGGACCACCCGCTCCATCTGCTCGAACAGCTCCTGGATCAGGCTCAGAAAGTCCTGCACCTTGTTTTGGACCACCTTGGGCTGGTGCCGCATGATATCAGAGATGACCTTGACACAGATGACGGCATTTTCCTCGTTGTCGGTGCGCACGAGCTTCATCAACAATTCGACGGTCTCGAGGGCGTAGTCTTGGAACGGCTCGGTCGGCGACGGGGCCGTGGGGAATCGGTGGAGGATCTCGAGGATGGTGTTTCGGAGTTTCTGCAAAAGAGAAAAGAAGAAGAGAAAAGGATCAGTATGGTTCTCGGAAAGCGCGACATGCGGGGCGGCACCTTACCTGTTCATTCGAAGTACTCTGGAATATGCATGGTCCATTGAGGGTGTTGATAAAGATGGGCATAACCTTCTGCAGGAAGATCTTGTAGTTGGGCCCATTTACAAAGACGTCGAGGTTGTCGCGCAAGGTCGTCGCGGCATCGACCTTTGCGCGAGACTCTGCAGCATCGGGAAGATCAGTACGTGCTGTGGGATGGAGCGACAGCCTCGCCAACTCACCAGTGTCCGACGTCGTGAGGCGCTTGACCACATCGTCAAGGAGTTGCGACATGGTCGCTACTGTTGTCGAGATGCCACCAGCAGCAATGCCATGGAACACTGTCTGTCGCTACAATGTAGCGCGTGGGTGTGGGCGCTGGGCCCCAAGGCTCTTTTTCTCGTTGCGCGAGGCGGTTGGACTAGCACGGTACGTGAAGAGCTCAAGGTAGCTTTAGAAGTTGCGCCGAGTGACCCTGCCGGCGCCGGCGCAATTCATACTAATCAGAGGCAGATGTGAAAGTATGCTAGGCAAGACTCGCAATCAAACTTCAAATGAAGGCCCAGGTATTGGTGGTAGTGGTGGTGGGAAGGTGCAACGGATTCTGGGAATGTTCTCTGGACGCGTTGGATGCGCTGCTAGTCTTGAAGAGATGTGGGACAGAGAGACTGACAAGAATCTAAATGCTGGGGCATCCAGTCGCCAAAATCAAATGGAGCTAATGCACAATTATGTAAGACTTTGAAGTCAGATCATTGGTCTAAAAAGAGAGCCTTGCGGGGCTGAGGAACAAGGATGAAGTCGCAAATGCTTCCCTTATCTGATCGATCTTATCTGGACCTCGAGGCCAAATCTGAAATTATTAGCAGAGTTTCTAAAGAGTAGAGACAATCTTTTACACCCTGACTTCACTTGGATGAGACTGCTCGGCTGTCAGATTTCTATCAATTAATCCATCAAGGAAATATATATGATTCAGGCTTGTCCCCTCTCCGAACCTCGACCCTCCCTGCGTCTCAACCGCCCGAGCAGAAACATCACTTTAATCATCGCATGTGATGACGTGCGGCCTGGCCTCAACTGACAGCACCAGCGGGATGAGCCGGGGTCTTCTGTCTCTAGACAAGAGATGGAACAGAAGACCCGCTTATTCTAAGTCTCAACACCTCCCTCCAGCGAAAGACTTACAGAAAATGCAGTCGAGGCTGTGCTCCTATTGGCCAATCACCGATTAATGTCGGCTGAATCCTCTCGAGTATGTACATACCTTGGCATACCGTACCACGTAGTACAGTATGTACATTACTACTGGTTCTTTGTTAGTCATCTTGGTCAACCAGATTTTTGGTCAGTCATCTACATCAAACCAGATTTAAGGTTAGTCATCTTGATCAGCCAAACAGGACGAACGGCTACTTCACACATCCATTTGCAGGAATAAGCAATGGCACACGATGTATTTGAGGATATCAGCCGATTGGCATGTTATTTTCTCTCTTCATCTATCAAGCGAGTGTCTCTTCCGCAGAAGACTCAATGCGGTTTGCATATGCAAAAAGCCCCCATACACCATCACAGGTAATTCAGGGGCTGTCGGTGTAAATGATACAGTTAAGAAGGTAAAGTCAAGATCGCCCAACGCCCACAAACTTTTTACAGTTGGTATCGTCCACATGTCCCATTCATAAGCCCTAAAAACCACACGGAACCCCATTTCTCCATCCAGGAAGGAAAGAGGCCGCAAGGAGAGAAGAAAAAAAAAGAAGTGAAAAGGGGGGTACGTCGAAAAGAAGAGCCGGTCATCGTCGTCAAGTGACTTGGAAAACTTGGCTTAGGCCATGCCAAAGAGCAGAGGCAGGCCGCGCTTCTTGTTGCGGCGCTCGGCACGGGACTTCCTGAAGCGGCTCTTGGAAGCCGCAACGATCTCAAAGTCGGATCCGGTGCCGCTGCAAGAGGTGCCGGCAGCGACGGACATGGCGACCGACCACTCGCCAGAGGCGCAGACCTGGTAGGTGGTGCTGCTGACGCAGACGTACTCGCCCTCATCGGTGCAGGCACCGGTCTGGGTGCTGCCGCTGGCAGAGGAGCCGCTGGACGACGAAGACGAGGAGCTTGTCGCGGTGGGCGCGGCAGCAGCGGCGGTGACACTGGCCTCAGAGGTCTCGGCGGCGGCAGTGGACGGGGCGGCGGCGCCAGAAGTGGCAAACACACCACCACCAGCCGCGGCGGTCGCGGAGGCGCTCACTGCAACGACAGTGGTTGACGCCTCGCTGGAGGCAGCGGCCGAAGAGTCGCTGCCAACGCCAACAGTACAGTCACCAGTTGGGGTACCCCAAGCAGTGGTGGCGCCGTTGAGCTTCTGGACGACATCACCTGGGTCGGGGAAGACGAGATCAGTGTCGGAAGGGGTGTGGCAGGTATCGCTCTCGTCGTCCAGGTTGGCAACGAACATGTCAGGCAGCGCGTCGTAGTTGGACTGAGAGCCAGAGGTGCCGGTCAACGTGATAGGGGCGCACTGCATGTACATCTCACGGTTGCCGACCTTGTTGAACCAGGTCCAGGCGATCACGGCGTTTCCTGTGGGGATGTCGTCGGGGATCGTGAAGTTGTACGTGTAAGGGTCAGCAGCAGTGGCCGATGTGTCGGATCCGAGGTTTCCAGCAGTATCCTGGGCAACGCAGCCTCCCTCAATGGAGGTGATGACCTTGAAGACACTGGAGGACGAGGGGTTCTCGTCGTAGGTGATGGAGATCTGGCAGCTGCCACCACCGTGGACACTCTGGCCCTCAAAGGTAAGAGGCTGGTCAGATCCGAGCGCCATCTCGGTCGCTCCAGATCCGTCGACGGTGTCACTGCTGTATGTGACTGATCCAGTTGCTTGGCAGGGGTAGTCGCTGGAGGAGATAGGGCCGTTGGTGGCTGAAGGGGTAGCAAAACGGGCTGGTTTCGCAAGGTACATGTGGGCGTTCGCCACGGCAGCAAGGCCGCAGGCGGCAGCGATCTTGGTGAAAAGCATTTTTGCTGTTTGGTGAAGGATTGCGTCGAGGGTTGAGATGAGTTTCGTTCCAGACGAAGGGTTCTCAGAGAAAAAGTGTGGCAAAGACTGTTTTGGTGTAGTAGGGCAAGAGTTGATTGTACCTGTGCTGCAGAATAATTAGAACCTGACACGATATTATATACCCGATCTCAAGGCCGAACAATTCCGTTGTTTCTGCTGCTGTAACAAGTGAATCATAGAGAACAAGTACTTGATTTGCTTACCTGACAATGCTTTGTAGCGCTCTGTGAAGTACAATGACAATGTCCCTTGAAAGTATTTGATGATTTCTTTTGTTCAGGAATGAATGGTATGCACCAGGCAGGGTAAAGATGAAATCAATGAAAAAGAAAAAAGGCAGCTCTCCAAGGAGTGAAAGTAACTGCTCAAGTCTTCTGCGAAAGAGATGAATGATGAAGGACAGCACTGAATGAAACAAGTGAGGTAGGGCTACCAGAGCATCTTTATATCGCGAGTGACGATACTGTGGGCAAATACCACGTACAAACAGCGGGGCAGGAGAAACGAACGGATATTCCCCCCCTCCCCCCTTCCCCCTGGGGCCCCCCTGGATGTGGATGGACGGACGCAGGCGCAGGCCCCTCCCTGGATCCCACTTGGGACCAAATTGGGACATGGATGGATACTAAAGTGCATGGGAGGAAACCCTCAGCCACGGACCAGTGAAAATCAGGAACAGCATTCATGAGTCTGCCATGCGATGCATGGTGGACCCGCCAATGGGATCAGGGGTCAGAGCTCAGCAGCCGAGGAGAGGCAAACGGCAGTGCGTGATAGGCTGCGCCGGCGCTGGCTTGTTTCGGATTTGCACAGCAAGAGGGAAAACTTCTTCCAGCCAGTGGCCCAGAGTCAGACATGGCTTCCTGCACGATGGATGCCCACACACACACCTCTGCAAGTGCTCGCCGCCTTGCCCCTGACTAAATCCTCTTTGGGCAGGAGGCCATGAAAGACGTCTGGAGATGCCGGTGGTCCTCAGAGTGGCGGAATGCAGTGCCTATACCAAGGGATCACTCCTATGCCAGGGTTGCAAGCGGGCAAAGACACCATGGTAGGACCAAACGGGACGTTTATATTTACCCCGCCAAACAGAAAATGCCGCCGCCGACTCGCACAGGATCGAAGTTGGTTCTCTCGTGCGACCTGATAAGCTGACCGAACTGGTCACAGTCAGGCGGGTGCTTGGTCTCTGGGAGCCGCAGTCAAGCTTGTACCTCGCTTGGCCGTCCAAAACCCAGGGCAGACCATGAGTGGTGGGAGGAGGCCGAGGAAGCAAAAAGAACCCAAGGAGACGGGTCGCGCGACATTCCGCCGCGGAATAACCCAGGTTTGGTTCTGGTGTCGCCGTCCAGGCCTGTCGCCACCTGCTCCTCCCATGTCGTTGGTGTTTGTAGCCCGGATTGCCGCATCCAATCGAGGGCCTTTCCTTGCATGGTGGGGGCGCAGGTGCTGTCTTTCTGAACAAGGAACGTCCTAAGTCCAAACCTGGTTCGTCCCTCAGGGGAAGTCGAAGGAGGCAGCACGAGAGGCTGCAGAGGCCTGGACTTCAGGAGGTCGCCTGTCTTCTTTTTTTTTTTTTTTAAAAAAAAGGTTTCAGGGGGGGGCCTTGCACGAATCCCAAGCCTGTCCGCCCCTGCCAACCCCTGGCAGAGGGCAGCTGTCAGGGGGCGCGCGAAGCGCATCTCAAGCGGCTGGCTGACATCTGCTCGCCTATCGTTCTCCGCAAACTCCAAGAAAATCGGATCTCTGCACAGGATTTTGCGCTTCCATCCTTGGTCGTCCGTCCCACCTGAAGAGGCAGCCGGACCCATTTCCCACATATGATATACGTATACTTACTTATGGCAACGTAGTAGATTGCGAGTCGGCTGTGACGAAGAGGCCCCCGTTCCGCGCTGTCGATAGGCGCCCAGCAGTCGCCAGGCATGCGGCATGTGGTACTGGTTCCTCACAATCCTCTCCTCCACCCATCCGAGCATGCGCACCATCATCATGCATGTCCTAGCACTTTAGAGATGCCGAATAAGCGGTGATGGTGAAACAGAAACCACGGTCATGAGATGTCACCAAGAGGTGTCTGTGCCTGTGTTCTGGTACTCTGGTACAATGATCACCATAGTACAACATGTTGTGGTAGTCCAGTATGTAGGGATCGACACCTGCGCAAATTACTCAGTAGCAAGTCCCGCGAAGAAGCACCGCGGGGCCCAGACGGCACACAGAAAAAGCATGACGGCTGGGGCCGCCTCAGCGGGGGGCGACAGGCGAAGACAGGCGAAAGACAGAATACCATATGGAGGGCCCAAAAATAGGCCCAGGTATCCATCCCTCTCGTTGCCCCCCCCCCCCTTTTTTTTCTTCTTCTTCTTCTTTCTTTCAGCACACGCATCCCATCACAGCGATGGATCGATCCTTGGCAACAAACGGTCCGAGGTTCTGTTGCCTCGGTGGGCAGACCACGTACGTGGATGACGAGAGATGTTAAGATGCATTTGCCCTCTTTGCAGGCCAACCCAGACCTGGGCAGGAAGCAGCCAGGGAGGGCATGGAGGGCCTGGAGGCCAACCAAGAAGCTCTGGCTGAGGTGGATCCAGACCAAACCCCATGCCAGGGGTCCTCGCCTCTTGCAGTCCAACAGAATCCCCTCCAGGTGTCCATAAGCCAGCAGGGTGGCAGGGTTTCTATGCACGGGCACGGGTGCTGAGGTGTGGGTGGAGCCGAGGGGGAGGCGTTTCAAAACACTCGGCCAGTGCTGTGCCCCTCCTCTTCCTATTCCCCGGCTTTTTCGTCCCGATGTCATGTCCATCACACTTTTCTTTTTCTGGTCGTCCCCCAATGGGGCCCAGCCCGCCAGCTTTTGCTCAGGTGTGATCGTCAGGGACAAAATCTCGTCACACCCGTGCGCACAGGACGGCATCTGTGCCGTAAGCCAGAGACCGAGTCAACATCGATGAGGTAGCCACCAAAGAACAAACTGTGCTGTTCGTGTGGTTGTTTCAGAAATGGGGATAGGCGGCTGCAGTGATGATCTGTCTGAGTATGTCAAGATCTAAGAAACCGTACAGGTCCACTTTGAGAGTTTTCCGAGGGACCAGGCGAACCGTCATGCCTAAGGGAAAGGAACCACCCATCTGAACCATAGGAGCTCTGTAGTACCCAACTAGGTTAGTTAGCATGCACAAACTGAAGGCACAAAGTCCCTCCACACCACAGAGTTCCTTGCCCTAACCCTGAGAATCAGTAAGCTTTTTCTTCTCATATCATGTGGTTCCTGGGGCTAATTTACTCAGTTACAACCAGAAGCCCACTTGTCCTCCGAGGGTAAAATGAATGAACGAAGAAGAAACTTGAGGTCGAACTAATCAAACGCTTGGAAATCCAAGCGAAATATTCTACCATTGGTACTGCCGATATTGACTGTTTAGTCGGATTGGATTGAATTCTAATTGTGACCAACACTGACAGTCTTCCCTGTGTTCAGGGCCTCTGATGCCCCTAATGACTAGCATTTTCCTGTAAATCTAATGAATTGACATTATGCTTTCACTGATTCATACCGAAGTGAAGACGTACATAAAACTTTGTCAACGTAATTAATGTATTTCACATTGTCCCTCTTCCCGGCCGGCAGAGGCAATATTGAAGACAACAGTGCCACAATTTGATTGAGATGAGCAAGACCTGCAATCTGAGGTCCGTCTGGGTGTTGACAAGTAATGAGCCTGTTGTGCTTGGGCTTAGATAGATTGGAAATAGTTCACACACCAACCCTCTCGCTTAGCCCGAAAATAAAGAACAAATCCCTAAACCCCGTTCCGTAATTACATCTACTTACCTAGTATCGTCAACCATCCTCTCTGATCATTATATGGGAACCCCCCGAGTGAACTCCGTCTTCTTAAGCCGCTCCTCCGCGGCAGCAGCAAAATCACTTGGTACTAATTATCCGTGTGGAACTCGAGATGATATTAGACGTCCATCGTCAATCATTGGACTGAAGATTCCGTAAACCCTTGAGCAACGCCAACTCCATTCCCCCTTTCAACTGTCATCTCAACCTGAGTCCTCCTTTGTAGCACAACTAATTATCTGCCAAAACCGGAATGAAGTCGATGTTGACAACCAATGTGTCCTTTGACTCCCGTCCAGAAAGTTCCGCTCACAACAAACAATAAGGAGTCAGAGAACAAAGAGCACAGAGACCATGCCGCTGAAGAGTATGGCCACCTTAAATAGACTTAGAATAGAATCCCATTGATCTTGATGCAAGTCTTTATTTTTATTTTTTTAATGAGTCCCTTTCTTCCATTGCAGCCTCGATTGCCGCATGAACTGCCCAGCCCAGCGCATCTCCCCCTCTGACCAACAACAGCCGACGACCCCAGCTCATAGTTACAAGAGATGGCGACCACATCTCCACAGTCTGAAAATGTGTCGTCGTCCATATCCGAGCTTGCAATCATTTCAGGGTCGGACAGTTCTGCAGAGGAAGCAGCCCTGCGGCCCAGGCGAGGACTCGAACAGGCGGGTGCCGTCGTGAAGAAATGGCGAAAATTCCGCGGTGTCTACATGGAGAGACGTAATTTAGTAGAGAACCGATGGTTCAGACTGGAGTTGAACAAGAGGAAGAAGCTTCTCACTACGCTTTGGAGGGCGCTGAGCGGGGGGAAGGAAATGCCGCAAGCCCATCGCCCGGACGTAGAGTAAGTAATTATTATTATGACTGATAATACAATATCTATATTTGCTAATATCCTCTCTCTTTTCTGTTCTTCACGATCAGCGCTGTAGCCGTATGGAGAGCCACCAATAAGGACCAGGAACCTTGGCCTCTCATTTGCAGTGATGCAGACGCCATCAAGTGGCCTCTGTTCAACCAGGCAGACCTTGCCAACCGGCCCGAGGTGCTGCTGACCATACTGGACCACAGGGCGAGGTTCCATCCTGGGGCCTTCCAGAGGGAGGACCTCTTCGGCGAAAACTATCCGCTGGCGAAGGCGGTTGGTGTCCTGCCCCTGCAGAGAGACCAGGTCACCGAGTACAGGGAGGGCATCGTCATGGCCGACCTGACAGGTGTTGCGCTGGAGGACAACGACCAGGACATGCAAGAGGAAGATGACAGCTACGGCACGATCAACGAGCCGGAGAGCCTGGAGGAGCTGAAGCTCTTCAACAGCTCAGACATGATCCTGAAGGAGGCAGGGGATGTAGTTATGGAGGTCCAGTATAGGATCTACAGCCTTCTCGACGACGTCGTTGAGAATATTACCGGAGATAAGCGCAACAAACCTGTGGTCCCTCACGCATCCGACAAGGAACCACTCGACTGGCGGGTCAGACAGCCCACCGACCCAGAGGACCCGAGTTACGAGAAGGAGCTCACGAATTACTTCAACGTCTCGCGGACCCTGCTGTCCTGCACCGCGCCAGGCGAGATGGACTGGGACTATGTCATTGCCCTGAGCGCGCGGCGACGAAAGTGGCACGAGCGACAGATTGCCGTCCTGAAGGAAGACCCCGGCGCGCTCCTCGACCGGCTACAACAGGCGCGAACCCACGGCAGATTTGGCAGCCAGTTAAAAACTAAGCAAGGGACCACTCATCCATACAACGACGGCAATACACAAGCCGACACAGATCTCCAGATGTGGACCCTCTACTTTCAAGACATCCTAGCACATCACAACGAATTAGTGGACGTCTGGGCGGGGACAGGCCAAATGCTGGAAGACTTACGGACAATCCCGCCAGGCACACGCGCTTGGATGTCCAAAATCAAAACCCTGGCAGGCCTCACCAGCCCGGGCAAGGAAGTCCTGGGACTTCTCCTCGACGTGCTGGTCAGCGCACCCGACCTGCGGGAGTACTTCAGAACAGCAGCGTCCCGGAACGAACAGGGAGAATGGGTCGTGCCCATTGTAGACGGACTACCAGGGGCGCCGAGGATACTCAAGCGGGACAGCAACACGATCGGGGCTCTTGCTGCTTGGCGGAGGGCCATGTCGGAGGAGCGAGCCCGCAAGGCCTTTGGGCTGCACACCATGGCCGAGGAGCTGCGCCAGATCCTCAGCCGCTTCAGGAAGAACGTGTTCAGCGAGTACGTCCTCGGGCAGGCAGACAGCTTCTACGACCTGACCATCGTCGCAAAAGCCGCCAACAAGCTCTGGGAGAGCTCGCTCATGCTGTACGGACGGGACGGCCAGGACGGCACGGGGGCCGCCAAGGGGGAGTGAAGTGATTTCCCATTGGCCCAGGCGAGGTGCGCACAGCTCCTCTGGGTCCTCGAGGCGCACCCGGGCATGCCTCTGCGCGACGAGATCGATGCCTATTTCAAGCCGCAGCCCGCCGTGGCGTTTGACTACCCGCCGCTCGAGGACAGGATGTCGGACAGGGCGAAGAAGGACAGGATCCCCAGGCGGATCAAGGCGGAGCAGAACCTGGCCAACTTCTGGGCGGCGGTAGAGAAGACGTTTACGACTGGGCTTCTGGTTGCGCCCTATACTTTTCTCACGCTGCGGAGGGCCAGGCCGAATGTCACACCACCTTTTGAGCCAGCTGTAGCGAGAAACAAGAGAGCCAGAGAGGAGTCCCCAGGCCCGAGAACGCCGTCACCACCTGCCAAGAGGATCAGGACAACCTCCCCCAGGTCTCCTGTCTCACCTATCCGAGCTGCCCTCCCAGGCGAGGGGGGCCCACGACGACCAGCCATTGATCGGCGGGCGGCAGCGGCGGCGGCGGCAGCGGCGGCGGAGGAGGAGGAGAAGGCGAGAGCTGCTACCGCACAGGCATTGGCTACACCTCCAGAGGAGCCTGTCCCTGCCAGAGAACATCCTCCCATCCAGCTGCGAAGAGATCACTACGAGTTCCTGGAGGCGCTCATGGTGCCCCCTCGAGAGCGCGCTGCTGAGAATGTGCTCTTCACAACCATGTACGTGATAGCCCCTCTCTTCTCTTCTCACCAGACATGGAGGGTTCTAATGACATAGCAGATTTGAGGTGTGTAGAGCTATAGGTTTCGAGGTCAATGAACACGCAGGCAGGACCAATGCTAGTATAGTGCTCGACCCAACTCCAGAACTGCGAGAATCCCAGGTAAGTTCTTCATGAAAGCTATAGTCCTCGTACTTATTGTGGAAGAATCAAGCTGACGTAGCCACAGGGCATTGGTACATCACTATCCAGACACAGAATCCACGGGTCACGATGGCTCAACCGCAATGTGGCATCTCGATGGCTTCGATCCAGGACTCATGGTTTTGGACAGGTTAGTACTCTCTGTTGACATTGTTCCTGTTTCAGGAAGATGAGGAGAACAAGAAAGGAATTCAGGCCTTAAGTAAGTACGAAGTGCTAATTTCATCATGGTTCAGTATGGCTGGACCTGGGAGAAATTTGTTATGGCACCAGAAGATGATGACGAGTGACGGACTTACAGTCGTAGATAATACAGAGAGTATTTTCTAGTCCGTGTTTAGTCAAAATGGAATATTCAAATGATTACTGTGTGGGACATATATTTCCTCGTCAGGACGTTGCCAGTGATGGATGCTCGGAGGCTTGGTTATTTGCACAAGGAAAAAAGGGTTCATTTACAAGAAACCTATCTACATGTCGCACCAGTGCACAGACGTAGACTGGGCCGCGGGTCCGTGCGCGTCTTCCTTTGTATAAAAATGCAACCTAGAATTGATTATTCATGTACATAGTACACCTTTGCTACCACAGATCTCACCAAGACGGCAGAACACTCTCGATTGATGATAATCCTGTTTCGCTTCGCAGGCTTGTCAATAAGGCTCTGCAGTAATGTAGTAAAAAGGAAAAGGAGGGTGATTGGGCAGTCTCCTTTCACAGTATCATGCAGGCCAGGCAAGCCATGGTGGCCAGCTTTTGCACTCTCAGCTGCTTTCTGCTTTCAATCATGGCAGCCGAGGCACGATGCACGCACCAAAGACACCTCTTCCCTACTTTATCCATCCGATGTTGAGTGAGGCTGCGCATCGTCCATGCGTTCGTTTGATCTCCATCATCATCCCAGTTTAGGATTCACCAACCGAGAATCCCAACCCCCTCCCCCCGGCCCCACAAGCTGTCAGCTTGGCTCAAGATCTAAATAGATTCCTTGGCCAAACTCTCAGTAAAATAGTTAGATTCATGCGTGGATTTCATTCTGGACTTTAACCCCTGCCCCCCCCCCCCCCCATCTGATTTAGCAGGTCCAAACAGTACAAAGTTGTTTACACGATACAGAAAGCTCGGATGAACAAGGACAGTGAAATGGGCGTGTTGGGGGCCACATTTGGAAGAGGCAACACCACAATGAGGGGGCGCTGGTATATTCCATGTTTGGCGAATACGAGCATGGTGGCGGCCGCGTGGAGGGCTGCTGGTGCTTGCTGTTTTAGTAAAAGGAGGGGGCAAAAATGTGTTTATTCATGCTATGCCATTGATGCACCTTGAGTGGCGATTGACTGCTCGTAAACGAAGCGAGAGCCTTTCCTTCGCCATATCGGTACGGTCTAAGTCTAGTCTAATTTTCTCAGACTTCTCCTCCCAACAAATGCATGCAACTCAAGGCAGGCTGGCCGAAAAAAGATCTCTCGCCAATGGCTAGTTAAACGGCAGCCGAGACACTCGCAACGTCACCAGGCTCACAATCTACGACAGTCATATTCCCCGCCGTTAGTTTTCACAAAGTACTTTCAGTCGTGCTCGCGAGATACACACCCAGCACTTACCCTCAAAGACATAGCCCGCTCGCGTCCACAGCTTGAGCTTATCGCGCTTGAACTCGGCAAAGTCCCACTCGCGGCCCTCCAGGTCGCGCTCGTCCAGGAAGACGTACGATTCGGTGATCACCTGCTCGCCCTCAACGTTGCCCTCGCCCGTCTCGTCGCCGACTTTGTCCAGGAGCTTTGGGCGGACGATGCGGCGGTCGTATTGCGACCCCTCACTTCACCAGGTCACCTTGACTGTCAGCAGCAGCAGCAAATTTGCCTTCCTTTCTCAGGGAACATTGAAGAGGGGAGGGGAGTCGGAAGCGCTGCCGATGTTGTACTAACAAGTAGTCAAGCTTCTCGAGATTGGCCTTTGTGATGCCGCTGACCACCATGCCAAAGACATTGTGGTCGACGTCCTCGATCATGCCTGGGTAGTCGGCGCTGCGGACCCGGCGACGGCAGTAGCCGTGCAGCACAGCAGGACGGAAGTGGTGTCGAGCCTTGATGTCATCGGAAGGGCTTCTGTTGTTGTAGCAGACTGAGTAGAAGACCTGAGGCTCCATCTGTCGTGGTGTGTGCATTAGCTAGCGGCATGCTGTGGTATCCTAGCGAGGGTATGTTCCCTGGATAGGTGAAAGAGTGGTTACCAAAGTGCCTGTGTGAGTTGGTTGATTAGCATGAGACGCCCTCAATCCAAGGTTGACCAGGATGTCATCATAATCATACCGTAGAAGAAAGCAGTGCGAGCCTCGTCGACCTCAGTCTGGTAGGGATCGTTCTCCATGGTGACTGTCGAGGTGGTTGCGCTTCTTGTGGTGAGTCGCGTTGACAATTGATGACGAGAGGCTACCTGGTTGAATGTCCAGGTGGGAGTTATAAGAGTGTCCGGCACCGTAATAGATGGAGTAATGTCCAGGCAAGAGGGGGCGATGAAGGTGAGCCCGACAAGTGAGACTGCAGACACGCTGTCTTGATCTTGTTTGCCTGGCAATTGCGGAGGGTTCCAGTCTCTCTGTGTCAAATTGATCTATGGAAGGAGCAGCGTGAATGATGTTGGGCCTGCAGTTTTTACATATCTTGAATCAGATTGAGTATGTAATCAGTCGTGAGTCGGCAAAGGTGAAGCTGTGTCATCTGCAGGTGCGGTGATAAGCTCCCGCCGTGATCGGCGCAGCTACGGGCGCCTGTACACTAGAGACACAACACAATTGCCGCTTCCTTCAATCAGACATACCAAGCCATGATATTTGTGATGACTCTCTATATTCAAGAAGCGAGAAAAGCAAGGAAAAGTAGAGAAAATGCTATAAAGACGCTGGTCTTATCAGCCTGTCTACTTGCCACATTGTAAAAACGATTCTTTACATGCTACAAACACCTCATAGAACGAACCCCCCCTTTCTTTTTTCCTTCTTTTTTTCTTCTCTTCTTCTCTCTCTGTTATCTTTCTTTACAGCATATAGTATTGCTCAAAACAAGGTCAATTCCATTAACATTTGAGCCTTAGCAGAATCATTTCTTGTTCACTGAAAAGGAGGAAATGCATCCGAAGAGTCGCACACAATTCTGTCATTGGCACTGTACTCTGAAGAAGGACTTATCCCCGAACAGTTATCGTGATAGACGCTCTTTTGTTGCTCCTCCCTTTTCTTGCATAACATTAACGAAGCTCGAGATCAACCTCAAGAGTAAGATAAAAACTCTTGAGTCGTTGTATGAAAAGATGCCCCAGTGACTTTTTAGAGGGAGAAAAAAAGGTGCCGCTTGCTCAACAACACATGCAGTATTTCACTGCTGAGCCGCCAGCAACTCCTTGATCACGTCCTCCACATTCCCCATATCCTCAGGCTTGAGCCCCAGCGCCTCATTGTCCGTCTTCTCATACAAGGTCCCACCCTCAGCCCAGATCCTCCGCAGCGTGATGATGGTGGCCTTGGGGTCCTGCTCCGCCCACAGCTTCTTCTCCGCCTCAACGAGCTTGCTCACCGGTATATACGACACCGTCCACTTGGCGCCCGTGAGCTTCTCGTACACGGCCAGCACCTGGTTCGGCGTCACCTCGAACGAGTTCACCTTGAGCGCCTTGCCCACCGCCGCCTCCGGGTGCTGCAGCGCCGCGACCACCAGCTTGCCCACATCCGGCATCGTCGTGAACGCCACGCGGCCCTCGCCGTCGTCCGTGAGCAGCGCCTCCTTGGCCGCCACGTCGAACCCAGGACACACGCCCGCCAGCCCCGGCATGCGCCCCACCCACGACTCAAAGTAAGGCCCCGTCACCACATACGTGACCTGCGTCTTCTTCACCTCGTCGCGGATGAACCGCCGCACCGCCAGCTTCTGCTGGTGCGGCGGCTCCCCCGCGCTCTGGGGCCCGTACTCGATGTCCGTGCCGAACTCGCTGGGCAGGAACCACGCCACCTCTTCCTGGTCCGCCCACCGCAGCAGGTCGATCTGCTTGGCGATGGCCGCCCGCCCGAACGCGCAGATGACCGTGTCGATCTTGTGCTCCTTGTAGGCGGCGCGCACGTCCGACTCCGACTCCACGTTGCCCGTCACCACCGTCACGTTGCCGGCCTTCTTCTTCCACCCGTCCAGGAGCGCGCCCTTCTTCTCCACCGTTTCTGGAGACGTGAAGATGGTGATGTGGTCGAAGGCGGGCTGCGCGCTGACGACTTTGTCGGTGATGTACTGTCCGATGAAGCCTGTCGCCCCAAAGATGAGGATGTTGGATGCTTTGATCGCCGTCATCTTCTTGATTTTTGCCTTGCTAGGGATTATGAAGTGTGGTGTAGGGAGGGGGGGAAAGCGAGATAGAGGAAAGAATTCTGTCCAATCTGGAGAACGGTCCCAAATTGACACAAATTTCCTATTCGCCTTTCTTTGCTTCTTTTCTTGAGCAAGAATATGTCGTTGATGTTGTACGGCAAAACCAGAGAAACTCTCGGAAGGAGACGGTACTTCGGAACTAAAGTCCCATCATTGCGCGGCGGGGTCTTGTTTAAGTAGTACAGAATAGTACTGTAAAGTGGGGTTGCGTTGTGCTCGCGCCTGGGCGAGTCCCTCAATTGCGAATCATCAGCAGCAAGTAGTACTGATTATGTAGCTAGTACAGATTGCTGTGTACAAGGCCTGATGAGGGGTTGCAACGTGCATCATACGCCGGTCCCTCGTGCTCAATTCTTGGAGATACCCAGACGCAGTACTTGTACATAACAATTGACTAATGGGATCTTCGAACCACACCCATTTGTTCCGGATCCGAGTACGGAGCAATGGAGCGGGACGGAGGGTGGGAGAGCACGGCGTTGTGTCTTCTGTGGAGCCCAGCAGAATTTAGTGCAATACACACACTATGAGCGCATGTCCCTAGGAGACTTCATGGTAAATTTAATCATGTTGCATGCCGGGAGAAGCCGCGCCGCTCCCATTAGTTAATTGTCCTGGCCCCTCTCCCTCATCTAGAGGATCCTCCTAATGATGCAAGATCTGTCAAGAAGCACGCACTGACGAAATACCCCTCCGAGACGCCTTGCAAATGCTCATGGACTTCGCTGGCCCGTCATGGAAAAAAAAAGGAAGAAAAGGTCTCTAGTTATCGTCACTCATTCCCGTCATGTTCGAACTTCTCTCCTGTGGTGTGCTCATGTTCAGCATGGCCCTCTCCTTACCCTTTCCTTTCCCTTTGCTATGTGGCCCGTTCAGCCTCGCTGCTAGTTTTGACCTTGCCTCTTGCTTGACTTGGTCTAGCTCGTTCTCGAATTCGGCCAGCGTACCATCGTCGTCGAGTTCAGCAAGGACACTTCCAGAGTTCGAGCTCTCGTCGAGCGCCTTGAGCAGTAGCTCCGTCGCGATCGGGTCCTGCGGGTTGATCGCCAAGGCCTCATGTAGAATATTGACTGCCTCTTCTGGCTTTCCGATGTCGAGGTAAATCAGGCCCTTGGCACAGAAGATATTAGCATCCTTGCCGCTCTCACGTAGGACCGTGTCGAACTCTAGCAGGGCATATTGAAATTTCCGCTGGCGCCGATACGTGTGGCCCAGATTCGTGTGTGCAACTATAGATGCTTTTGGGTCACTGTCGGTTGTGTCTCCAATCTGAAGAGCTTTCTTGAAACTCTCTATTGCCTCTGGCAGGCGATTTTGATGGTAGTAGACGATGCCCATCTCGTTCAGGAGGAGCGGGTCTGTTGTGCATAGTCCATACGCGGTGTTGAGAAACTCCTCTGCAACCGTCATGTTGTTCATGGCGTGATGCTGCATCCCCAGAAAGACCTGGGGCAGATGAGTCCCCATGAACAGCCGGGCGGCAGTGGAGTAGGCTGAGATAGCCTGGTCGTGTTCGCCCTCGGCGGCAAAGGTATGGGCGAAGCCAATCCATGCCGGACCGAAGTGCGCGTCCATCATACTGGCTTTGCTGAAATAGCGACGAGCTTCGGCAACCTTGCCGATCATAAAGTAATAGGTAGCAACAGCGAGCCAGGTGCATGGTTCTTCGGGGTGGCTGTCGGCGAGCTCGTGAGCAACCAGAAACAGCAGATTCTTCTCTTTCAGTTCATATAGGCAGGCCAGGTGGATAGGGTAGACGCTGAAGTTGTACTTGTCCTCGGTCAAGATGGAATTGGTGATCTCCAGGGCCTCTTTGAATCGTGACTGTGTCAGGAACTGTTCTGCTCTTGCCAGGAGGAGATCCGGGTTCTCCTTGAGCTTGTAGTGAGTGGCGAGGCTCTCGCACGCCGTGTTAAAGGCATCCTGTTTCTTGTACTTCGACAGCCGCGTACTGTATAGCATCTTGACGTAATGGGCTGTTTCCTGCGCGGCGTCTGTGTATGTGTCACCGCCGGCACCGGCGCCAATGGCGTCAAAGTCAAGAGACTCGAGGAACCCCCATTCTTCTTCTGGGGAGAGCAGTAGGTTCTGGGTCAGCTGATTAAAGGCCTCGAAGCATTGGACGTCGATGCGGACAGCATTTTTATAGCACTCTTTGGCATGGTCGAAGGCATTTTGCTTGGCATAGCAGATGCCTCGCAGGTAGCACATGCCAGCCTCGTAGCGCCTATTCACTGCCTCTGACTCTTCGTGTGCATCGCCTTGATGTGGCCTCGAACTGTGAGCCGGTCTACTGCTCGCGCTGGGCTGGGCCTTTCGCTTGTTCGCATCTTTGGACTTGATCAGGTGTGTTGGGTCTCGTTCGCCCAGTATGACTAGGGCTTCGTCGAAGCGAGATTGCTTGATGAGACAATGGGCAGCTAGATACTGGCAGGAGGGGTTGCGTCTGACGAGATCTCGGTGCTCGAGGAACTTCTGAGCTCGAACGTAGTTTCCAGTCGAGAAGTGGACTTGGGCCATCCAAAAAGCGTCGTTATCATCATCTGGACACGAGAGCTGTCAGCTGAGAGAGAAGCTCTATGCTCTGCTCGGCCGTGTCGAGTTCTTTTGGCAAGGCCGAGGGGGGGGGGGGGGAGGCATTAACTAACCTGTCAGAGCCAGAAGTTTGTCGCCGACAAAGATGGCCGTCTGAAACTGCCCTGCGTTGAAGGCAGTCTGCCTCCAGTTCCTGAGGAAGCCCTCCAACTGGGTATGGTCTGCATCGCTGTCCGACGACATGTCCGCAAGAGAAAGCACCCCTTGTTGATCCCATTAGAAATGGGAGGGGTTCGATGTGGAAATTACAGATCGTATAAAGCAGTCATGAGCTGGAAAGCAAATTCGTGTGCATAGAGGGAGAAAGGATTGGGCGCAAGAAGCTGGGGTGTGGTGGATGCGCGCGATCATGATAGAACCTTGTCGCGCCAACAACAAGGGGCAGCACAGTTTACTTCCGTTTCCTAGGGTTGCAACTGTGGCTTACGTAAGCCTCAAAGTGAACAGGCCTAGTAACGACGACACCACCTCCCTTTCTTCGCGCTTTGCACCACTGCTTCGACCACAATTCGAGACTGGGGTCTACCAAAACCATGAAAAGTGGGAGAGTGAGAGAGAAAATCTCATCTGATTCCTAAGGCAGCCGTCAAACTTGCTACATGATGCTGCTTTCGAAAATTGCAACGTCTGCTGACTAGGTGCTCCGACGGACAAGGCTGTAAAGGAAAACTGGAGCTCAAGACATGCTATTGAAGACAGCCTCATAAGTCATCGCATAATATTGTAACAAGAATATACTTTTTTGATGCTGACATTGCGCCGATCAATGATCAACTGGACCTTGCGCAGTTGTCTGCTGACTGAACCGGGGAGGCCGCCCTATATGAGCTGTGTCAAGCGATAAAGCTGCCAGCCAAATTCGTTGGAGACATGAGCATGGCAAGGCTAGATTTCCTTCCTCCCAACTTGCTTCTAGATTCCATGCATCATCTCGATTCTAATCCGATCTAGGCCCTTCCATATAGAGTAGCAGCATGCCCAATAATTAGCCAGCATGCAAGGGGTTGTTCCTAACGACGTCGGCCTAGCATCTCGGACAGGTCGTTTGTTATCATCCCTGAATTCTCTACATTGCTACTATGTAGTAAAGGGTTGATATCAGTTCAAGATGTTTATGGCCGTGCCAAGGCTCAGGCCTGGGTGACTCGAGCCCTTGACTGAAGTCTGTTTGAGAGCGAGTACACACCTAGGAACATGCACCAGTAGGGGATAGTCCCTCTTGTAATTATTCAAATTCTTTTGGGGGCTAGACTAGGCGAAAATGAGCCTGAGATACCACCCTCGAGAAACAAATAGGCCTGAGTAGTGCTGAACCTTACTTCCCCTTCCCCCTTCCTATTTTTTTTTTTTTTAACAGGAGAAGTTCTAGGGCCAGATCGTGTCAAAGTGACATCGGCTTGGCTCTGTGTCGACCAGGTCTGATGGTTGTAGCGCCACGAACGTGGTGGAGTCATCGAAGCTGCACGTTGAACGCAAAAGAAGTTCCATTTAGCAGTTGATCCAGTCGGAGACCAATCGGATTGTCGTAGACTTCGCACATGCTTAGCTCAGACAATCCTGTGATTTCCAACGACCGAGGAATGACATGTATCGAGAAAGCACGCTGCGTCGTATGTCGGCGGGCAACGGCGACAATGGTGGCAAAGCCGTATAACTTTGCGTCAAGCCGCGGTAAGCCGCGGTTCGCATCGGCAAGCGTCATGTTGTTGGCGCTCTGGATGACCCTGGGTAGACAGCAATTTTCTCTATCATTTCCCCCTCTCTGCCGCCTGCTTCTAAGCCGATGTAATCTCCTGCTTCACCCACTTTTCAAGTCCACCCCTGGCGATGATCTCCTGCACGTTGGGCGGTAGCTCACCAACCTTTTGACTCCAGGTCTGCCCGCCCTCGCCTTCGATGACGGTGACCTTGCTCCTTCTCAAGTCCCATAGGAACTTCCACCCCGTACGACGAGTCAATACCTTGTCTGCCCCCTCGGCAGTCTGAAACGTCTCCCGTAGTCGCTGCACGAGGCGTGGTATCTCCACGAACATCAGAGCGTTATTGATGCTGTTCCGGCTGAAGATGTTCCCGAAGCTGCCGGAGACAACAAGGGGAATCTTCTTGGCCAGGATTGCCGTGGCAGCTTGTTCGCGGGAGCTGCCGCATCCAAAGTTGAACCCGCCCACCAGGATATCGCCTGCCTTGGCGATGTCGCCGAAGTTTCGGTCGTAATTCTCCATAACCACCTCGGCCATCTTCTCGACGGTGATGCTCTCTTGGTACGTATACTTCCCCGGGTAGATGCCATCCGTGTTGATATTGTCAGCATCGCAAAACACAAGCTCCCCCTCTATCGTTTCGGGGAAGCCAGGCAGAATGTCAGTCATGGTCTCCTCCTCTTCGGAGATCTCGACACCCGCCTCGTTTTGCTCAGCCCCCGAGATCAAGCTGTCAGCTTCGGCAATGAGCTTCTCCAAAGCATCTTCTATACTCAATACTTTGTCATGCTCGAACTGACCGGTACCCTCTCCAATGATGGGCTTTTCCACCCCCTCCGGCTTTTGGTACCAGCCAGGGCCAGCGATCTTGCCATGTAGAGCGCTAGCTGCGACAACTTCAGGGCTTGCTAGATAGGCCTTAGCATCGGGCGAGCCCATGCGTCCCTTGAAATTTCGGTTACTTGCCGAGATTCCCACCTCGTGCGGCTGAAGCAGGCCCGTGCCCAGGCCGATGCAAGGTCCGCAGCCAGAAGGAAGCGGCTGGGCGCCAGCCTTTAGAAGTACTTGCCAGTCCCCAGTCTCTTCTGCCGCCTGTTGTTCAGGCAGAGAGGCCGCTGCGATGTAAAAATCTACACCAGGCGCTACTTTGGGTTCGATGCCCTTGTCAGACGCCTCACGGAACACTCTTGCTGCGGCTCGCAGATCTGATGCTCTCCCGTTGGTGCAGCTGACAAGGTATGCTTTGTCAATCTTGATGTCCTTGGCCTCCAAATCGCGGAGAGGAGTTGCAATCTTGACCGCATTTGGCCCAGAAACGAAAGGAGACAGCGTCGACAAATTTAGGTATAGCGACTTGGCGTATGAGGCACCGGGGTCAGCTGTCGGACGGTCTCGAATGAGTTGGTCAATTCTCTGGTGTGAGAACTCATTTGCAGCAACACCATCACCCAATACTGCGGAGGCTGTCGCCTTGGCACGTAGCCATTTTTCCAATGTTGAGTCGACTGGGAAAAGCCCTGACAATGCGCCCCATTCCGTAGTCATGTTAGCAATAGCTAGACGGTCATCAACCGGTATGCTGGCCATAGTCTCCTGAGAGCCAGCAAATTCAATGGCGTGATTCAACACTTCGTCCTGGTTGAACAGGCCGCAGAGTGCAACAATGACATCCTTGCCAGTCACGCCTGGAGGTAAGATTCCTGTCAAGGTAACCTTTGCAACAGGAGGGACCTGGAACCATGTCTTTCCAGTGGCCCATATGCTTGCTGCATCTGTACGGACCACCGCTATCCCTAGACAACCTATGCCACCGTACATGTTGGAATGGCTGTCAGATGCCATCGTAAGGGTACCTGGCCAAGCGTGACCCTCTTCGACCATGATCTGATGGCCAATGCCGCGTCCAGCAGGGTAGTTCTGAATACCTTGTTCCGTAGCAAACTGTTGGATTCGTTGATATTTCTTCAAGTTCGTTTCGCTCTTGTTCTGGACATCATGGTCCAGGGTCATGATGACCTGTCTAGGGTCTCGAATTTTGGAAGCCCCAATAGATAGGAACTTGAGGATGATAGCTGCGCTGTTGTCGTGAGACATGAGGCGCGCAGGAGAGATACTGATATAGTCGCCGCTCCGAACGAGCTTTCCCTCTGGCAGACCGACAGCATGGCGTTGTATAATCTTTTCCGTTGAAGTCTGTGATAACTTTTTGTCGGAGGAGATGTTGAAGGAGAAGGGGTTCTCCTCCTGGGCGTGGAATGCTTTGTACCGAGCGAAGGCGGTCGTGCTAAGCGAACGGGGGGGATGCAGGCAATGTGAGATGAGTGGTATTATTCGCTGACGGTGACATCTCGGGTTCGGCAGGCGGCCGACAGATCGAGGCCATGAAGGCCAAAGCTTCGAGGGTCAGATCTTGAATGGACACCTAGGGAAAGGAGGGGGGTGGCCGGGGGAAGGCCTACTCACTGATCTGCAAGTCATTGCGAGGGGTGCAGGCGCTCAGGGAGAGGCAGCTATACTGGGAATGTTGAAGACAGTGCTTTGCGCTCCTTGAGGTTGAAAAACCGTTGCGCTTTGGGCGGCCTAAGTACCCACTTGGTCACAATCTTCAGTGCCAGGGTTATAGGGCCAGGGGGCCAAGCAGAGCTAAATCCTGTGTTCATGGGCCACGAGGGCTAGCGCCCACGGATAGACAATGCCGCTGCTACCAGGCAAACTATTTCAAGCACTTATCTACCCATCTTATGGAAGAAATAATGTTGCAAGCTTGCTTAGCAAAGCGTACTTCATACCAAACAAATAGAAAGAGGGAGGGAAATTGTCAATATCAGGAAATCTCCATAGAAATGGTGGTTCTTTTTTTTTCTTCTTAAAAAAAATCAAGGGGTTCCAGACACAGCTTACTATAGTATACTTTTCACCACGCCAGTGTGGTAAGCCAGTTTCATAAACATGATTCTGATTTGCGGAATGGATATGAGGTGTACAAACTAATGCAAGCATCCCACTGTTTTTCCTCTTTCTTTTCCTTTTTGGTTTGCTTCCTTACCATTCACTTACCCATCCAAAGCAGGTTCCCACGCACGCCAGAGACGCTGTCAAACATAAGTACCGTTCTTCCCTGCCTCCTCTTTTGGGTCATCGTACCCTACGATCTGGACTGTATACGCCCGATATGAACAACTGGTCATGTCAAGGGTAAATCGGAACTTTTGGAAGCTCGACTGTGGTACCCCAGTTCCAGAACCCCATGTCAGAAACAGTAGTGGCATTTGTACTTACACTTCGCACCACACGAAGTATTGTACTATGTAAGAAGTCACCCTGGATCACGCCCCAGATGGCGATTCAAACTTAAGATACTTAGTATGCCGTCAATAGGCAATACAGTAGCCACATCTTGTCGCTGCCAAGTCGAAGTAGTTCACGCATTTGTCACTTTTACAAAAAGCCTTAGCTGTCCAGCAAGGCCATGTAGAGTGATACGTAAAGCGTGCTATTTTCGTGCCCTTGTGCATGGAATAGAGAAGATTCAGAATGAGCAAGCAGCAGCAGCACGGACAATCTTCGAGGCCCTTAAAGGTATGAAAAAGAAGAAGAAGAAAAGAGAGTTTGGTACGGCAGCCCGGAGGATTTTCCCCGGATCCACATTTCAAAGTTGGGCCTCTGATGAAACTTGTCAGTTTTCCCCAGTGCGTTCTCAAAGCAGGTCTATACGTAGTAGTAGATATTCAGTAACAAATTTCTTGCGGATGAAGAGCTATATACTTAGTATGAGCATTTACGAGACATACTGTCTGGACATGTTTTCACCCAGCGATGCTTCTCATAAGCTGGATAAGAGACCTTTCGGGTGCGTCAGTACCAGAAGTATTATTGGAGTACCCAAATCTCCCCTTCCTCCCCCCCCCCCCCTTCCCAAGGGAAAGGAGCAAGAGAGAAGGGCGCGGAGAGAGAGAGAGAGAGAGAGATAAAGTGTGTCTGTATGTATGTGCGTGCGTGTGCAAATAGCTATCTTGTCAGGGATTAGGACATTGTTTGTCCACATCTACTGTACTAGCAAATTAAACCCCCGTGGATCGATGAATCGCACACTAGTCTGCCTTGAGAAGCAGGATCTTAGGCTCGTGTGCAAAGCGGGTCTCGCTATTTCTGGTTAGGTTAGGCCCTGGTGGGCACGACAAGGCACATACTACTCGGGCAACATCCCAACTCACAAATTGGTGTTGTACAACAAGACATGCATCTCGACTTACAAAGGCGGTAAAGATCTCCAGGAAACCCTCATGCAAGTCGATTGCATTGTCAATAGTCGAACGTCGTTGCAAAGGCAACGGCGAGCAATGTACACCGCTTTGCCAGAGCGTGTTGACCGCCCCCGACCCCCGACCCCCCCCCCCCCCGAAAAAAAACAACCAACAGTTCAGACTCGTGTCAGCCGCGAAGTCCTACGCGCTCAATCACGTTTCTTACGCGACCGCCCACTCCACCCCGCATCAAGGCCCTTAGAAGCGTGTCATATACTCCATAGCTATACTTCGCCGCTATAATGACTGATTCTCGCTTCGAATTATTAAATGGTAGATCAGACAGTGATGTGGTGTGACTTGCCAGCCTTGCGGCCCAACCACCGCCGGCTCATGTGGCACTCGTAAATCATGTCCAGCTTAGAGCCGAGCAGGTTGAATAAACAATTGACGAGGGGCTTAGGCTCGATTTTTGGTGAATAGCACAGCATTAGACACACCAGTCTCTTTCTTCTCTGTCAGCTCGGTAGGGTTTCAAGATCTCCGTGCGAGGGACGGCGGAACAGAGCTGGAATGGTTCCTGCGCTCATTTCGTCAAGGGTCCCATGAGTAGGGGACGGCACGAAAAGAGAAGGCGAGAGGGGCATGTGAGGTCTGAGCTGGCGGGGGTGGGGGCGTCTGTAGGGTTGTCTTCTCAGGCACGCTTCGAATGACAGCCTCAGAAGATGTGGCGCTCGTACGATAGACCGAGGCCCTATACCAAAATGCATACTAGGGAGCAAAGATAAACCGTGCAAGCCTCCAGCAGTATCAATGTAGTAGACAGGAGCCTATATTGCCATTCATAATTCTCGAGTGTTTGCTTGGCCCCCCATCCAGCGGCACCGAAGGTTACCTAATCCAGCAGCATCCCAAATAAATAAATAAGAAATAAATAAAAAAAAATATAACCAGCCCAGAGACCTTGAGAATAAAGGAGGCAAACGTCAAATTTGTCTGCACTTGGGGCAAGATTCAAAAGCAATCCACGGGCTCCGCAAGCAGCACTTTCCATGGCTGTGACGATTGGCATTGGGCGACAGAGCTATGAAACACATGCTAAATTCCCTTCCGTCCACGTTGTCGCATTACAAGGTGTCAATTTTTTCTTTTTTTTCCCCTGTGGTCTTTCGGCTTCTTCTTAAATGTTCGGACCCCCACTGGCAAAGTCTATGGAGAAGCACCACTGCTGGAGATTCCCCGCGAGACATATGGGCTGCAACATGACTGTACATCAGTTGCCTCATTTACCAACTAGCTCAGTTATTATTCTCGGGCATTACACGGCTTTGATTCGTTCATGTATTGACATAAACTGAGCCGGGCAAGGAATGCGGACTTGTGGCCTGCTCTACGTTGTTTGTGTGGGGGGAGGGGGCGGCGCTGTAAGAGGTTGCGCCTGCAGTTCCGTAGTTTACACTAGTTAGCGCTTCTTGTTCTGTTACTACTTTTTAATTCCCCCTAAGCTTATTAGAGCCATAACAACTTCTCCCTGACGTCGTGTTTGCTCGCCCATTGTCCTCACAAAGTGACCCAGGCGCGGGTCCAAGCCACGCCGGACTCTCGATTTCATTCGATTGCGATACAAGCGAGGATTATGAGTGGAAACATGGTAAATGAGAGCTGGCAGAGTTCTGCAATTCAGACTCTTCTCGACAGCCCAACTCCTGATATTCCAAGGTGGGACGGTTGTGTGTGCTGCAGATGCTAAGTTCCGCCACCACGCGACTCTTCCTGGCTCATACGTGGAGCCTATGTTAATGTGGTAGGATTCTTCAGCAGAACCATCACCTTGCAGAAGCAACGAAACCATACCTAGGCCCTGTCCGCTGGCGCGTCGGCCGCTACGCTTGAAGGGTACATGGCAACTCAGGCGTCACTTTTACCAGTGTTTCGTCGCGGGCGGCGAGCCCCGAGTGGGTCACATCCATTGGATTAGAGGAAAGCTCGCGTGGGCGCGTCAAGATGATATCCTCTGATCCAGGGAGCGGTTCATCGCGGCTCATCCGCGGCTGACTCGCCTCGGGATAACCTGACCGAGAGGGCAAATGGAGGCCCATGCAGCTTAGCCGAGCCAGAGCGCTCGTTCACCAGCACACTCGTCCTTGTTGTATCTGGTTATCGCCTATGATACCTCAAGAGGCACCAGTAGGGCCCGCCTGCTGTGAGCGGACAACACACACACACACAACATGAGACGCACGCTCAAGTCATTGTGCGGTGTAGAAATCCCCAGGACTAAGAGATACTGTACGTTACCTTGGCAAGCTGCTTCCTTCCTACTTGCCGTGCATAGCATAACTCTGACGAGCCGTTTCGAGCAGTCTTCAGCATCGCCCTGTTGCTACCATGTCAGCGGGTCTAGGAGGGCTGGCTTTCCGTACACGTGCCCGTGGGTAGTTCTTCTTTTCCTTCCTCCCCCCCCCCCCTGGTCTCTGCTTTTTCTTGCCTTCCTGACGCGTTCTAAACCATATAAATACCATGGTCTCCTAGACTCACTGATCGTTGAAATCCATCCCTTTAGTCTCTACTTCACTGAGCAACCGTCTGCTGTCCTCTCCAGCATTGGAACCCACGAGCCGAGACCTTCTCATTTTACTTCATCGATCAAGCCTTGCTACCTCGAACCTACCTCGATGTGTCACTTGGACATTGACGGAGAGCCCGACAAGCAGAAGGGAACAATAGTGGTGTATCCACCATGGCCACCAAAGCCACCGAAGCCACCGAAGAAATAATACATTGGACACCGCTAGAGCCACTAGTCGAGTGTCATCTGGTTCCTCTGATCGTGGCAACGGTCACAGGTGTGTGGACGCCCTCCTTCGAACCCCGTCACTGCGTCTGCCGCGAATACATATGGGCTCGTGGGATAATTACGATCCATTGTGAGCATGATGCTGTCCTCCATTACGTACTCAGTGGCTTGTCAACAATAAAGTCGTTTGACATCACCTACTGACACCATAGCTGGTGCTTCCACAGTCATCGATGGCGTGGAGAAGCATTCCATGCTCAGGGTCATCCGCGATCCCAACGCGAAGCGGACAGCAGAGACTGTTTTGAAGTCAGAACAATCCCATGCAATCCTTAGTCAAACGATCAAGCCAGCTAATTAGGCATACAGGCTCGGTAATAAAAGGGCAATAAGGGAGTGTCTGTGTCAGTAAAAGAGGAGCAATTACAACTACAGTGTGATGGGACGAAGGCTCATCCTGTCTCTGCCCTTCAATTGGACACATGGTCCTGCTTCTCAGTTGTCGAATAACATGATAGCACTCAAGAATCTGACATACTTTCTCCACTATACATTTTCTCCCTCCACATGTCTTTCATTGCCGTCTCTGTTAGTCGTCGGGTGCAGCAACTGTCGTCGGATTTGCACAGCACCAATCAGCTCTCGAGTCCAGCGGCTTTGCGGGGTATCAATGCTGCGCGACAGTGTTGCATGGTCCGAGCAGCAGCAGCACGACATCGAGAAGCGGAACAAGTCCCATGAACACAGACGAACCGGTCCGTGCCCAATTGGGAAGTCATTATCTTACCGGTCAGGTCTGCTGCATATTTCTAAGTCTTGGGGGCCGGCCCTATATCATCACCTGCCCCCCAAGATGGTACGATTTGGCCACTAAGAAGAGGACACGGCATTTCTTGGAGGGTTGCGTACCACTGTGTCGGTATCAAAGGCAGGCCACAGCCGCTGTATCCTCCACACCGAGTATCTAATCTTCAGCGATTCCATTGCCCATCGTCACAGATATCTCGTGTATATCTCACCCGCCCATTGGGTATCGACGAGATGTGGACCGCACCCTCCAAGGTAGTGGCATGCCTTGCAGATGTGCTATTGAAATGGTCTCGGGCGTAATGAGGAGCCTGATGACGCATTCATGCAGCGCAACGCACACGACCAAGGCCATTGTTGTGGTGGGGAGGGCCACCACACCGCGCACAGCCTTTGAGTCTGACAGATATATAACATCAGGACCAGACCACGCAAGAATGATGTGCGATTCAAGGCACATGTGCTTCATCTGCGCACAAACATTCTACAAAATGTCGTCAGATGCTGTGGAGCTCGACGTGATCGAAAGAGGCGAGGCTCGCAGAAGCGGCCCAGCTGTATCCCAAGTGACAGCCGCTGGAGAGCAAGTCAGGGGCACTGCTCAACCCCAAGACACCTCACGCCAGTCCACGGCTGGGAGCCGCCGACAAGCGGTGGAGGACAGCAATCCAGGTAAGTGAGCCTATCGGAAGCATTCGCTCAATCATTAATGGCATCCCATGGGCGTGTAGAAGAAAGGAAGCGCTGTGAGCGGATCCGACTGGCGCATGCGAAGGCTTCTGACCCTCGCTTCGAGTTCTACCGGGTGTTTCCCCAAGAGCGATCGCTCATCCTCGATCTCAAAGTAGAGGAAATCGTCCGCATCCGCGATAGGATGAAGAAGCTTGAAGATTCGGCTGAGACCAGATTCAACACCCAGCTTGACAGGCTGCCACGACAGAGTCTTCATTACCGGCGGTGGTTGGCGCTTGTCACAAAGATGGAAACCAAAATGGTCGATTATGGTAGGATCTGAGAAAAAGGCAATCGCTGCTCCTTGTGCGCTGACCCATCTAACGGTGTCTCTAGATAAATGGTGGCTCAGATCCAAGACGATCGTGGAAAGCCGATGGCCTCGTGAGCCCAATCTCAAGTTGTTGGGGCATTGGTTGAACTCTCCAAACCTGCAGAGGGTCTACGCCAGCGGGGACGCCGACGAATTCCGCGCGATGGGACCTACAAGAGGTGCCATTCAGACATTCGTAAATGAAACTGCCCCGCAGCTTTTCTCTTTAACTATCCGATATGTTGAGGTATGTCACAAAACCGTGTTGCTCTCAAGTACGAGGGCAACAAGGACTGCTGCCTGGATATGATACTGACAATAAAATAGGGGAAACTATTCCCTGAGCGTCGCTCAGAAGTAACACAAGAAAAATTTGTTCCTGAGAGATTGCTGTCACACATCGTCAGCGCTGTGCTCTTTCTGGGTGTCTGTATTTTTGTCATTCTGCCACTGCCACTGATGTCGTACTACAATGCAGATCGCGAATTTCGAGCTTGCATGGTCTCTGTCATGACTTTCCTGGTCAGTCTTCTGCTTATGGCAGAGGGTCAAAATGAGGAACAACAGATTATGATTGTGTGTGCATATGGTGCTCTCATGGGGAACTTTCTATCTTAACCTCGGGAGTGTCCTGTACCTAGCTGGATATATAGTGATTACTTAAATGGGAAACTCAAGGAGTTCTATTTAGTCATGACCAAACATAAATGCCTTGTTGGTCTAAAGAAAAGTTCGACCCTTCTTTTTTGCAACAATACCTCCTTGGCTCCTCTTTTCTCAAAAGCCTGCTGCTAGCTGCCAGCAGCCAGGAGCGACAATGCACGTGCCCAAGCCTCAACCTGACACCACCTTGGGCACCAATTGCAAATCTGTCCAGGTGAGAAAGTCTTCATGCAGTCTCTCTCCAATGAGAACCTTGGCAGGTTATACCCCCCTCTCCACCACTGGCCACTGGGCACCTGCCAATCTTGGAGACCTTGTGCAACAAGGAAGTTCGGAAAGACAATTTTCCGGTACAGGTATGCTGGCAAAAACATCAACAAACAACTGGGGTGTATGTTGATGTAGAAGGCACTCTAAGGTGTACTACAAATGGTAAGAGGGAAGATAGTTCTTCAATTAATCTATCTCAAGGCACGCTGTTGCCAATTGCCTTTCTATAGAGCCAGCAATTGACACTAGTCCCAACTAGGCTAGCGTACCTGGCGACTCACAGCCTTTCCATTGAATGGCTCAGGCCAGTGAGTCAGGGTGGCCAGCCAGGCCTCATTCACTCGAGGCCCCTATGGCCACTGCCCCAAGTGGGCTGTGCATGGGGGATGCAATGTGTGAATGCAACATATAAACTGTCTCCTTGCACATGCTGAAACTCCGAAATAAGGTACAAGGCAAGGCAGATGGGGGTACTTATTAGTGCAGGTGGTGCAATCGCAGTTGTGTGCCAAAAGCATCTCCCAGCCCCCGCTCGGCTGAACAGAAAGCACAACATCTCAACAGCGTCTCTTGGGTGCTTTTGGTATCAAACTTCAGTGGAACTATAACAGCTTACAGCGCTCCGGATCTCTTTACTATGTCCAAGGAAAACAATTTGCCGTCTGAGCGTGGTGTACACGCCGATGCAGATGACACAGCATCAGATAGCAGCGGGCTCAGCGGGCTCAGAGCGGGAGACATCCCGCGGACAAACTTCGCGCCAAGCCAAAAGCAGCAAGACGGTCAGCTCATCAACCTGAACACGCTGATTAGCCGCACCCATTGCCATGCTACAGACTGCTTCTCGGAGCATCTGGGTTTTGGGAGGGGGTCCTCCCATGAGGAACCACCTGGAGGAGGTCTTCAATTGAGGAACCGCCTATACAGCAGCGAATCCAGCGATGGCGGTGCGCGCGCCGTCGTTGCAACCTCTTCAACCTTGTTCCAACTTACCCCTTAATCACCTGTCTTTCCGTGAGCGGAGTCAAGGCTGCTCCGAGGATTGCTACATGCGATCAAAGCCTGGGAGGGTGTGATGCTGCGCTTACGCGGATATCGTTCGATATCTCACTAGCGCAGGGCCTCCTTTATTCCAATGACCACAATCTGACTGACGAGATCTTCTTACAGTAACATACAAGGATCCAAGTAACCTCTCGAAGTCGTTCACCACCCACTTTGAACCGGCCTTTGTCCGCGGACTTGACAGGAAAGGCCGACCGAGCTTGGACGCTTGGTTCTCTTGGGCTCTCAGTGCATCTTTCACGCCTGCATCGAATACTGCATTCCTCAAGCTCCGAACATCTGTCGAACTACGAACCAGTGATACGAATCAATATCTATACATCTTCGTCCCTCCAGAACGGATCGAGTCTTTAACGATCGAAGTTTTTGATAGAGCTGTGCATTTGCAGCTAGCATTAGTGCAACATGGGGACCTTCTCAGCCCCGTCCCATCGCCAGCACCTACGACGGGAATCGGCGAATGCACACTGAGCTCTGCGCGATAGCTCGTTGCTCGACCTGCGCTTGCTATCGAGCTATTGCACTCGCGTATATCCGCAGATCGCTAGCAATACTTTGGCAGGGCATGCAACGAAGGATTGCTCAAGTCAGATCCGAACCATGTCAACTTGAATCTACTATATGGAGGAAGAGGGGGCTATTTGATTGAGGCCTATCAAGAGACCGAAAGTCCTCCGGCTTATAATGATCTTGTAGATTCGACACCAGATGTAGCTCGGCCATCTCGGAAGCAGCAACGATCCAGTCCAACTCCCTGCCCGAATGCGATGGGAAAGAGCTTTGAGTCATATATCTGGAAAGTATGCAGTAACATCGTGAACCGTCAGCGAGATGAGATGATTGCGCCATTCCTGTCCCGAATGAAGGAGATGGAAGATCGGATTACATCCCGAGTAATCGACCATATCGAGAGCACACTAGACAAACAGCTTCGCCAACTTCGGGATGACCTTGACGGTGAGCTGGAGGATAACCTTGACGACCGCGTGGATGTTGTAAGAGAGGAGATGAAAGAGTACGTAGAGGACCAGGTCAAAGAACAGATGGCTGAGCAGGTTGCGAGCCTTGAGGAAGACTTTGTAGACAAGATCATGGACAGAATCGAGGGGCGCTAGAGATATGAATATCACGTATATCCCAAGCATGATGTATAATACGACGGTGCTGCGATATGTGATCCTAAACGGCAGACCGTTTTCTTGGAATTGTGATCCATGGTAAGTGCAAACTGTGCAAGTACTTGGATTATACTAAGTAGTCACTCACTCTTTCTCAGGCACCCTTTAGATAGAGCATATTTCGTGTCGATGCAAGAGCAGTAAGTCGTCTCTTCTACTTGGATGCCCTCTGCTCAGTACTTTCAGTTGCATAGAGGTGTATTGTATAAATCGCCTCTGGTGCATACTGCAGACGAGAGGGTCCTCGAGGTTGGCTGTGGGTTGGGTCTATGGAGCATGTAAGTCACACCTTCTTCCAATGTCAATACTAAAGGCCCAGGTGTGTATATGCATTTGAAGCTAATATAATGCTTATACAGACATTTCGCTCTCAGATACCCGGAAGCATATGTTCTTGGAGTTGACCCAGCACCTATTGTTCGCACTCCAGCATTTGCCTACGGTCAACATGTTTCGAATTGCTTGCTATTAAGGCAAGACTTTGCCAACCAGCTCTGGCAGTTTCCTTCGCAAGGTTTCAACTTCGTCCGAGTCTCTAACATGAATAGCCGTGTAAAATCATGGGGAAACTTCTCGAGGCACGCCTGGCGGGCGTTGAAGTCGGGTGGTAACATTGAACTCACATGCATGCAAACCAAGTGAACTTAATGATACATTGTTCAGCTTTTGAATGAACCTTCGCTTAGGATGAATGGACAAGAGCGAACGTGACAGCTGGAGGATCATTAAACTTTCGAGAGGTGTGCATCTAACTGCAGACTCCAACGGTTAGCCGCCGTTGTCACGCTGAAGCTTTGCGGCACAGTCACTCAGAGCTTGCACTCTACAGACGTACGTGCTTAGACGCCAAAGCAGGCATGCTAATCGCATCAAATGATCAGTAGTAAGTCATTCCGGAGACTTTCTCCAAGTGTACAAACACAAAGTGGTATGCATGCATACACACCAAGGAGACCCGCTCACCCAATACGCCATGCAACACATACATGCATAGCTACTGAGTGGACCTGTTCATCCATCATGCCGTTGCATCGGTCGCTCTTTTGATATGGTAAGCGTGGGAGTCATTCATGCCGGCACCTCGCCCACCCCTTCCGGTCTACAGGCGCATCCTACCCTAAGGTACACCCTCTGACAAACATATACATGCATGCATACACACTGAGCAGGCCTGTTCATCCATCATTGCATTGGTCGTTCGCTCACCTCTGCAGGTTTGTCTCCAATCATTGCATTGCTGTCTCATAGCACTTAATACGCCCCCAGCCACTTGTACGTTATGATAATGGGATCAACCTTCGAAGCAGTCAATAACGTCAGCGAGCCCTAAGATGCATCCTTGACCAGCTATCCTCCTGGCTGGTCAACCTGTTGAAGGGGATGATTGTCTGACTAGTAATGATCCAGAGATATCATTGTATCTGGCTGGTAACAGTCTGTAAAACACCACGCAACACTTGTATCTAGCTAGTAACAGTCTGCAAAACACTACAAAACACTTGTATCTGGCTGGTAATAGTTTACACGATACGTTGCAGTTACTGATCATCTATCTTTGGACGAGGTGGTCTAGCTGATCACAGTCTACAAGACACTGTTGGAGTTGCTAGCTATCCTATCTTCGGGAATGAGTATCTAGCTGGTAACAACCTAGTAGGCACAAGTGTATTACTGTCTAGATCGTCTCAAGCCAAAATGTCCAAAATAACATGCTGGAAATAACACGAGTACAATGATCTGTTATTGAATGGGTGCGGAACGGTCCAAATGATAACGATGGACAAATGGCTACGGCCGTTAGGCACCGGGGCGCCAGCATTCGTGTGCCTCAACACCACAACTCCAGCCTTCGACATCGTCACATTTCTGCAGCCAAATTAACAAGAGCCACTTCTGTAAGGGCCGGATTAGTAGTTAAGTGGGTGACCATTAGCGAATACCCGGTGTTGTACGTTTTTTTTTTTTTTTCCTTCTCTCTTTTCCCTTCCCTTCCACACCGCCTATCCCCTCCACGTATGTGCTTGCTGTTCCACCTTGGGCACCACGTTTTGACTCAGTCGATGCTGCCTAGGTGCCTTCATCTATGCACCGACCAGGCCTTGACATTCGATATGAGCTCAGTCTTCATTTGTGGAAAACGGACGCATGTCTTCATCCTGCCACTGGCTGTACCTTACATCTCTTCACATCATTTGTTCGACGGAGCGAGTAAGGTATGGAGGATTTGCTATACAAGGTCAATGAACACAGATAATTACTATGCTTGGGAGTGATGATGAAGCCCTTGCGAGCGTGGATGAGAGGTTTCTTGCCAAATCTCACTCTCGCCTTCCTCGGCTTGTGCATGTTACAACACAGTGTATTGGTAATAATATATACATACTCTAATATAGATATCAAGACACCAAATCCTCCAAAATGGCTTCTAATTCGTCTTTACGGAAAGGCAGGCTCAACAGCTCCGTGCCCAGGACGTCCTTGCGACTAGTGATCATCTGATGGTCGTGGAATCTGGGTATACGTCGTCAGCAAAGCACAATGTAGTAGGTCGGCATTGTCGCAGTTACTTACTCTTTCAGCAGCGTCCGGAAGGCCATTTCCGAGCTGCATATGAACTCCTCCACCGCCTTGTTGTACAACATCCGGTACTCGACGCCAGGGCCTTCCCCTGCGGCGGCAGCACCGCTCTCATCCTCCATACCCACAAGAACCTCGCCTACAAGTAAGCGGAAGAGGTTCTTTGCATTCTCTGGTAGAGACTTCAGCACAAAAGCTACACCGTCCTTGCCACCGATGCGCCGAGCCTTGCGGCCTAGCAGCTCGTGCACCTCATCGACGACATCGAGCTCGGCGGCGGACCTCGATGCGAAGGTGGTGGCATCATGAAAGGCGAAGTTGAAATTAGAGCGCTGTCCGCTGTCCCAGAGCGCGGATGCATCAGGGGTGTCGACGCTGCATGCCAGGTGGACCTGGGGATGTGCTGCGAGCTGGGAGAAGACGGTCTGGAACTGCGACCTGCGCAGAGCTGGTGCGTCGGCGGAGTTGAGGATGACGGTCAGGGTCATGTCTGATGATGAGATCAGGGAGAGCACATCCTGGAGCAGCGCGACAGGCTGCCCTGCTGTAACCTTGGCAGACGGGTCGATTGCGGTGCTGATGGTGGTCAGGACCTCGCGGATAGTGGTGGTGTGGACGTAACCGTTGATCACCACGATCTTGTGAGACTGGTGATTTTGTATCTGGCTGTGCAGGTGCTTTGCGAAGCGATGAAGGAGCGCGCGCTTCGAGCCGTATCCATAGAGGCAGAGGCTGAATCCCTCAGCAAGCTCAAAGAACCACTGGCTGAAAGACTCCGCGTGCAGGTCTTCCAGGTATTTGATGTCTACCTCGTGGGGATCCTGTAGGTCACGGAGGATCGTAAAGTACTCATCATGTGTGAGCAGGTCCAGGGTCGTAAGCGTGTTGGTTGACGTCTTGGCCAGGCCGGGCTTGTTCTGAAAAAAGTACATCTCATGGGGAGGCAGATCACGCGGTGGACTGGGCGACTTTTTCCTCGATGTCGCCTTCTTCCTCCTGCCCCCGCGACCGGCCTTGGACGGGGTAGCCGCTGCGCTTGTGGCCCCCTCGTCCTCGTCGTCTTCTTCCTCCTCGATTCCTCCTTCTTCCTCGACGTCCTCCCCAGCCTCATCATCTTCTGCGTCCGACTCATAGATCGCACGCACAAGATGCTCGTCGCCCGCCTCGTCGTCGCTCGTAGCGCCGCCCACCACACGGTTGATCAGAGCCCTCGCACTCTTTCGCCGGGCAGACCTGTCTGCTATTGTGCGGCGCCCTGGTGTGTCGATACCATTGGGGCCATTCGCCCGGGATGGCGTCTCTATATTCGCCCTCGTAGCCGAACGAGCACCCTTGGGCGTCGACACGACTCCACCAACCCGATTCGAGCTGACAGGAGTGGCTGAGCCCTTCGGCGGACGTCCACGCCTGCGGGGAGTAGGTGTCACGGCCACGTCTGCATCTGCGAGCTCGTCTCCCTCATCATTCTTCATCACCTCCTCTGCATCTTCACCGGTCGAGTCGGGCACATCTCGTAAAGTCCTGCGGCGCTTGGACGGAGTCGACGGTGCATCGAGGTCGACTGCTTCTTCAGCGACGTCTCGCCCGCGCTGCAACCGCGTGCTACGGCTTCCCTTGTCATCGGCCTGCCGTGGTGCAGCTGGCTTTCGTGGCATCCTTGTTTACGTGAGGTTACCTCGAAAATGTCGAGCCCATCATTGTCTGTCGACGCCTCCAGCTTGGGCCCTTGGCAGCGGTCGTTTGGCAGGTCAGGGTTCGCGTCAGTGCTGTGAGCGCGGGTCTTTCTCACCCCTGGCGCTGAAACCCGCTGAACCCTGTCAAGCTTGTCACATCCGTGCAGTCGAGCTCAACCTTCGGCTATAGCCTCCATAGGCGCTAGCTCGTTCAGTGCTGGGGCGCAATGCAATGGCTATTGTAGCCCTACACGCCACAGTAATTTGACGTCTTACTTTCTTGCCTCAGCGCTCGTCATCAGCCAACGCGACCCGGCTCATTCTTGTCCAGACCTTGACCTCCACTTGGGGGCTCACACCTGCAAAAATGAATCTCAATCTTTCCGCCTCCTTGAATGTATTCAGACTTATAGCAAACCCTGCTCTGTGCCTTCCCCACGCCACCATCTCTACGTTCAAGGACCTGCCCATTCCTCTGGACTCAGCCTTCCAAAGCAAAGACGACAAGGTCAGCATCAAGGCTGTCGTCCTCGATAAAGATGATTGCTTTGCCGTTCCAGAGACGAGCGAGGTCCATGGGCCATACCAAGTCTGTTATGATCCTACAATAACCTATGACTGAATAGCCCTCAAGAAGCTGACTGGCTGAAGGACCGATTCAACGCCTTGAGGGCGGCATACCCAGGACGACGTCTGCTCATCGTTTCAAATACAGCTGGAGCCTTGAGCTACGATCCCAAGAGGAAGCTGGCCTCGGAACTTGAGGAGGCCACCGGTGTGACGGTGCTCTCCCATCAGACTAAGAAGCCTGGCTGCGGTGCCGAGATCATGGACTACTTCCGAAAGCATCCCGAAACTGGCGTCACGAGTCCTCATCAGATTGCAGTCGTCGGGGACCGGCTATCCACCGACATGATGCTCGCCAACATGATGGGCAGCTACGGTGTTTGGGTCAAGGATGGGGTCGTGCCGCTTCCGCAGAAGAGCATCGTGAGAATCACCACCAGCCGACTCTGTTGAATGATCTGCCTCCTGACATTGCAGTATAGTTCTCAAGGATCGAGCAGAGGCTCGCGCCGTTTCTTCTCTCTCGCGGATACGCCCCTCCACAACCAAGAAGTCCTTTCGAGTAGGCCACACTCGGATTGTTTCAAGTCGAGATGGAGAGACTAAGTCGACGTCAACTCCTTCCGTTCCCCTATGTAAACGACTACCAATCCTTTTTGAGTCTGGAATATGGTTTCTACCATCATCAGCGAAGATCAGTGTCTCTCTGGTTCTGTCAGGTCTAAACGCTATATTCCATGAAATTACAATCTGGTTGCCCATGAATTTCGGGTGAAGGGGGGGGGGGGGGGGTTCTGCCCATCACTTGCAGCACCTTCACAAGTTGTAATGGGGTTCAATAACGGGTGGCAGTCAAGATTGATTGAGTATGTGCTCTCTTTCAATGGTCCAGCCAGATACTTGTACACAGATGCTGACAGTTTTGCACGATGACGAAGCCTTTCGACAACCACCATCTAATGAAGCTGCAGAGTTAATACTTGGCACTCTGCAATGTACCAGTGCTCTGTAAGCCCTGTTACGCACCCTACTCCAGGTGCTCCAATCACAGGCATCCATGACATAGCCAGAGTGTCTGGATCATCCAACTGGCCGGATTTTGTGGCGTCCTTGGCTTTTGGAAAAGGTCTCAGCACCTATGGAAGCTTCACCCAGCCACTTTGCGAGGTCGACTGCTCAGATTCTTCCAAGGAAGTCTGAAGTTTCATGTCCTTGGAACAGGCTCAAGCTTTGATCACCAATCACATAAGATACCCAGACTGCCATTGTCTAGGCTTCTATCTTGGTTTTATACATATACTTTAGCAATCCCATTCATCTTCAAGACTACCTACAACCAAGTTCATCCTACAGTGTGTGAGTCCTCATACAATCTCTTCATGACCCAACCTTTCAATGATATGACCAACTTTATAAATCTGCATGCATGTACACCCTCACACACCCTTCAATATCCTCAAAACTTGTACTCAGCCAAGTATAGGAGCCACTTACATCCCCACCAATAGACTGGTTGTCACACATACAGTCTATAAGAGTATTTTGATATTCTAACATACTCTCTAGGCACAATTCAATCCTCATCATCCCTCTTGCTTATGTCTACCACTATCCTCGGGATCTAAGATTATGTATCCAGCCACGGTACCTACGGCATATTGTTTTCATTCTGAGATATGATATTATGTTTTCATCTGAGCCTTATTTGAGGACTTTTTGTTCATGATATGGCTGCCATTGGAAGCTCATCCTGGAACTATCAGGAAACTTACAGGCACTCTAGCCCAGCTATGTGTGGCCCTTAGCATCATGATGCTGTCGCCATCTCGCCATGGCACAGTCAGTGATTCTAAAGAACCACCCGGAAGAGTCACTGTCCTCCCTCCTCTGCCCATTTAATACCCCAGCCGACACAATGGCCCTCCTCATCACTGGACGTGGGGCTGTGGAGTGACTGTCGACAGACTGAGTACTATTTAAATGCCTTTCTTCGACCGTTTCCTGCAATCCAGAACTCGTTTCCTTTCCGCGTACAAACTAGTTCGATCGGACAACGACAATAGTAGCAGCTGCAGCAGTATCGTCTTCTTCGAGCTCTGTGTCTTCTCAAGCTGCCCGTCTCCTCTGCTTTCGGTCTCTCTGTCTCCTTTTTGTCTTGGTCTCTATCTTTTCCCCGGACCGTTAGACTGTCGACGCCCTCCCCTTCCTTCTCGCACGCTTGCACAGAATAGCACGTGCGAGTTTATCCTCTGCGCCTGTGACATTCTTCATCATCTTCCTACTGTCTTTGTTCCTCCCTGTCGCCCGCCTCTTGACGACAACATGGTTGGAAAACACTGGACGGTGCCGGAGGAGGAGTTTTTCTGGAGCGAGGTTGTCCCTCAGGCGCCCCCAGGCAATGACAAGGACATAAAGCAGGCCAAGAGGCACCACGACAAAAAAGGCTGGGAGCCATTGGCAGTCATGATGCGCGAGGGGATGATAGCCCGTCAGGGTGAGCCTCTTAATCGCAGCTACACGAACATCAGCTGCTGTGAGTAACGTCCTAATCGACATTCACAGCTGCCAGCCCCACCCCTCGACCCTCGCCCGCAGCTGCAGCTCCCTCTCCCTCTCTGTACCGATTCACTTCTGTCCTGACTCTTTTGATTCTTGTTTCTTTTTTTAGACGAGCACTACTTCCAGAACTACGTTCAAGAGAAGTGGTCCAAGAACGCGCCACCCAGAATCAGAGGATACATCGAGTACCTCATCCAGCAGAGCGGTAATCGCGTGTCTGAGAAGCATCAGCGGATGCTCAACAATATCGACGCCTACATGGCTGGTAAGAGTCGCGTCTAAAACCCATCAGGCATACATGTCTGTGCAGTAGACTAACTATGACTTCTCCAGAGGACCAACAGGACAACTCCACGCAGGCCTCTAGGTCTAGGGCTCGGGCTTCTGGATCTGGAGCTCAGGCTCCTGCTTCTGAATCTCGTGCTCCTGTACCCGGCGCTGTGGCTTCGGGGGCCCAGTCAGGAGTGGCATCTGCTGCTCCTGGACTGGACCTATTGGCCACAGTAGCCTTGTCGTTGTCGTCGTCGTCGTCGTCGTCGTCGTCCGCTGCTGCCGCCGCTGCAGCTGCCGCCCAACCAGAGGCCAGTGACAGGCAGAACGGTGGAGCATCTGGGGAAGTTTCCGCTGAGGGTATTGATGGCGGCAACGTCGTCTTCCCACGGCAGGGCGCCGCCTTGGGGCTCCAATACCAGGATGTCTATCAGCCTCAGCCGCCCGCCTACAACAACTTTGAGATAGGCCATCTGGCCGCCGACCTCCCTGCTGCTCAGCACCACAGCAACAACAACGTCGGCTATGTCGACGGTGGCGGCCTCATCGTCAATGGCGACGACAACAACAACACTGGCCCCCAGCAGGAGGCCAATGTCCAGGTGCCCGACATCTATGACGGCAGCGGCTGGGACGAGCTGCCCTCTCCTGCTGGTGTGTACCCTTACAACTGGGACCCCGACTTCTGGGCCGCCTTCAACGCGAACCAGGACTTCAACGAGGCCCAGCATCCCTCCGTCTGGGGATCCGATATGGGCATCAACCCCGGCGTACTGCACGACATGAGCGCGCAGCCTGTCTTCTCTGGTCTCCAGCAGTTCGGGTACGGTGGCCCTCTTGGCGCTTTTGGGTGTGACAACGCCAACGCCCAACAGCTGAACCTGGCTGGCTTCAATGCCAACCAGCAGTACAACGTTGGCGGCGCCCTGCCTGGCCCAGCTGCTGGCGCCCTGCAGGAGGTCGACGATAACCTTCTGTTGCAGCAATTTATTGCTGCGAATTTCAGCACCCACGGCGACGGGAAGCAGGGAGCCCAGGGAGGAGCTCGTGGCCGCTCGCTCGCTGTCGATCGGGTGCCTAAGAGAAGCGACCGCAGCCGCTCGCCAGCCGGCCGACCACCCAAGAGAGTCGCACGAGGCCGCCGCTCTCGTGTCGCCCAGGAGGAGCAGGGCTACGGTGGCCTGGACAATAACAACAACAACAACAACAACAACAACAACAACAACGTCGTCATCGACCGCAACGTCTTGAACAACGTTCCTCATGTCCCTAGCCCTGCTCCTGCCTGGGCCCACGCAGCGCGTCCCGGCGTCAATCTCGACAACGTCTTCCTGCCGCTGCCCGAGGAGCGCAGCACACCCCTCGAGCAGTGGTACCCTCGGCTGCCGTCCGCCGAGGACTTTGTGTCGCTCCCCTCCCACGGCGATTTGGACTGGGAGGCACACCCCTTCCCCGACGACGACGAGGCCATGGGGGTGTCTGGTCTGCCTCTTGAGCAGGCTCCCGGCCCACCGGGCATGGCCGACCGTCGCGGCCAGAACGGCCGTCGAGACAACCACGGTTTCGGCGTCTGAGAATGAGGGCGGCGGCGGCGGTGGCGCAGCTCCGGCTTCTCAAAATCAGCCCTTCCTTTGTTCCCCCTTCCTCTCTTCCCCGCCTCATATCATCAAGGTGGTAACCGGATGAAGAGGGGGTGTTCTCACCCGTGGTGGAGCCAAGGTTTTCGAGAGCCTTGTTATGGTTGTGGCGTTCTTGTCGCTTTCCTTGCAATTTGATTCGGCATGGTACAGCCTGCTTTGGGAGGCCGGCTAGGAGAGCCAGGAGGGGCATGAGGTGGAGTCAGAGGATGAGGCTGCCGCTGGTCTGTCTCTTTCCTTCTTTATATGGCATGGATGAAGCGTTCGCGAGTGCACTTGACTGTCGCTGTTCGCTGTGGGTGCTCATTTACCGGCACATTTCTTCGAGGTTGCTTGCCTCCCCCTCTTCTTCCTTTCTTTTCGTCTCAAAACGTTTTTCTTCAGTTAATGGAGAAGTCATGCAAGGAGTTTGGAGGAGCAAGGAGTTGAGATACCCATGTCTTGTCTTTTCTTTACGCATAAAAGGTGTTATGAAGGAGTAGTCTAGAAGGACTTTGGGGTTTCTTCAGATACCACTGTGCCATTTCCTTCACTCTCAGAGAAACTAACTTATTGAGCCCTTTTCTTTCCCAAATCACTGTATTGTCTTATGGTAGGATATTATCTGAAAACCTTTGCGTAAAGCTTTCTACTCTGCCTCGAGAACGAGAGCATAACTTTCAAAGCACGGTAATATCGTACCTTCTTCGCACGCCCGTCACATTTCAATACTGCTGAAAAAGATTGTGAATCCTTCCCTACAAGCCTTCCCACTCCCACATGACAAGAAGAATAGCTCCATCACATGCCTTTCCCCCAGTCTCTCTCACATCAACCCTGCCAAAATAGCCCGCAGCTCCTCCCCATCCACAACATCCCCCTCCCTCGGGCTCGCAAGACACGACGAATGGAACCACACCTCGACCGTCCCAGGTGGCGGCGCTCCGCCCAGCAACGCCTCCCTAAGCACCTGAACATTCGGCCCCCTCACACCGCCACCAATGATGACTTCCCTGATCCGCTCCGGGGCGGAGCGGACGATCCGTGCCAGGGTTTCGGTGTGGTCTGCTGCAGAGCCTGGGCCGCCGGATGTGAGTAGGCCGTGGAAGCCGCAGTGATGTAAGTCGGCCAGGGCTTCTTCTGGGGTGGCGCCTTGGGTGCCTAGGATGTCGTCCTGGAGAAGGTGGGGTGGTTAACTTTGTATGTAGTAGATGCGGAGGAAAGGGGACAAGTTGTGGAGGGGACGGATAGGAGGAAGGGTAGATGTTGAGAAAATGACCATATCAAGAGCAGAAGGAGAACTCAGAGGCTCCCTTTCCACAAAGATACGCACGGGAACATACAAACGCTCGATGAAAGACACACGCCAACCCCCCTGCCAACCGAACCAACTCCCGATTCCTCTCCACATCCACGACAACCACCGCCTTTCCCTTGTCCTCCAAGATCCGCCTCAACACCCCAAAAACAAACCCATCCCCTCTCTCCCTCCTCAACAACCCAGACCCCACAAATTCCTTGATCCTCTCCCTCATCTCCTCCATCTCAGCATCAGAGTAGATAAAGTCCGGCGTCGTCGTTGTCGTCGTCGTCGTGCTGCCACTGTCGTCCTCCCCTACCAGTGGTGGTGGAGGCCCACGCGGCCTAATCATGACACGCAGCGGCACAGTGGAGTAAGAAGAGAGGGCCTCGAGGTCGGATAGGGAAGGCGTGAGGCCTCCCTGGGGGTAGGAGTTGGCGCGGTTGAGTTCTAGGCGGTGGGCGCCGGCGGAGATGGCGAGGTGGGCGGAAGAGGAGGAGAAGACGGGGACTTCGAGGGGCGGCATGATGGAAAAAGAAAGATGAAAATGGGAGGGAAATTGAAACCTTGAGTGGGTTGTGTGAATTTTAAGGATAATGAATTTGAAAGGAGAAGGCTGGAAATTGTATTGTGGATGTTGTGGTTGTTGGAGGAGGAGGAAGAGGTGGTGATGGTGGTGATGTTAGAATACAAGCTCAGTGGGGCCCATGCAGGGATGCCAGCAGCAAGCCCATTCATCACTGTGCCCATTAGGCTTGCTTGGCTACTTGTCAAAAGGGCACACAGAAACACTCTTCATTCAAAATCACTACCCTATTGAAGTGTGCCTAGCATCCAAGAGAGAAATCCCTATGGAAAAAAAAATATATATATATGCACATGTATCCTAATAAATAACAAGGCCTGTGCTCCAATCTATCTCTACATCCAAGTAATCTTCACGTGGAAGCTGTCTCTACTATGACATGACGTCTAATGCATCTTTAGTATACGCTTTAAAAGAAATCACCATCTAGATTTCATGTTCCTCTCAACCCAAAGAGTGTGTTAATGAGGAAAAAGACAATCAGAGGGCTCCTCAGTGATCCCATTCAGCATCAATTGCCTCCCACTGGTCCAGGAATCCCTTGAACCACTTCACGCCCAGCCCGGGGTCAAGAGCACCCGTGGTGGCACGGATAGAGTGCATCGAGAGCTGCGGCAGCCCGGCATCGGCGGCTCTGACACCCATCATGCTGGACAGGGTGGGGCCAACGGTGCCTCCGGAGCGGGAGTCGTTGCGGATCATAAACAGCTGGTTCGTGCACCCGCTCAGCTCGGCCACGCGGTTGCAGATGGCCGTGCTGACGCTGTCCGTCGTCATGTGGCCGTTGCTGTCCTGGCAGACGACCAAGCCCACATTGAGCAAAGGCAGGTGCTCGCCCTGATACCGCTCGAGGAAGTTGGGGTTGGCGGCGTGGGTGACATCGGCCGACACGAGGAACGAGCGCGCATAGGTCTGGCCGATGACGCCGGGCCCAAACGTCTTGCCGGCGTCAGCTGTCAGGGCCTCGACGGCCCGCTCGATGACAGAAGGCAGGAAGTTTCCCTTGGCGCCCTGCCGGAGCAAGCTGCCAATCTCCTCGTCGTCAAACAGCGCAACCATCTTGATGCCGCTATCGGTTTCGGCGTCGTCGGACAGCACGAGACCCGTCAGGGCGGCCCAGGAGCAGAGCTTGTCGTCGATCCGGCCTGCGGAGATGAACTCCTTGTCCATACCGCTGAGGACCGCTGGTACGTGGTCGAACAGCTCGAGCTCCCAGTTGATGATGGAGCTGTAGTCCTGGGAGGAGATGCCGAGCTCCGAGGCGATGAGCTTCACCAGCTTCGGCGGCTGCGAAGCCACAAAGGTGCCGACTTCGCCCACGGCCTCCTCCGCACCCGTTGACAAGCCGATGACCGGCACGACCTGCGTCTCCTTGTTCTGCGACCCCAGCATCCCGACACCGAAGTGGGGTGCCAGGGTGGGTATCTTGGCGATGGGCCAGCCGAGCTTGACCAGCTTCTGGGCAGTCTTTCCGGTCGACGTGTCACGGACGATGACGCGGCCGCCGATGCTCAGGTCTCGGTCCCACCATGTCTCATTGAGAGCACCGGCATACGGGGCAACACCAAGCTGCACGTAGCCGGCCTTGGTGGGCTTCTTGCTCACGGGCTTGAGCTTCGCGGTCAGGGCGTCGATGTGTCCAGCGATCATGGCCACGCCATGGCCAGGCTTGTAGGCCTTGCCGACCTTGAAGGCCACCATACTGCTCCCATTTCGAGTAACGTAGTATTTGCCGCCGGGCTTGATCGTTTCGGACCAGTCGTCTCGCGCGGGAAGCTGTGTCGAGGGTGTTAGTCTCGGGCAAAGAAGAGGAAAAGAGGGGGGGGGACGGCTTCGCTGGTGGCTTTATATTTGGAAAATGGGCCAGTGACACTTACCTCGACGAAGCCCTTGAGGCCTAGTTCCTTCTTAAAATAACCCACGGCATGGAATATCGTCGGGTTCTCAGTCAGGAACTCGCAGAATGGTTTGGTGAAGGCCTCGGGCTTATCGCAGGTAGTCGGCGTGTGTGGAGGATGGTGGTGCCCTGCGTCTTGGGTGCTGGCGACGCGAGAGGTGGCACGGGGAGGCATGTTGTATGTTGAAGCGGCCGAGGTCACGTTATGAGCAGACTCTAACGAGAGGTTTGAGAGGGCATACACGCCACCTCGAACGGCTTGCTGCTGCTGCTGCTGCGGCGGCGGCGCCGGGCCGGCTGGATCGTATTGTCTGCCTTCGGCTCTGCTTCTAACCATCCTGTGACCTTTTTTGTGGGAAGTCTTCCGAGACTTGCCGTAGATGATATGAAGAGGTTGTGAGAACGAAAGCGCTTTCAACGAGAGGAAAAGAGAATCGGGCTTGAAGGGAGTGTGAGACGTGAAAATGGTTGAACGGGGGAAGTCTGATAGCGATGGGCAATGACGGGGGTTATTCGGGAGGTTGGCACGCGATACATGTCACAAGCTACTGTATCTCTTATCGCAGCCAGGGTCCAGCTGCTTTCCTCTTTAGGACGGGAACAACTGTCCAAAGAAAAGCCGAGGTCCCAGGGATACCTGAGGGTTAGGGTTGTCTTAGGTAATCCCCCCCCCCTCCTTAAAAAGAAAGAAGGAATTAGAACAAGGAAAGTTTGACTTTGTCGATTACTCACCTCTACAATCCTTCTCCTTCTTTTCCTCCACCTTCTTCCCGTAAGTTTGATTTGTCGTGTCGATCCAGATCAGTAAACTCTCACCGCCTCTGGTGTTCAATATGGTGACTACAACCCAGCCAGAGGTATTCACAATACGAGGTGACTAGGGCCAGCGCCCCTCTCAGCTGTTGTTCCTGCCGACGAAAAAAAAAAACGGTCATGGCCACTTATGTCTTTGCACCGCGCCGCCATTTCCGCCATTTCCGAGAAGAGGCTGCGATGACGACGATCTAATCAGCCCTACGGGGGCGCGTCACTCTTCCGTTTTTCCGATGCTACCCTCTTGATTCGCTTTTCCAGGGGCAACCGCGGGTGGCAGGTGATTTTTGACTTTTCCATGTGTCAGACCTTAGCGCCCTTAGCGCGGAAGCGCCGCAGGGAAGCGCAGCAAGGCAAAAGCCGCCCCCAGCAAGTTGCAGTGCGGTGCAGTGGTAGTGCAGCCCGCGGAGGATTTCTCAGACACTGCCAGACACGAAACCTGGAAGGGAACGTTGCTTTCCGAGAGAAGAGGCTTGTGGGGAGGAAGAGAGAGAGAGAGAGAGAGAGAGAGAGAGAGAGAGAGAGAAAGAGACTGGGGGGTTGGGCAAGGAGGGGGAGGAGTAAGCAACGAGGCTGAGGCTTTTTCGTATACACTTGACATCTTCGCACAACGTTTCCGAAAAGAGACAAGACCTAGTTGCTAAGCAGATATTTGTTGGGGAGTCTCACAAGATGACAGGCTGGTGGTGGAGGCAGGTGTGAGGATATAAAGAGGGCGACGGTTCTGGACTGAGAAATCAGATGTCACCTGCAGAAATCCAAGACATTAGACAAAAGACACATACATCTCTATTTGAGGATCTCGATAACTTCTAAAATCTTGTCCAGACATTTTTTGCTCCTATCCGGAAGAACTCACACAACGTTTCAAAATGCGTGCCTCCAGTATCCTCGCCGCCTCCGCCCCCCTCCTCTCTCTGGTCCAGGCCAGGATCGGAGGCATCGGCATCCCGTCGACCATCAAGCCAGGCGACACGTTCAACTTGGTCATCGAGGGCGAGGGCTACATCCAGTCCGTGACCGACGTGTCCATAGCTGTGGGGTATAACCCGGGCGCCAACCCTCTCGACTACGGTCTCGGCATCTTCATTACGGCGTTTGATCTAGGTAAGCTGACAAATGACCCAGCCTCATAGCCTCCTCTTTCTCTCTCTCTCTCTCTCCAGAAATCCCATATGATCATCTTACTAACAAAAACACTGCTCTTATACAGTCGCCGACTCCAACTACGATGGCAACTACAACAAGAGCGTGACCCTCCCGGCCACGGCCCAGACCGGCGCGGCTACCTTCACCGCCAGCCTGGAGAGCCTGTACGGAGTTCAGTATGAGCCGGCGCTGTACCCTTTCAATGTGTCCTTCACGATCGGGGATGCAACCAGCACGGACTACACCTTTGTCGGCCTCAACCCTCCCGAATTTTCTTAGAGGGAAATTAGGCAAATCAGTCGAGGGCAATATAGTTAGTGGTCGGCTTATAAAAAGCATGCCAATGGGTTTAATGGAGCACAGTTGGTGTGGGTAGTGTGTGGGTGGGCAGGTGGTATGATATGGTATGGTAACGGTGTATTTGAAGAACTTATATATAAATCTTTTTCTTCATTTGTATATAGATACTAGATGAATACACCATCACACTCCTTTTCTCCTAGGCTACAAGATCCAAGTCTGTCTTGTTCACCAGAATTGGTTTTGACTGCGGGGGATGCCCAACAACCAATCATGAGCGGTAGATGAAGGGCCTTGCTTCCGAATGCAGTAGGTGGGGGCCTCCAAATATTGTACTAGCAAGCGCGATCCAGGCCTTTTCTACTCGAAAGAAAATACCGAGTGGGTGCAAGCTCAATCTCTCTCGACAAATTCAAACCGACGATGAGAACGACCTTCGTCCATCTCCTTTTTGACCATGCCTTAAAAAGGCTGCACCCCATCCCGGCCAACAACCTTGCCCTCCAGACCATCTCTCTCCCCCACCACACACCCAACCACCACCCTCGCCCCATCCTCAGGCCCCTGGATGCCCCTCTCCCTCGCCATCTCTGCCCGTCCCGGCCCCATGAAGTTTGTAGCATTCACTCCAGGATCCGCACTCCAAACCCTCACCACCACCTTCTTCTCCTTCTCCTCCTTGTCACCCCTCACAGCACATCTCTCCTCCGCCCCATACCGCTTCCAATACTCCAACATCAACATATTCAAAGCCGCCTTGCTCACCCGATACTCAAGCGGACTAGACCCCGTGACAGCCCGATAATACCGCGACCCAGGGTCCGCCGCCCCAGCAAACGACCCCATCGAGCTCGACACAAACACCACCCGCCGCTCCTCCTCATCAGCAGCAGCAGTACCACCAGCACCACCATCGCCGTCTCTCTGCACCAAAAGCAACGGGAGGAACGCCTCCGTCACCGCCGCGGCCCCCACCACATTCACCTCCAGGTCCGCCCTGAGCGCCACCACCACGTCCTCGTCCTGGCACAGCACGCCGGCGTTGTTCACCAGCACGTCGAGGCGCCCAAAGTCTCTCTTCACGAGCGCCGCGGCTGCCTGGATGGACGCCAGGTCCGTGACGTCGAGCTGGAGCGGGGTGATGGATGACCCGCCGCCGCCGCCGCCGCCGGCCTGGATGGACTCGACCGCTTTCTGCCCCTTGGCTGCGTCTCGGCTGCCGAGGAGGACGTGGTATGCCTCGCCGTTGGGCCCGCGCGAGGTCGTCGCCAGACTCTTGGCGACTTCGTAGCCGATCCCTTGGTTGGCGCCTTATGTGTATGTGTATATTTTTTGTAAGTGTGTGTGTGTGTGTTTGTAACATAACACAAAAAAAAAAAAAGGGGGGGGGGGGGGCCCAGTCCAGTCGGAAATCAAAAGAGGGGTTCAATACATACCCGTGACGAGGCAAATGAGCCTTTCGGGAGTGGTCATGGTTGATGATCTATCGAGTCTCTGCTATAGAAGTTTCCAAGTAAGACTAATTCTGGTACGAGTTGCGCAGGAGAGCAATGTTTACAATTGATTCTCGAATGTTTCCCCTGTGCGTTCTTGCACACCTTGAACCCAATCTAACTCCCGTATGCCACCATCCTACGGAGGGGTTCTGACGGACTTTACATATGTCCGCAGTAATCCCCTCCTCTCCTCACTTGCGCAACCTAAAAAGGCAATCCTTGCGCACGAAAGTGGCACAGATTATCTGAGTTTCAGTCATGCCACCAACGGCCAGTAACAGCACACACACACACACACACAAAACAAAGAGGATCTCCATCTCTGGTAATAGGCGTCCAAGACGCAGTATCATTACCACTTCTCAGCCTTCCACAAGGGAAGAGCAATGGTGAGAAACAGTGAGGTATGCTATGTGCTATAATATGTAACATGAACACCCAAGAAAACGAAAAGGGGGTATTTGCCATGACGGGGTCCCAAGAAAAAAAAGAAAAAGAAAAGCAACAAAGAAAAGCGAAATCAATCCCCAGTGCTCCTATAGCAACAAAAGGAAAAGGTGGTATCTTTTGCCCGGGTCGTGGCACAAAATAAAAGCCTCGCTCAGAAACAATGCTCCACGCATGCATGCTAAGTGATAGTTGCTCCGCTCCAATACCGTCCGTCAGTGCCAAAAAGCCAAAACACCAAGCATGTTTTCCTTCCGTAGTGTGTACCTATTTTCCCCCCAATCAGGTGGCCTTCCTGAACACCCGCTTTGTTCCCCCAACCTTTCCCAGTTCACCAAACTTTCCTGAGCCGTGGGCTTCGCTGGGCGCAGACCTCGGGATGTCCGAGCCGGCGCTGGCAGCCCGCACCTTGTTTTTGATGCTCTCGACCCACTCGAGGCTCTCGATGGGGATTTCCTTTCTTGAGCCCCGCGGGCCCGCCATGCCGAGCGAGCTCTCCTCCTCCGTCCAGCTGAGGCGCGAGCTGGATCTCGACCGGCCGGTGCTGCCGGAGACCGAGTCCACCGAGGAGGGCTCCGAGGCCCGTGGTGCGCCGTACGCAATAGGTGTCTGGGGGGCCAGTCTAGGGCCCAGGAGCTCTTCGCCCGCGCTGGCCTTGCGGGTCTTCTTTACATAGATCGGGCTCACGTCGACCGCCGAGCCGGGACGACTCTGAGGACTGGGGCCCGGGCGGGCCGGCGGGCTGGCCGAGGTTCGGCTGCTCATGCTGCTCGTCGAGCGTGGGACGTCTCGGACCTCGAGCCGCTGCTCGCTCCCGCGGTTGGATCGCCGCCCGTGGTGGATCGCGTACTCCTTGAGGTATTCTCCCAGGTCGGCCCAGCCCCCACCGACACGCACCATCACCCGCTCACCCGACTCGCCGACACAGCGGATGAACAGCTTGATCGGCGCCTCGCCATTCGCTCTCGAGAGGTGATACATCTTGATGTCCTGGTTGGCGCGCTGCTGCCGAGACCGAGCGACGGGGGCCAGCATGAAGGCTGGCGTACTGGCGCGGGAGGACATGGTGGACCGGCTGCGGCCCGACTTGTCGGCTGCCCCCCTCGGCTTCGTGTACGGCAGCTGGAGGTCCGGCGGGTTCAGGTGGCTGAGGAAGGTGGCCTTCGAAGACAGCTGGATCTTGGCTGGGATGTTCTCCAGGATCTCGGCGATCTGTTGTCGCATGTGGTGGTCCTCTTCGCCGTTCGGATCGCTGAGTATGATGGGGCTTCCGAGTTCCTGCGCTGGGGTGCTATCGTATACCGACGTGAGGGGTGTCTGGAGAGCATCTTCGTCCTCATCCTCCGGATCCTCAGGCACGGGCGGCATATCGCTGAGCGGCAGCGACATCGACCTGGTCTCACGCGGTGGTGTGTGTGGGGACCGCCCACTGCTGCTGACGGGGAGAAGCTCCGGCGTCATTGACGGGTCCTGCTGTCGTGCCTGGGTACCACCGGTAGACGATTTGGAAAGAGTGCTCCTCGGTGTCGCCTGTGGCAGAGACGACTCGTCAGACCCTTCCTGACTGGAGACCAGTGAGAAGTTGTCGCCGTCGAGCTCCAGATCGGTCATTGCTCCATCACCGCTTTCACTGCTCTTCCGGGTGGCGGAGCCCGAGTCGCTCGTCACGGCGATGGCTGGGGACCCGTTGGAGGCACCGTCCGCTTCCTCGCTCGGGACAGGCCGGTCTAGCTCATCAGCTGAGCTGTTCGCTGGCTCTTCGTCATCGTTGACGTGCTCAATGCTGATCACTAGATCTGATGCGGTGCCGATCTCGGCATTGCCGTCCTTGTTGTTGGAGTCGTCCTCCGAAGAAACTTCAGAGTTCTCGGGCAGAACATGTTCAACAGGCTCTTTCAAAGCTGCAAGCTCTGCATCGCGCATCTTCCTCTCGCAGGCAGCGATCCACTCGGAGAAGTCGCGCTCCACGGCCTCCATGCGATCAAGCATCTCATCCGGCAGGATATCGTCCCGGCCTTCGAGGGTGTCCAGCATGAAGTCGAGGCTCTGTGCTGCGGTTGCGACCTTCTTGTCAAGGACCAGTCTCATCACTTCGAACTCGCGTGCGGAGAGCGCCAAGGCCTGCGACGCTGTCCCTGGCCTGATGGTGGCCCAACCCGTCTGAACGGCAGACTCGGCATCAGCTACCGCATCCAGCCACGAGGGAATGCGCCGCAGAACCGTTAGGCGCACGCTCCAGATGCTCATGAGCCGGATGAGCTTCGAGAGGTTGGGCAGCGCCTGGACAACGGTGGCCGTGATGACAGCGGTCATGTCGTCCATCTTGGTGTAGGACGCGAGGGAGACTAGGCCAAGCTGGCGCTCCAGGGTCGGGCTGCCGGGTTCGCCGGGCCTGGACAGCGGCATGATGTGGTTGTGTAGAACATGGCTCTTGATCTCCTCGATCTCGAGCCTGTCCAGCTCGGCCTGGATCTGGTCAAGACGCGTCTCGTAGCGCGTCACGTCCGACTCTGGGAGACTGCCGATGTATGGCTCGTCAGCCCTTGTAGGTGTGTTGTAGTGTTGCGCCTCCTTGACCAGCGATCCAGACCTCCCCCGCGCCGAGGAGATAGCATCTGTTGGAGGAGCCGGTGCCAGGAAGCCGGCGCCCCCTTGCGCAGGCCATGGCCAGTCGCGCAGCTCGTCGAGCCACTCGTAGATGTTCTTGGAGGCGACGGCGGCGCGCATGGCGAAGCTCCGCTCAGCCTGAGTCGCGGCGTCCATGCAAGCCTTCAGGGGCCCAGTGGGGGCGCGGAACGTATCCACGGCGGTCAATGGAGAGAGGAGGGATATGAAGTCGTCGGAGGATTGTGGGCGTTGTGTAGTAGTAATGGTAAGAGACGAACGCGAGGCCGACGGGGAGGGTCGACCCGCGAACAGCAGTCGGGCCCCGGGGGGCGGAGGGTGTATGGAGGGGGATTCGGTCATGGTGAGTTGAGGAGTTGCAGGACGAGTCAGAGATGTCGATGGTCTGGTTGTCGTGGTAGGGAGTGGTGGTCCACACGAGGCATGGCCGGTGTGGTCCCTGTGGCTCTTATGAACCTATGAACGAAAGATTGTATGCAAATAACCTCGAAAGGCTCATAGTTAGAGCGGGTGAAGGTGGTTGGTTGATGAGAAGCTCAAAGACCAAGGTTTGCCCCAGGCTTTCTGGCGCCCTCCTTTGAGACTGCGCGCTCGTAGCCTCTTTGTATACTTATGTCCGGCTGTCTTGTCTCCAACGATGCGCAGGGCCGGGGGCCAACAGAGGGAAGCAGGCAGGAGAGGGGCCACAAGTGAAAAGGACCCAATGCGATGGCTGGCAGATGGCTGGCGCGGTTCCTGCAGAAGCAGAGGGCGCGGCAGGGCTTTGACGGACAGCTTTTTCAGCACGGACAATCGGAGGGTGAATAGATGGCTGGATAGGATGGGTGGCGTCTGTCGCGCGCGCTGTTGGTCGTGGTACGGGTACAACACGGTACGACACGGTACAGGGTAGAGGGTACAAAGACCATGCGAGAGAGAGACAAACAGCTCTGTCGTGCTGGAGGTTCCACGTCCCAGGTTCCAGAATCCAGAAATCCAGTTCCAGTTCAGGGGTTTCGCGCGTGATAGGCCCGAGATAGATGCAGGTTGTGCAGGACCTGAGGTGAGAGTGGATAAAGAGCGACGTGTCTTGTGAGGACTGAGAGCCCCTTCAAGATGCAGTATGATGTATTGTAGGCAGCCCAAGACGTGAGACAAAGTTGATTGTGAAGGCTTAGCCGCGATTTGCTGCGTGGCAGTTGAAACGAGAGACAACGAGGCTGGGTTGGTGAGGTGGACTCTGTCGCACAACACACACAAAGGTAGGTTGCTCTCTGTAAAGTAAGGGAGGAGGGAGGGTTGGGAGGGGTGGAAAGGGCGGGATGGGCACCCTGACTCCTCTTCAGCTGGATGAGAAATAAGGCTGCGCTGCCTGGTTGGAAGGAGAAACTTAGGCACGAGGGTCCGAACTCATCGAAGGGGGGGAGGAGGAGGAGGAGGAGGAGGAGGATGGACCAGCTGGTGCACCTTGCGCTGCTCTGTGTGGATACAGAGTCTCCGTATCACGCGTACAAGGAGAGTAGAGATAAAAAGAGACAAGAGACAAGAGAGTGACAGTAGACGAGACGCCAGAAACCAAACAAAAAGGGAAGAGAATGTGGTGTCAACCAACGAGGTTTGACGAGGCAAGAGAGGAGGGAGGGTACGTAGTTTGGTTGGAGAACCAGTCGGGAAGTCAGAAACCCAGAAAAGGCAGCGGCTACTCGACGTGTTGCAGCTTATTCTTTGTCGCGCCACCCTTGTCGCATTATGCGGCCCAGGGCAAGCAAAACCCCCTGAAAATAAACCATACCACCTATAAATTATAGAATCGCACCCACCACAATACCATGTCCGTGCAACTTGCAAGTCTCCCTCAACTATGCGCGTAAAAATAGCCACATATTCATTTCCAAGATGAAAACTTTTTGTAAGATCTCAGGGTCCTTCACAATGGGGCCTCTCTTTCTCTCTTTTTATTTTATACTTCTTCTCGCCGTCTTATTCAAACCTGACACCATCAAAACACAACAACCGAACTCACCAGAAGGAAATTTCTGGTGGATCTCCTTGATCTCCCAGAACGAGCCAGTCTCATTACGAATGGCGAAATTTGATTAATTATTGATAGCCCAAAACCCAAACACTTTCCCACAACAATCTTGCATCGCGTTGCACAAAGTACCCGAGTATGTATGTGTTGTTTGTGTCTGCAGCCTTTCCATCAAGTATTCAGGATCCATACGACTTGGCCTGGTTTGTCATGGGAAACATCCGCTCGCTCGCGCGGCTACTTCAGGACAGAACAGACACGACAGCACGTGTTTAGTGTTTCTCCCTATCAGAAGCCCACGGTGCAGGGGTACTATCAGCAGATTGGCACAGAGAGAGGGGGGTATGTGTGTGTATGAAGTGTCAACGCCAGCCCTGCACTGCCCAGCACATATCTTTTTGTTAGATGAATCAATCCCCTCCTTCACATGCAAAGAATGTGTGAGTCGTGTGCTGTTCCTGCGTGGCAGCGTGGCACGCTACGGAGCGAGGGAGAGGGGTGCAAGGGGAAAGGATTGCTCTCCCCATGCAAGATGAGATCAAAATCCAGGGCTTGCCCAGCACCGAGTGGGCTGCTGTTGTCCACGTTCCTGGTCTCGAAGTGTTCCTGTACCCACCTTCTCGCCCAGGATGGTCCACCGGCGGGGCCAGGGCAGCGCTGTGGTACGTCCGGATGTGAAGCTGTGTGGGGGGGAGGATGAGGAGTATCCATCGTCGAGCTGAGCTTCTCTCTTCTCTCACTCTCTCTCACTCTCTTTCTTACTATGGTACCCAGGTCCCATAATACTAGTACTACTACTAGACCGCAGTACGGCTCTGGGGCGGCCGGCAACCGAGCCGATGTACTCTTCATCCTGCCCCTCGCCCCCAGTCCAGAACATGCATGACCAGCTGTAGCGGCATGTACGGTTTGAGAATGCAATGGACGGAATTTGCACGGTCCACGCGAGCAGTGCCACGTCGCTCATGTCTTGTTCACAGCGAGCATTCCGATTTCAAAGCTATATGCAGTACGAAATCCTGATGTGCCAGATACTTCCTTGCGGGTACACCTCGCCGCCCTTGTCGTTCAGTTTTCGAGGAGAACGCGGCTTCCAGCTGCCCATCCTTCCACCCACCGATTCGCCCACGTTTTTGCAACTTCCGTCATCATGGCTTTACAATAAACAACAATTTGCCAACCAGCCGCCAGAAGCAGGAGGGAAATGAAATTCCCACCCAAAAAAAAAAAAAAAAAAAACAACCATCTCATTCATCGCTTTTTGTATTCGTGCAAAATTTTCGAAGGTGAAAAAGACAAAGAAGAGGACGAATATTCAACCAGTGCCAGCCAGTAGACCCAAAAAAAGTATATAGCCAAATGGCGTGGGGAAGAGTCCCGTCATACATGGGCGTAATTTTATCCTCTCTAGTCCTTGTGTAACAATAAAATGCAATGATCATGAGAAAACCTCCGCTCCGTGGGGCTCCAAGGACCCAGGTTCTATATGCTCCGAGACGGCAACCCAGCCAGCGCTGTCGTGCTCATTCAGCTCCAGCTCGGGGGGCAAGTTGAGCCAGTTCTGCCACCCATCATCCAGCCGCGGAAAATTAAGCCCCTCTGCAGAGATGTCGCCTGGCACGATGCCAAACGCTGCCCCGGACATATCTTCCTCTTGATGGTGGCCCGCGTCATGGGTGTGGGTGGACGTCCCGGGCGACATCGAGTCCGATGCATCCGAGCTGTGCTCGTGCGACATCATGTCCACAGGCCATGAGTTCGCCGTCACCTGTTGTGCCATCTCTTGTGCCAGTGTCTGCGGGCCCAACGTCCCCATGGGCATCTGCATCGCTTCGAGGCCACCCATCAACGGCGACTGTGTGATGATGGGCATCGTAGCAAGACCCATCGCGCTCATTTCAGGGTGCAGCGAATTGTTGTTGTTAGTGTTGTGTGCCGGCTGGTGCGACAGGCTCCCCATCTGCCTCGGCTGCATCATCGCTGCGTATCCGTTTGTAAAGGCTAGGCCTCCTCCCAGGGCTGCCGCTTGGTGAGGTGAGTGGCCCGAGGCTGGCAGTATGCTGGCGCCATTCATAGTATCGGCGGCGGCCGGCGCTGGTGGCGCTGGTCGGTCTACGCCAGGCTTGTTCCTGATGACGTTGTCCATGAAGATGGCTGCGTACTCGGCCGCCGCATACGTCTCACGAAGCGTCTGCAGTACTTTCATGCACGTGTCGAAGCCCCTCTGCGCCTCCTCGCGTGTTGCCTTGACAGGGTCACTGACGTCCTGTAGGTGGACCAGCATGGCCGGCATGATCACTGTCACTCCTGTCGTTGGGAAATACCTGTCCAGCTCTAGCGCGTGCATCTCCCCGGCCACACGAGTGATCTCGGCCGCAACGCCCTTGCACTTCTGGCGAGCCACTAGGGAGATGTGCTGTTCGGCAGCTGGGTCCAGCCTCGACTCTTGGATGCGGAGGGGGCGGATCAAGGGGTGGTAGATCTTCCCGACTGTGGTCTGGTAGAGCATCTGCAAGAGACTGCGCTGCATCGCGACCGGTGTGCGGCCGTGTTCGACATCCCAGCGCTCTAACGTCCGATACTGGCACGTCGGTGGGAGCGCCGCGGCCCATGCGGCGAGCTCGCGGTGGACCTTGTCAAGGGTCTGCAGGTTGTCGACGATGGTCGCCGGCGTCGAGCTCGTGCGGGTGCTCGTGGCATCCTGGAATGACTGGGCGGCCCTCAGCACACGCCCGACCAGCACGTACAGCTTGGCCTTCTCCACACACATCTCGGCCAGCTCCTGCTGCATCCCGACGTCAAAGAGGACGGGGCAGTCCTCCCGGGAGACCAACAGGTTGTCTGCCAGGACCTCGATCTCGAAGTCGTTCTCTTCCAGCATGGGGAGGTCAAAGTCCTCATCCTTGATCCTGATGAGCCGGGACATCCCCAGGCCGATCTGCCGGTCTCGCATGACGCAGGACCACCATATCCTCCTGCGATGCCTCCTCCTCACTGGGTCGATGTTGTTGCTCACGTTTGTCCGGTGCAGCCCGAGGGCCTGGGCCTGCGAGATGGCGATGCCAGACCAATACCACGTCTCTTTGGCGTCATCTGGGGCGTCGTACCAAAAGGACAGCAGCAGCGACGACTGAGCGAGGACAAATTTGTCGTTTTCGTAGTCAAAATCATGAAGCAGCTTTGCTGCCTGGAAGATGGAGCGCCTTAGTGCCCTGCGATTCTTGAAGCCAGCCGCCGTCACGTGTGCAGACTCGACGAAAGCCGATGCGGCAAACATGACGCATTGGTAGAGGAGGAGGCTGAGCTGTCCATGCCGTCCATTCCGATCGCTGACTCGCCGGATGAAATTGTGAAGCTCCAGCACAGGAAAGTCAGGGTGAACATGTTCAATGTATGCCAGCAACAACTGTCTCTCGAGTGTCACATCAGGCAGCTCCAGAGCGCCCATCTGGTGCAGATGCTGCAGGCCTTCACGTGTGATCTTCCCTGCGGCCGGCAGCCTCACGTGCGGCGGCACAAGCGCAAGCCATGCCTGGGATTCTTCGGTCGGGCCCCAAGGGAGTTGTGTTACTGCTGATCCACCGGCGTACGTCCGACCTGCTCAAGTGGGTAGTGAGTAAGTAACCTGACCATGATGTGGGTGCGACGACCCTTGGCATTGACATGTGAAAATGCCTGACGCAGGTCGGGCTGCCGGAAGTGGTGGGGGGGGGGGGGGGACACGCTTACAAGGCTGTACTGCTGCTTGTGCACCCTGACCGCTCATCTCCGAGAACGAGTCACGCGCTCGCTGTAAAGCATCGTCACCCGCCACCAGACCAGTTTCGATGGAGATTGTAGGTGTTGGGTTTGGTAGGATAGAGGGCTTGGAGAGCAGAGATTGAGTCTGGCGCCTAGAGAAATGTTAGATTTTTCGAAGAGGCTTGAACAGAGAGAAGAATAAATCAAAGCTGGCCCAAAGACAGGGAAGGATGGGGGACTCACCTCTTTCTCTTACTGGGAGGAATAATGCACTGCACCATGGCATGGCGACAATTCCCACAAGGATAATTGGTCACGTATCCGTCCTTCTCCTTGTAGTCACAGCGAACCTTGCGGCTCCTACACTCTTGGCAGGCCTGCGGCGCCCGCTTCTTGACGGGCTTGGAGGGCCTATCCGTCTCAGCCGACGACTTCTTCCTCTTCTTGGAGGTGGCATCCGAGCTGGCGCCGGCGGAGGAGGAGGAGGACTCGGGGGGGCCATCCGCACCGGTGTCAGAAGGCGTAAAGGCTGCCTGTTCAGAAGGCGAGTCCTCGTCATGTTGGCTTGGGGACTCTGCCATGGCGACATCGTCGTCCTGATGAGGGTGATCGGCGGCCAGTTGCTTGTGGCCGGCGTCTCGTAACAGCTCCATGAGTTGATCGGTCTCCATTATAATTCGATCAGTCGCGTGTTGTGGTCCTGACTGGAAAATACCATGTTATGGCGCTGGGTAGTGATTTTGGTTCATAGGTCCACACGTTGCACCCGACTAATGCCTTGTGGTTGCTTTGACACACGCACAGATACACACCGGAGGTCTACCTTGATGAGAAGAAGGTTTGTAAAGTATGTTTCCTGAAATTCAGGTTGGAAGTATGTGGAACCGTTGAACAAAATGCTAGAGGGGGTATCACCCGACAATTATTTCATAAGGTCGTTTCTTGAGAGATAAAAGAGGAAGAGAAAGAAGAGGCATATACGGGTCTCAGATGTGTGTTGCGAGTAGGTGGAAAATGTCTCATGGATATACACACGTTGACTGTTGAAGTTGGACGACGACGACGACGACGACGACGACGACGACGACCCAATATGACCTTCGTATATTTTTGTGAAGTGCTCGCGATGTAACAACCAAAGGAAAGGAAAACCGATCTAGTCCAAGGCCAAAGAAACCAGAAGAAGAAAGTAACAAATAACGAGCGAGGTGTTCGAGATTATAAAAGTGCTGCTCCACGGTCCCTCTTTCCTTCTTGGCTTGGCGAGGGGGCCCAGGATCCTGGGGTACTACGGCTAGTACGTATCGTGGTACCACAGTACTCAGGCCCGACGCTTTGTATCTGGGCACTGTACCTCGCGGTACCTCGCGCTCTTAGCAGACCAAGAGCCCATTTCGACGATCATTCCAAGATTAAGATTTCTAGATTTTCTATAGTATTCCCATCTGTTTTCTATTTACAGAAAATGGTTTGCCTCTTCGCACTCTCCCATTCTCCTCATGAGATTTTTTATTAAGCTTTTTCTTATTTCTTTCTTTTTTTTTCGTGGATTATTGGCAAGAATCAACCAACTTCGAAGCTGCATGTCGAGCGCGTGGTGAATGGTCTTGACCGCTGATGTACCACAGAGTACCTACCCCTCAAGCGTTACCATCAAAGCGGATCCGTTCCGGGGCAGAGGATGAATCGATTGGTACGCACCGTCTTTTGATGGGCCCCCCGGACCAGCGATGGACACAACAAAGCCCGCACGACCAGGAGGTAAAATCTGGGGCCAGCCAGCATAGTCCTCGTCGCGATTGCGGAGCCCTCGGCCACAGTGCATAGCATGTGGACTCTCTCAGTAAGTTTTTTTTAGGGAACACGAAATGCAGGCAATCGATCATATCATCGATGGATCGAACATTACTTGTCCATTGTCTTCTCGTCGAGATATCCATCTATTCATCCATCCATCCGGTCGGTCAGTCATATGTACAATCCATAATCCAACGTGCTTATGCGCTGTTGTAACACACCCTCGTGAGCTTTGCAACCAAGTACCTTGAGGGGCTCAATGTGCCGGAAGGGGGGGACGCCTAAGGGGCGGGCCAAATACGCACCCACCCACCAACTAAGGGTTCCCCAGGCTTCCCCAGGGCCAAGACTAGTAGGGCGAGTTTTCCAGGCCCAACGTCGACACAGAGCCGCCCTGCCAGGTCAGGGTGTCATCAGCTGGTTGATCGTCACCTGGTCAAGGAACCTGACCTCGGCGCCCTCGCTGGGTCTGACCTGGCAGGAGGATAGTCGCATCGTACATGGTACTGTACTAAAAGTATATAGCCCAGAAAGAAAGAAGGAGTGGAGATGAATGTAGCAGCTTTTTTACAGCGTTGATGAGGGCCCCAGACATGATACTCTGGCGTCAAAATTTCAAGGCATGTGATCGTGGCAAGGGGGGCGGGGGGGGCTTGATTGACCTAGTCCATCCTGTTGTGGAGGACGGACACACTCAACCTGTCCAAAGGTCACGTTGGCATTTTCCCTTTTATCTCTTATTTTGTGTGTGCGTGTGTGTGTTCTATTCTTCACTCCCTCTCCATGTCACCCGTCTTGCATTTCTACTCGTTTTGAATTATCCTCGACGATCAACCCACAACCCGACACTGTGGATTCATACGATCTGGACTGCTGTTTGGCGCGTATGCAACTTCGCGCCTCTCGGCCTCAGATCTAATGTGCCTACCTTCCAGGGGGTGAGATTACGCCTGCTTCGTGTGTCTTTATCTTATCATACATAGTACAGTCTACTCTACTTTTATTCTCTCTCGTACAGTACACTATGCCCATCTCCGATCCTACACCGTCTCTCGCCGACCGGCCTCGGCTCGCGGAGAAGACTTCATCCTGCACGCCCTTGTTCTTTTCCGCCTCTTTTCCTCTCTCACCAAATCCGAGATAATTTCGTTCATGCAGCCCTTTTGTTTTCTTTTCTTTTGGTCTGCTTTTGGGTCTTCTTTTCCCCCACATGGTGTGGGAGACAGTTTCACGTTAGCCCATCCCTCCTTTGTGTGTGGCCTCGTCAAGAGTTCGGTCAACTTCCGCCGTGCCTGCTGGCCGATTGGATTTTGGCTCCCGCGTGCCCGGGAACGCCCACCCTCAAAAACGTTCACACCCCTCCTTCTTCCAAGATCCAAGATCCTCATCCTTTTCTTAGGGGCTCCGCTCGCCCGCCCACCAGAACACACCTCCCCTCCTATACTCCCCCGCATCCATCCCAAAAAGAAAAAGAAGGATTCCCAAAAAAATTTAAGCCCACAAGTGGCCACACGAAACCCCAGAAAAACAATCATCTGGGGAAGATGATTATTCCTCCCGTCTCTTTCCGGGGTTGCGGATCCGCCCAACACACCTGTTACTATAGTACGTACTCACTTTTTGGTGACGTTTCTCACCACCTCCATTGTCGGAAGTCAAAATCCGCAACCAATCAATCTAATATGGAAGGTCATCGAGTCTGTACAACGTGGTGGCAGGTGGTAAAGAAAGAACCAAATTGAACCCTAGCTATACAACAAAATAAACCACACCCTAACCAGTCCGTTTTTGTACGTAGACGCTCAGTGCAACCAATGAGGTGGTCCAGAAAGCCGAATTGGGCAGGAGAACATTTGGTGCAGCCGTTTCTCTCTCTTTCTATTACCATCTCTCCGTTTTTGTCCAACGCAACCCTCCCGCTTATTCTGGCATCCCTCAAGGGTTCACATCGGTCTAGTTCGTTTTGTGTCTAGATGATACCAAACTGTGCCTCCACGATCATGGGGTGACATGCGTCCTGCGAGATGGGAGACTAAGCTGAACTCTGGCGTCCGTTTTATTCCCTAGAGGCGCATTGTGACACGGGCCCCCCCCTTGGTGAGGCAGAGAATTTCCCGGGAGGAACAGCTTCTGAACCTATGAACGCTGCTGCCGCCGGCATTGTCGCTGTCGTGAAAGCATCATAGAAAAGGGTTGACGTTGTGTGGGGCAAAGACTGGTGACGATCTGGGGCTGGCTGTGTGGTGGAGCGATGCCATGATCTTCATGACGTTGGGATTACAGTACTATGTATGCATCCCAATCTCCTTCCAGGATTTGTTCCCCCGCCTGGTGGGACACGACTCGACCCTCCATAACCGTGGTGCATGACGGTCCAGTTATGGGCTGCCATGGGAGAAGACGGTTCAGTCACGTGGGCGCCTGCTTCACATGTGAACTGTGGCGGAGAGAACAACACCAGCTGGCGGGTGGACCACCTAGCTCTGGCCTTGCTGCTGGAGATGTTTCCGCCCCTCGGACGAGGAGAATGGCGCTGGTTGGCCTTGTCCCAAAGCACGGTCACTCTCACTCGTCAAGTTTTGTGTGTACGGGAACACATATTCCACGCCATGTGCTATGATACGTGTTCGTGTGCCAGAGACTGCCTGCTGTCTCTCTCTACCATCTCAAGAGTCTGTATCAGCCGCTGTGCAACGTCTCAAGAATGTCGTCGGCTTCTTGCAGCGGACGGGAGGTTGTGAGCTCCGCCTCGCCGGATTTCCCGGGGCTTGCGACCCGTGTCCAGCTGGTTTTCCGGAGCTTAATACAACAAACACCTCTCTACCGCTGGCGAGGTCTAAGAAAGTCGTGGCTCTGGTGTGAAGCACTATGGCCTTTGTCACTGCGCATTCAAACAATTACTTGATCCAATTCAATGCACCACCACCACCACCACCAAGACAGTGTCAATTGAACATACCACGTGTCTCGTGGCGAAGCGAACTGATCGCGTGTTCAGAAAGCGGCCGCCAAATCCAGCTGTGTAAGACACCAACTAAGTCGAGAAAATGCCGTGATTCGGAAACGCGGTAGGTCAAGCCACAACTTCCATAGTACATTCCAATTAGTTATCTGCTTCTTGGCCGCACCCGCCAATCGCCAAGCCGCCACTACCATCCGTTTTCGTTATCACGAGGCTGGCACCGGCTTGGGCCCAGAACCGCTAAGCCTGGCTGTGTTTGGACATGCCAAAAGCTTACCGCGCGCAGGAAAAGACTCATTCTAGAATCTCTCTTCTCCCTATTATCATTTTTGATAGTTGTCTAACTACCAGAAATTGAGTGATCGTCATGAAGCGAGTAATGAACCAAATGAACAGCCTTCGAATCGAGAGGACGCTAAATGTGGCTGGCTGAAAGATTCCCACTTCCTCATGAAATTATCCTGTCTTAGTATTTCGGGGGTTACTCAGGTTGCTTGACTTGTCGAAACTAGCGAAACGCCAACTATGAACTTAAGGCCAGCTGGTTGGTGGTGAAAGGACTCCAACCCCTGGCGCATCCCGGCTTTCTGGGTCTGGACTCGTGGACTTCAGCTTGGGCTCATTCTCACTGACACGCTGTACTCCTGATATTGTAGTAGGCATGATAGAGGGTATTGAGGATCAAAATACATTCAATAGACTTTCTTCAATCAATCAAGTCAGTTTCGACACTCTGCATCGAGGCATTATAGTATAATTAAATACAGTATGGCCCCCCACAGGGAGGTGGACCACGGCGCCCAAAGACGGCACGCGTAATCGCTCATTCCTAAGGGGGTCCACTTGAGTATCAGAATGCGCCCCAGCGTCGAGACGGAAAGGAGGTCGAGACCCTTTTTTTTTTTTTTTTTTTTTTTAGGTCTCCCTCTTTTCTTAATTAATGTTTCTACTGTGTCTTTTCCTGAACCCGTAGAAGAAGAACCATGTCATGACGATCCTCTTCAAGTGTACTTAACTGTATAACAATCGGATTACCATTCTTTTCTTGGCCTGTCTCGCCTGTATGGCAGACTTATAGACGGAGAGAAACAAGGAGAGAAACAAGGAGGAAGAAATCGATCCCGAAGGGTCTCGATTCCTCTCCTGGCTTGCCGTCAGGGCAGACAAGACCGTCCCCTCCCTTCTTCCGTTGTCACGATGGCCAAGCTCGCCGGCTCCGCCCTGGTGAGCTGGAAGACCGCCGCCGCCGCAACACTACTGTGCATTTGGCTCGTCTGGAGCGTCAGTTTCCTGCGCCCACAGGCGGCAGACGGAGTCCTCTCCACGCTACCTGGGCTCGGCAAGGGCGGCGGCAGCAGCGACAGCGACAGCGACAGCGCGAGCGCGAACGCGAGCGAGCCTCAGGACAATATCGATGACGACAGCCTGCGGCCTCTCGTGCTATACACCTATGCCGAGTCCGAGAATGCGCGCGAAAATTTCGCCTTCTTCATCCGCAACGGCCTGCACGGCCGCGCCGACTTCGTCTTCATCTTCAATGGCGAGACCGACGCCTACACCATGCTGCCCGACCTGCCCAACATCCAAATCGTCCAGCGCGAAAACAAGTGCTTCGACATTGGCGCGCACGGGGAGGTGCTACGCCAGGACGACTTGTGGAAGAAATACAAGCGGTTCATTACCATGAACGCGAGCGTGCGGGGGCCTTTTGCCCCGACGTACTTTCCGAGTTGCTGGATGGACGCGTTCCTGGGCAAGATCACCGACAAGGTCAAGGTAAGGAAGGGATCCAAGTCCCCCTGAAAAGATGACTGCAGATGTGTATATGGAAGGCTGACGTGGAGACAATCGCCCCGAAACCAGCTCGTCGGCACGACCCTCAACTGCCACCCTCGAATCCACCTTCAGTCGATGCTCCTCGCGACCGATGACATCGGCATGTCCATCCTGCTCGACCCAGACCTCGCCCTCTCAGCCTCCGTCAACGACTTCTATGGCACCAGTCTGGACCCTGTAGGCTTCACGCCGTGCTTTTCCTCGCTCAAGAAGGCCGTCCACGCCGAGATTGGCATCACGACCTTGATCAAGTCCCAGGGTTACGAGGTGGACGTCGTCATGACGGCGCCCCACTCGCACGGTTCGTTCGAGGCTTTCTGCGAGGCGGCGGGCAAGCCAGACGACTTCCTGTACAAGGACAGGTACCTTGGTACCAACGTACACCCGTACGAGACGGTCTTCATGAAGGCAAACCGGGAGATCGATCCCATGTTGCTGCAGCGCCTGACGGAGTGGCACCTCGACGCGAACATGACAAGCTGGGATGCGTGTGGCCGGTGAGGCGCCTTGACCAGGAGGAGAAGACCATACCTCGAAAGAAGTCTGTCTTCCTCTCTTGCTCTCTCGACCACCCACAAGCCCCACATAAAGAAGTTCGTGGATAGCAATAGTTGGACAAGAGGAAGAGATGCCAAGCAAGAAGAGTTCAACGTCGCACCGTGGTATTTGACCGCCCGACCTTGGCGCTTCGCTTTCGACGCTTGGAGGGAACGGGCCGCAACCCGAACGCTCGCGTGCAGTGGTGCAGCGGTGCAGTGCAGGTGGCGTATCCCGAGGTTATCCTGCGATCCAGTCTCTTGGCGAAGCAACAGAGCGGCCCAAAGGAGGATCGTCATATGCAGACCATTCCAAGCTAACCAAGAAGGATTGGTCCTTATCATACAAGGGCAGAACTCTGCCATGAGACCCCCGACGACGACTTGCAAAACGTCGATCGAGTTTGGCGCAGAATGGCAGGCCCTTGGTCAAGGAGGACTGGATGGTTCAGCAGCTCTCTCTTCTTGTTGATCATATCTGGGAGGACACGGGCAATATGGGCGAGACCAACTTCTCTAAACTCATCTAAGATTTGTCAGTGCTCACTTAGTGTGTTAGGTGTTATATCCACTTAGACCTATAGAATTTATGACTAGAATCCAGAACTGAATCAGCTGTGGTCAATTCAGAGGTGGCCATTGTGAGAAGTTGACTTCGCTCATGCGTGGTTTTGAGAGAGAAATGTTTCAATAAGACCCAGTGTTTGGCATACACAATAACATAGCATGGCAGCAAATTTTCTACTGCAATTCAGATAGTTGGTCCCTCCTGCCTAGTGATGCTAATGCCCTTCTCATGCTCCTGCAAGCTGTAGACACCCCTCAGCGCCTTCTCTAACAAAAACAACAAGCGAGTAGACAAACCCCTTGAGCCCCGGTGCACATAGGAAAGACCTCCAGGACCACTTCCAATCAACACAAAGCCAGTGAACAAGTCCCATATGGTGTAGTGGTCAACATTCACGCCTCTCAAGCGTGGGCCCCGAGTTCAATTCTCGGTATGGGAAACCCATTTTTGGTGTTTTTCTATGCTCGTGTTGAATATCAATCTCCGCCCTCCCCCCCAGCTTTCCGAATTGCTATCCTTTTTACCAACGATACAAGAGGAAGGTCCTATCAGGCTTCCCTCTCTTCCCCCTCTTCCTTTTATCTGTTGCCTATTCCGCATGCTACACGTCTAGCCACACGCAAGAAAGCATTCCCTGGGTATAGCCTCTCGTTGCTCGTCGGCAGTGGAGATTTAAGAACGCCTTTAATAAGTGATGCTACTATATCGTCCCTCAGATAGTCAGGGTTTCCAACGCCATCATCCAAACTTAACTGAAGAAAGCAAAACGGAAAAGAAGGTATGAATGATTGGAGAGGAAGAAGCAAGTCAATGCATGCTTGGATCTGGCCGTAGCCCTGCAGGGCTTGAAGACATGCTACACAACGTACTATCGAAACGGCCGACGCAAGGCATGGCCTCATCAACCAGAACATGGTAACATGACGTTGTTATCTTAGACTCTGACACGCTATGCCAATGGCACGAAAGGTACTTTACTTCATCTACCAGAGCCGTTCTCAACGCATGTGGACGTTCGGTCTGGGGCAAGAAGCATTTATTAGTTTTCGTTCAACTGGTAACCTCAAGAAAGTACAATGCATGAATCCCAATCTTTTGTGATACTGATTGCTGGTGAATTGAAGTGTAGCGAGAGTACGAACATTATGCAATGGACAATGTCATAGACTACGGGGCTCTCCTGATAAGTAGCAAGAATTTCAGTTCCCGAAGCCCGAGAAGCTTACTGGACGAAGTTTATATAACTGAAGCATATCATTGTTAAGAAAGTTCAGTTCACGCTCACCTCAGAATATAACTAATGATGACAATTGTAGCGCAGATACCGATGGCTCCTTTTTGGAAGGAAAAAACAAAAGATATGGTTAAGATATCATTATCAAATATAATTCAACTTTCTAATGATGGACATTATCTCGAAAGACATGCGATTGCTTATTCTAGCGAAGCTCCCTACTCACATGCTGTCCCCTGGACCGTTCACCCTCTGCAAAGGAATGCATGTCAAGCTTGCTAGACGAGCTGATGAAGAGGCCTTCCTTCCAATCTCTCTACTCCTTTTCAGCCACACCGCAACAACCTTGCTTCCCAAGGTAATGTACGGCCGTGGTATTCGAGTTTTAGCCAGTACCTGCAGCCCTCCCTCTCAGCAGTGGTGGTGATCATCACCGTCGAAGAGCGTGGCTGGCGCAGGTGCTGATTCAGGGCGTCGTTCCCGGCCAGTGTGGACATCATGGCGTCCCTCAAAGGGCATCTGCATAGCTGGTGATCAGGAGCACTTTGGATTCTCAAGGGAACAATACATGTTTCCTTTGCTTCGTTTCGAACATGCCTTTCGTCTGCCTTGCCTTTTCTATGCCTCCCTTGCTATCCTTCTGTTCTTAGTAATTCCTCCAGGTCGATCTGAACCGAATTCTGCAACTCCGGGGGGGGGGAGAGGGGGGGGCAGCTGGTAGGGAACCTCAAGACCTATCAGGATTGGTGGCAGTTCGTCCAAAGGTAAGGCTGTTATAGAAAACATGTGCGAGTCCGACCGTTCTACGCAGCTATATAGGCCACAGCCGTTTCCAGTCAGCTGGGAGTGGCCACTGCCTTCAGCTGTCGCATAAACACACCTTGAGCTCAGAAATTCAGATTGTTGCAAGATTATCAAATCTCATGATCAAGTTGTCAACCTGTTACTCGTCGAAGCTTGGGAAAGTTAGCATGTGATCACTTCTTGGCTGCGTAAGGGAAAACAGCCCCCCTTGCCCCCGGTACACCGTTCTGAGGCCCAATATAGAGGGCTACCTGTTATCATAAGGTGTGGTGGAACGGTGAGCAATAAGCCTGTGCTAGAATGTAGATTGAAGGAGAAAGTTTGTAATTCGAAGAATATAATGCTGATATTACTGAGAATCAGGACTTCCAAAGTGCCTGACCGTCTGACCCTTCTGTTCACACTCTTATTGGAGCAAGAACACAATCCCAATTAAAAATACCATTCGACACGATTCTGGAGCGTATCCTACTTCTTTTCCTTCCTCTTTTTTTCCCTTTCCTATCATTTTATATAGCATGGATCGTACTCTGTCACCATGCTTGATACAGAATTGCCCCTGGTCTGCTTTTCACACTGAAAGTCACCTACAAAAGGAGGGCGGTATGTACTTGTCTGATGGTCCAGGTTGCTGATATGATTCTGCGCATGTTCATCATGCAATATCGGACCATCTTTTAATGAATAAACAGACCCGACATCAGGTTTGACTACAGCCTGAGCACACTTGTTCTCTTTGTGGCAGATCATCTTGAAGCCGAGCCCCCCCTCCCCTTCCACCCGCCCCCACGCACACGCTTCGCTGCCTGCCAGGGGTGGAGAGTTCACAAGGCAGCGATGAAGGTCGCCTGGTGCATCAAGGCAGGTCCTCGGGGCCGGACATTATAGGTAGCTCCATGACATGACCTACACTATTAAGATGATTGATGACCTTGTGAGTCAACGTCCTTCTATGCCACGATGTAGTATTACGGATCATGCTGCAGTCTGGTGATGTCGCTTGACCATCTGGACACAATCTATGGCTGGCTTCAATCACTTGAGGGCCAGTAAAGACCTTGGTAGCAGCCTGTCGTTTGTCGACACATGGTCTTGCATTGCCAGATTCCGGCACGCAGGAAGTGGTCAATATCCGAAGGTGGTGGGGGTCGGATTCGAGGAAGGCATGCAGGAGGGGGAGCGTTGGTGAGCCAGGTGAACGGAAAGGAGGGAAAACGGGATGCGGAGGGAGACGGCGTGGGGGATGTCGTGGCTCGCTGAACTTCGATGGTGGATGTATGTATGTATGTCGGGTGTGGCGGTTAAGGGGGCACGAGGCCATCGTCAAGACTGAGCGTCGTCTATGTCGCTTACTAGGCCGAGGTTGCCCATGCAAGGTCTCCTCTCTGTGCCCCGCGCACCATCAGGCAGCTCAGGACCACTTGCATCATCGTGTGTGCTCGGTGACACCTCGGTCCTGCCTCAGGGGAGGAGTTTGCCTTCTCGTGGAATTCCGTAAACAAGCGGATGGCCGAGGGAAGATCGGGCAGAGATTATGATGAATGCAGGCCGGAGCTTCAAAGAGTACGCCGATGGTGGTCCATACCGAGGTCCACCGTCGACTTGTTCGCCCCCTTTGGCAGCAGCACTATCCCAGCACCGCCCCAGGTGGGCCTGCCAACATATCGTCTCGTGCTTCTGCAGCGACAAGCCTCATAGGTTGGAGCGCGCCCCGTGGCTGGGCAGATGCGGCTTGTGCAGGTTTGTGCAGGCAGAGGAGGCGTCATAGCGGAGTGATCGGTCCGGACGCCACCACAACGTCGATCAGAGCAACCACACCACGATCGAGATCTGGGCTTTAGGGCGGCGAATACGCACAGATGATTTTATGGGGGTCGGTATACGGCTGTCCTGCAGGAACAAGCAAGAGTGGGCCCTATTTACGATTCTGTTACCAAAGTACACAGTAGCGCGAGATGGGGGTTTTTTCAGCTTCTCTGGTGAGACTTTCCCATGTTCCGCTGCTGTTGGCTGACGGGCCAATCCCCCGCCAGCAGCGCACCCACGTCATTGCGGGGTTATGGCAGTAACAATAGCAGCAGCCGACCTTGCCCACTCTGCCACTGTACTGGGGCGGGAGGAATGCTCCGTCAGGGATTGGAGCTGTAGCAACAGCCAATACCGTGAGAGGCCGCGATGGGCCCACTTACTCTTTGAGGCAATAATCCTTTCCACGTACCCACAACGTCATCAACTTTCTCAACGCATTCATCCACACATCTATCAAAGATACTAAGAGCAATGCCATGGGAACATATAGAGGACAAAGACAGCAGAACAAAAGCAGGAAGATTATGGGTGGAAGACCATAGGACGTTGATATCAGGCAGAACTGGTAGATTTGATAATTTGATAGGTGGCGGTTACAGATGGGCTAGCTTAGCCTGACCCGACCCGGAGGACTTCATACTGTACGAACTAGTAGTGCATAGTTTTATGCAGAACCATGTCTCTACCTTAATCTAATCAAGCTTGAGGTGAGCTGAGAACCATCGAACGAAGATGAATAGGCAACTCATTACCTTTACCACCGTAGTACATGGTAGGCTCCTAGGTACGTCATCTCACCAAGGTGACCCGCTGTTGCGCGCCTCCTCCTAAGGGGTGACATGATACCGCGGGGTTTTGTGCTCACTCGTCGGATGGAGAAATAACATTTCCCATGCCTCTCAAAGCGGCCTACGTCAGAGGTCACAAGTTCCCCGTCACTACTGCACAAAGCCCCTCCTCCAGGCCCTTCCTGTTACACATGCGGGACCTCCTTCCAGATGGTACTCCAGAAGAATCGGAAACGATGGTCTAGCCCATCCTGTTCTGTCCAATAAAGCTGGCCTCTGGGAAGTTTTGGCTCTAATCTGAAGGCGTGATGGTCCCACCGGGCATCTAAGTACTCTTTTCCATGACGTAGCCTCCTGATTCACATGATAGTCTTTCTGCTTGAGGCAAGAACAACCTGAAATGCAGGCTAGCAACACAACTGCGTATGTGTCACTAGGGAAACGAAGACTCCGAAAGCGTTGAACTGACAAGACAGGCGCTACCACTCAGCCAGGTCCCCTGCCGATCCTCTTTACTACTTAAACCTCTCGAGTCTCCCCTTCAACGTTCAACTTTCTTTTCCCATCAACAACAACTACAAATTTCACCTCAAGATCAATCAACTCAACACAAAACTTCTCACATAACCCAACCCCAACCACCACAATGGATACCATCAAGAACACCGCCAACTACGTCTCTGGTATGTCATCTTGGCTTTCGACATCTCAGATTCACATATCTGTTCATCATGACTGACTTGACCGTTACAGACAAGGCCTCTGAGCTCACCAACTCCGCTTCCAAGGAGACCAACAAGCAGGTCGCCAAGGACAGCGACGTGAGCATCACCGACCGCGCCAAGGCTGGCAAGGACTACGTTGGTGACTCGCTCGACGAGGTAAGCTTTCACAGCAGCTTGAATATCAACACTGCCTACACATAATCATATGCTAACCTACCCGCTCAACTACAGCACAAGGACAAGGCTTCTGCCGAGACCAACAAGCAGAAGGCCACCCACTAAGTGGTTTCTCACTTCGGATACCCACGATATGAGTCTGGATTTTTTGGCGTCTACGGCATGATTTCTTCCTCAGTCATCATGGCTTAGTGGAATGTCTATGGCCTGATGGCGGGTAGTTCAGTAGCGGGAGGGACATGGGATTTTCGCAGCATACCCCTAGGATAGTTTACCTAAACTCGAGAATTCAACTCCTTGAAGAAGCAAGCTTGCTGTCCTCGGAAAATGGTGATACATATTGTGGTGCAATGAGACTTGCTCACGTTGTTTGGTCAAGCTGACTTACAGCATCAGTTGTTGTCTTGATGTGGACGGGCTATTTTCATTTTGTTTTTGTTGACAAAGCCTCCCCGCTGAGACGAACCAAAACAGCCACGTCTCCACTTTGGCCTCGCGATGGGGGAATCTTTTTGACCAAATCGAGGGTCAAGACGCCCACCAAGACAAATATTTGATATATTCCATCATTACCGAAAGCAATTGTTCGAGTCAATCGAGAGGTTGTATTCAATCCTTGTACCGGTGCACGGGCCTCTGGGTTTCGGAGCTGAATCCTCCCGCTTCGGTGGACCCTTACCTTCCAGACCTCCACGACAGTGAGGTCGAGCTCGAGTTTACATTAACAGCACCATCTGAAATAGTATTATCTCGACTGACAGCGTCAAGATTCTACACCCCAACACACTACCGCCAACGGCTTTTCAGCATTTCGAAAGATTTATTTGACGCCTCGCCATGGCCTCCAACGCTGCGACCGGCTCTGGCCTACCTCCAGACCTATTCGATACGACGACCTTGGTATCTCTAGCCTCAACGGTCCTTATCCTAGCTGTGGCCTACGGAACGTCTCTGAAGGTCCTATCTCCAACGACGCCCGGCAGCTACCGGTTCCTGTTCATCTGGCACCTCTTTGACGCCGGAATCCACTTCTTCCTGGAGGGGTCCTTCCTGTATCACGTAAGTTCCAGCCCCGTTTTCCCTACCCTTTTCCTTGGAGACGCGGCGTCAAACTACCGAAATGAGATGTGTGGGAGCTGGTGCTGACCCTCTACTCGTTCTATATCGATAGTGTTTCTTCAGCTGGAAGTCCCCCGATCAGATCAGCGCCCGCGAGGCGTTGTCCGCCTACCCGACACAGCGCGGATACCTCGGACATGACGATCGGATTTGGGGCGCGCAGGCTGGCGGCGACAATCCCTTTGCCCAGTTGTGGATGGTCTATGCAAAGGCCGATAAGAGATGGGCTGGTGCGGATACTGTACGTCGTTGGCCTCCTGTCAAGAAAGACATCTGCTACGTGGATGCTATGGAGACATATTTGTGAAGAAGAAGGGACGGAATCAAATACCTCGGCGAAGGTGCTGACCGCTCGTGACAATTATAGGGTGTGATCAGCCTGGAACTTCTGACCGTGCTCGTTGTCGGGCCGCTGGCCTGCCTCGTGTGCTACGACATCGCCAAGAAGAACCCAAGGTCGAACATCATCATGACGATCATCGCGACGGCTGAGCTCTACGGAGGTAAGGGACCTTCCCTACGCTCCGTGAACAAGACTGATCTTAATCACCTCACTTTTAGGTTTCATGACGTTCTGCCCCGAGTGGCTGACAGGCAACCAGTGGCTGGACGGGAGCAACTTCGTCTACCTGTGGCTCTACCTGGTCTTCTTCAACATGCTGTGGGTGTTCATCCCGATCTACGCCATCTATGTCAGCTGGAATGCCTTCTCGGCAGCTTTCCAGGCGCAAAGTGCCAAGGCTACTGTTAAGAAATCGAAGTAAATTGTCTTTTTCTTCTTTCTTTTTTCCTCTCCCATCGGATCTGGGGGCAGTGTGAAGCCCCCGCTGCATGGAGAGAGGAGGGATGGGTTCAATTCATGGTGGATGACTGATACTTTTCGGAGTCGGGTTTGATGCATGTTATGATGGGATAGGTATTTGTGATTCAGCCGCTTTTGACCAGACTTGTACAGCGCGCATTTGAATATGTGATATGAAGCAATAGATACCATTCTCGGGGCTTTTTTTGTTCTCTTCATGGTCGACAATGTAGATCGCTTATACCGAAACGAGTTTGCCACACCAAAGGCAAATCTGCATACGTATTGGGGATCGTTCTCTCACCGAGTGCATATCGTGTCAAGTGCATTCTAGGCTGCTGGGAAGCACGTCCAAATTGGACTGGTGGAAGCTATCGCGACGCCACTCGCCGTCAACCAGCATGCCGTCCGGCTGCGCGACAAGATAGCGGTGGGTCTTGAAGAGCCAGCCAGCCGATACGCATCGTCCTCACTCGATTCTCGACACTCCCTATGGGACGATTTGATCGTGTCAATTCGTGGCGGATGTCGAAAAGCAAGGCGAGTGTATACATTTCTCCGAGGCTCTTGGCTCACCCTCCAGCAATTTCTGAGAAGGATTGTGGCTGTCTCATGTGAGTTGCACGGAGAAAGGAGAAGGGGGAGGACCGGGACTTGCGCATCCCGCGTCCTGATCATTTCATCATCCTCCCACCTCCCCGCATGCTTTCGGACAGAGAAAGCGGAAGACCAACAAGCCACTTGAAGCTTCTGATCGGGTTTGCGGCATGGGTTTCCAGCTCCTTCTTCTTATCCTGCCGGCTCATTCGGGTTGTTGCGGGTAGACCGCATATGCGGGTGAGTAGGTGGTGGGATATGCAAGGCACTGCAGCATGCAGCCAGCTTCGTTTTAACAGAGTCCCTTTTCCTTCGCAGAGGCTCTGTCGATCAGTCTGTTTGGTCGGCCGCTCATCTCGTGTCTACAACGTGGCTTACAATCGGAGGGTGCCACATCCTCATCGACGCCGCGCGAGGCTGACGAGCAGCTGTGCACAGGGAACATAGAATCTCAGTTTTGATTCTGTCATCACTGACTTCTTCTTCTTCTCCTCCTACTCCTTCGTTCTCCTTCCCAAAGGAGGCTCACATTTTCCGAGCCTCCATTTTCCCCCTCACCGTCACTACACAGACGAAGATGACAAGCGAGGCACAGGCGTCGCAGATGCGGTATCCCGGCACGGCTCAGGCGGACTACTGCTCGGAGACCGTCGCGCAACGCTAACTTCTCTCGAATAAATGACTGATACGCCCTCCGACTCCCTCTCCTTTTGCTCCTACCACGGCATTGTCGAAACATGTGTGTCGTGGAGGGCGTGACGCATGGTTTTGCCTAATCAGCATCCCACACATTCTGGAGAGGAAGGGATGATGTGCTTGGCTTGCGTGAACACCTCCGCTCCAAACGGATGCATGAATCCTTGCTGTCCTCCTCGAACACTCCGCTATTTGTGAAAAAAAGAGGCCGCCCCCCCCCCCCCTCTCGGCTGTATCTTCCGTTCGCATTATTTTCAGGGCCTCCTGTTATTCCGGACGTCAGATGCCACGAGGGAGATCCCTACCATGTCTGGCTTGTGGTTGGCCCGGCTTCCCTGAATTCATGCTTCGAGGGTCGTCCCTTGTCCTCATGCTTCTTTTTCCCCCTTCTTCTCTATCCTTCTCTCCTATCCTCTTATGCTTATGGAGTAGCCTGGCGACTTACCTCATCACGGGGCTAAGATATGTCAAAAGAACTTGGCTTTACTCCGCCACCTACTGTGTTGTCTTGGGGTAATCAATCTATCTGATACTGGCAGCGCGATGAGCTCATGGGGATCATGGTAAGCTTAGTGCGGAAATAAAGCCAAATACAACCCCATCTCCTTCACTCCCTTCGCGGGGTAGGTGTTTGAGATGTGTGCGAGTTGGTCGCGACTTGGAAGGTATATCGACATTTCATAGAGCGCTGGTTGGCACATGAAACGAAACAGCGACTGTGGTTCTATCTTATCCTTCTCTTTTACAATTCCTTGAGTAAAAGAAATGGCTAGTCATTCTTTAGAACGGAAACGTGAGATTGATCCTTGCAAAGACAAACGCGATGAAAACCTTTGAGGTGTGGAAAATGTCTCGCGAGGACGACTTAACATCTGAAGGGTTTGTTGTGCCTATATAGCTCTGTATCAAAAGCAGCAGATCAAAACTTGTCGAGGGCAGAAAGAGAGAGAGGGTTCGCAGATCACACAGCTGTGGCGTATCACGGCGGGAGGGAGAGGGGGGGGGGAGAGAGGGGGGGGGAGAGAGGGGAGGGATCTGCCTTATGGCCTGTCAAGGATCTTCTTCTCTTGATAGAACCGGACGGTGATGAGATGAAAATTGCCCTTGTGTGATTCATGAGGATAAATGCTTCCATGGTGTAAAGGTCCAGTCCCCAGTGAACGAATCTGCGCATTATGATTATGAGTGGCTGATCGCGTTGGTGCCCTCATATTTGCAAGGGCGAAGGACCACAACGCCACAGAACGTCGTGAGACTTCCCCACTGGAAGCTGGAGGCGAGATCCAGCAGCAGCGACTCTCACCAGAGTCTAGCTTCCAAATCTCCGAAGATACTCAACGGGATCGAAGGAACCGTCGAGGTGAGAAGAGGGTGTGAGGAGACCCTGCTTATGCTCTAGGCTGTGTCTAAAGAAAGAAATGGCCGATCTTCAAAAAGGACCATCACTGAAGATCTTCCATAACTTCAGACGAGGATGACTGAGAGGAGTGTAAGCGCACATGAGATGTCGAGGCCACCCCCAGGAGTTTCCATCACAGCCGTACTACTTGCGCCCCCACGAAGAGGGCCATAAGGGGTCGAAGCTAGCTATCTGTCGGAGAATTGATGAGTATGGTTGACAAGCAGATGTTGTCTGAGATAAATGAAAAGTGGCTCCTTGACCAAGATTCTTCCCCACGAGCCTCATAGTCGAGCTCGAGCTTTTAGAGAACTCTAGTTCGGCAGGATAGTGGTGGTCATAGCTCCGCAGAGAGGCAAAGTCTGGAAAGGCCCCGGGTAAACATTCCGGTATCTCGCCTCCCAAAGTCTGAGGGGGGCTCGCATGACAAGTTAGCCGTCTCGTGGGTTACGTGTTATTTCATCCAGCGTCAAGAAACGGTGGCGAAGAGTCATGCATGTTCTGACCTTGCCATACTGAGGAAGGTAGCGTGGGCTCAGTTACGAGCTGGGAGTCGAGAGCTCGGATGAAGATGCTTCCACGGCGGAAACACCAAGGGGCCTGTTCGGCGGTTTAGCCATAGTGAGCATACTTGGACTTCCCGCGCATGCACCATGAGGCATGTCAGTAGGGAAACGTAGGGCTTGGTATTTGGGAGGGAGGGGGTGGTTACCTCCTTGTCCTGGCTAAGGGTGAGTGGGAGTGGTATAGAGGCACGGAGAGGATGGAATCAGTGACGGTGGCCCATGTCCATATTTACCCCACCACCTACCTGCCTGGCAAGCGAGTAGCGAGCAGGGGAAAGATAAACATGTCTGAGGTCTGCAGGGGCGGGCCGTGGTAAATGTCCGTAGGGCGTACGGACAGGCCGGATTTCCTTGGGCGCCAGACACGTCTAGGCCTTGCAAGCTGGGACTGATCGTGATCAAGCAACATGGACCCAATATCCAGGAGCCGATGAGAAAGCCCGAGATATTTGGGTGAAAGACCAGCTGTTGTCGTGATTTCTACTCAGTAACGAACGAGCTCTCCAACCCGATGTAGCTTGGTAAGCTGGACTCGACCTGCGCGGAACATCACCGGCCCTTTTCAAACAGGGGGTGGTGACTCGACGTCAAAGCTGGACATGGGGGAGAATCCCTGCAGCACTGAAGGCGGCATGGCGGCATTTCGCATGCCTTTAGACGGTCCAAGGGCCGTGTGTAGAACTTTCTTACTCGCGATATTGTCTGCTGAAAGACTAACCTCAACAGCAGGGCCCTCATCGCAGCATGGGTGGGTATCACTGGACAGTTTGCGCACAGCCTGCCGTCCCAAGGTCGAAGCTCAGAAGGGAACTCGTGGCTGTGAAGTAAGCTTCTTCGGGACTGAGGCGTATTGTGGAGGCGGAGGAAGACGAGGGGGAGGAGGCAGTGAGCCTGTAGTGCCTGGGCAAACGTTCGGGCTTGATCCTATCCGTTGGGCCGTCAAGGGCTCTCCCACACCATGACAGATGCGTACTTGCAGTGATGCAGCGCTGCATGCAAGGAGGTCGATCTCCCTCCTATCGACGAGGGACACATCAGCAAGCAGCTAGTAGTTTGGAGGCAATCTTGGTCACCCCGCCGCCACTTTGAACCCACCACATCCAGTCGACATGCGCCCTGGGTGGCGAGGCATGGTTTACTACCATAGTACTGCCCACTAGGACTCCATCTTCTGCCCTATGTCGAATCGCGCCATGTTGTGACTCGGCTCGAGAGAGCTAAGCAAGCCAAGGTGTCGTGTGATTTGTGGTGCTGGTTATCCTCCAGGGCATTAGACTCTTTCTCCTTTCGTCATATGCACCTATCTGGTCGGAGAATTTCGACACGCCATGGAAACCATGATGCCATGCCTTTGCCAACGCATACGTCGCCTGCAGGCCTCTGGCGAACAGGAGGGAGCTGTACCGTACTGTAGATGGTAGGACAAGACGCGGGGTTCTAGGCCAAGGCCGGCTTGACATGGGGCTGCTTGACAGGCTGTGGAGAGAGGGGTCTTTGACGTCGCGGCGTCGTTGTGGAGGTGGATTCTTTTTTCCCTCCTTGGGCGGGGCTCCGACACACTTGACGTTGCGACAATAACCGGCAGCCTTCGATCCGTCCTCAGGGCAGGTGGGGCAAAGCCAAGCTCGGCCAGGACGGGGACCAGAGCTGCTGTGAGCCTCAATCACTCAAATTCAACGTCGACACCCTAGTGGTGTGGTAGTGCAGTGCAGGGGTGCCATGCCAGCCTGCTACATGACTTGCTCAACTGCGAAACCCAGGCGTGTGTCATGACTGCCTCACCTCTCCCACCACCCTCAATGCTGCTACCACGCCACACGCCAATCACACACAGTGCCATGCCTGCACGTCTTTTTTTTTCTTTCTTTCTTGTTCCTCTCGTCCTTGCGCGCGACGACCCTCCTTGGTGCGCTGGCGTCTGGCCTACTGTTTTCCATTTTCCCTTTTTTCTTTCTTGAGCCGGTGACGAGTTGCGATTCGTCTCTCTAAACTGCCCCCATCTCAACAGTCTTCGCCGCTAGTCATTGACGTGGACCTGTCAGCTATGAATTTCGGGCTTCATCCTATCCTGACTGTAACGATCTATCGGGTGTAGCCCTGCATGCAGTCTTTCATCTGTGGAAAGTCTGCTGTCGGTTCTCGAACCCTACCAAGTCGGCCCAAGGAAGCTTGATAGATACCCAAGATACAGCCTTGTAGGGTGGGGGAGACCCCTTGATCCTGACCAAATCATCCAATCAGCACCTCTGCTGCTCACAGTCTATCTCGTCCCCTGGCTGGCCCCTGGATCCGGGGTATGTTCTCACAGTCTTGCAACCCCAGGCCAGAGCGGCAGGATTGCGGGCTGCAAGGGCGGGCAACACGAGTCAAGGTCCTCGACTGGAAGCTCTGATGGAAAGACCACCCTGATCGGCTATCACGGGGCCTGGTCTGTGGCCTACGAGAGGACGAAGAGCAAGGGCAGGACTGCATGTATGTGGCGGCGGCACCACAACTTTGTCTAGGCCCTGGCCCGGCTCCGCACCTGTCCGCGCCTGGGGAGCCTCGTCGAGCCTCGTCATGGCTGCAGAGAACACCCCTCGGGTCCTACCAGTACCAGACTTCCTCCAAACCCCCCTACGGCTACGTCGTCCCTGCGAGCGGCCAGTCTGTTTATGGATCGACCATGCGATGTCTTGTATGGCGTATCCAAGGGCCCAAACCTAGCCTGTCCCGTCGATGGCCCACTCGCGCATGTCGTTTCTCCTCTCCTCTGAACACCCCACCCATACACACGCACACACACACACACACACATCCCTCAAAGACTATTTCTTTGCCAGAATAGGTCAGGGTCTGTTTCGACTCATCCACAGTAGGGTCCCTTGCAAGTCTGGTAGAGAAACCCCCCTGGGCGGGAATCCATTATCATCGCCCCAGGACCTTTACCAGTTCTCTTTCCTTCCTTCTTCGACTATGCCTTGAGGGCGGTTGCGATCGTTAATCTTCTCTTTCTTTCTGGCTGGCCTTTTTTTCTTCTTCTTCTTCTTCTTCTTCTTCCTCTGTTTCTTCTACCCTATTCCTTCCCTTGTACACGTATCGTTACGTTTACCAACCTTCACTTCCAATGTCGACACATTAGCGAGATATCCGGGGAGACTCGCGCGGTTTTTCGCCCACTACCCACCTCTTTGAGGTACTAAATTCCCCAGGCATCGGGCCTCCGAGAGAGCTCGACGATGGCAACTATGGGTTCAAGCGAGGAATGGAAGATCGCCCAGGCGGAGGAGATGTCGGACACCGGAGCGACCTACTCCCAGCTCACGACGACCTCGAATGCAACCGCCGCCGCCGAGATCGCCAACGCCCTCCAGTTTGCCGCCTCGAAATCCGTGCGGACGTCGACCGTCATCTTGGCTTCTTTCAATGCGCTGGCTGCGTTTGCTACGGCGATGGGCATAATAATTGGATGCCGGGCTTACAAGAAGAGGATGCAGAGGAGGATGTCTGGACCGTGAGTTGTCTTGGGGCCGTTGCGTATAGAGAAAGCCGTCCGTCCTTCCCCTTTGTCGCTGACACAGGCCAACTAGACCCTCTGGGCTCTTCTATATCCACACTGTTGAGGTCTTTCCGCTCGTCCTATCGCTGGGCATTACAATCCAAAGTACTATTTTTGCCGCCGCACAGTCGGTTGGCTTACAGGCCCTGCTGAGCAGAGGTTGCACTATTACGGCAATTTTCGTGTTGCCCGGTGAGTCTTGTTCCCTTCCCAACTTGACCCGTGGAAAACAGATCACGACAGAAACAACAAACGGAGGGGGGGAAAAAAGAGTAGTCCAGCTAACATCCTTATTCCAGCTCTTTTCCTTGTTCCATTTACACATTTAGTCTTCGGGGTTGAGACGGCTGTTCGAGGCGTCCGCTCGCAGTTCGCTCCGCGCGGGAGATGGAACGTGGCCAAGTGCCTTGCTACCGTGGGCATCTTGTTCCTGGCGGCACTCATCGTGGCCGCTGTTGACCGGACCGAGGACTTCTGCTTCGCATCGCTCTTCTGGTTCGTCCGCAAGTATGCTGTTGGGTGCTTTGGGGTGTTCCTTGGTATCACGGTGCTCCAGTTGATCGTCATCGTGACCATCTTCCTGCAGCTGCACAGGGGCCACATGGTCGATCCTCTGGAGAGGGTGTCTGCGTCAAGGATGATTTACTATCTGTGTCTTGGTTTCCTTTCCAATGTGAGCAACCCCAGTAGCGACCAATGCCTTTTGTTGGGAGACCCCGATCAACTAACTCGACACACTAGGCTTTCATCATTCCGTTCTTCTTCAGTCTCACCTTTTTGAACCAAAAGAAGGTCATTCTCGATACTCTCAACCTATCCATGGCTGCATCTGTTGTCGCCAACGTCAATGGCATAATGGTTACGGGTCTGCACCTGTTCCTCCGGTCACAAAACAAGTCCACGACCGGTCAGAAGTGGGGCGAGTACGACCAGAAGTCTGTGTACGACCGACAAGACCCGCGTGACAGCCACCGCGGCTCGGACCACTCGCTGCAGCCTGTCAACGGGCGTAACGAGACCCGAGGGAGAGCCGACAGTGCCACAACACTGCTTCACGGCGCTGGCCTCGAGGATGGAAGAAGCCTGGCTTCTCCTCAGGGCTACGGTTCCGCTGCACGCAATTCCATGTCGCCAGGGCTTTCCATCTCAGCAGGCCCCCAGTACCCCGAGCCAACCAAAGCACCTTCTGAGGTGTCCCCTTCACAGATTCGAAAGCAGTCATACTCTGTCTTCCCTCAAGGGCCGTCGTCCTCGTCGTCCACAGCAGCTGCAGTACTGCCCGCGACCACATACTCGCCCGTGACATCGAAACCGGTTAGGGACACGTGGAAGCCACCACCAATTGTCAAGCCTTGGATGGGCAGAAGCCACAAGAGAGACTCATCCATCGTCTCGACCGCCACTGTCCAGATTGGCATCCGCCTCTCCAATATGGACGACTACGTACCCCGCAAGAGCACCGACACCGAGGTGGCTGTCGTGACTGACGTCCCGCCGGTGCCTGACGTGCCACCTCTGCACATTGCCAAATCCTCCCCACTGACCGAGGCGGAGACGCAGTCTCCGTCGGCCTCGGGCTCTGGCAGTGCGGGCATCGTCCTCGAGAACCCACCAAAGAGACGATCCATCTGGGAGGCGAGGATGAAGACCCTACCGCCCACACCCGACTTTTCTCAGGGGAGTAACGCCAAGCCGACAGAAGCCGGGGTGGCCGGCGGCAAGAAGAATGAGCAGGATCTGGCAACTCTCAGCCCTGCAGTCTACAGACCCCAGGAGGATTTCCCACAGAGGAGCCCATCTGGGAGGTCTCTCAAGAAGCTACCCAGCCCGAAGGGCGTGGGCTTCAACACGCCGACTGGGCGTAGTGCCGGAAGCGAAAACACTCCCGTCTACGCACCCCCACGACCAAGCGGCAGCACAGCACCAACGACCTTGTCCAACCAGGAGGTCAACTGGATCTAAGTCTATCCTAATACTTTTTATGAACAGGACAGACAGGCTCTTGTCTTATGTCAAAACACACATCCTAAAAGAACTTCATGAATAAGGCAGACAAATGCCGCGCACACTCGTTCCCTGGTGGCCTTGGACTGAGTCCATGTAAGAATTGCTGCGATTACATGCGATGACGAAAGGGAAGAAAACAAAACACAGCATGATGAAAGGGGATGACGACGCAATCATGCTGGATCCCGAGGAAGATGGGGGCGGAAAAATGAGAAGAGAGAAACGATGATGATGGGCGCCATTAGAGCAAAAAAACAAAAAGAAGGTTGTCTGTTGGAGAACCAACCTGGCCTGGCCGGATGGAAAGGAACCTACACGAGTCAATTGGCCTTTGGCGTTATTTGGATAATCTTCTACTACAAGCGGCACTGTACTATTACCACCAGGACGCCCTCCCCCTATTTTGTGTTCTTCCTTTATTTGCTTGTTTTCCTTCACCCCCTTTGTTGTCATGAGCAAGAGAGAGAGAGAGAGAAATGGGAGAGGGAGAGAGGGAGACCGGGAGAGATGCCCAGGGAGGGAGAGAGAGAGCAAGCAGGGACGTGAGGTATTACGGTTGCGAGCATATATCCCCGGAGAGCAAGACTTAGCTTTATTTGCGTGTCGTGGTGTCAACAAACAGCCATTCATTCGCGAGCACACACACACACCGCCCTCTTTCTATCATTGGGAAACGTGGCTGGTGAGAAGCAAGCAGTCTGAAAGCACAGAGGTAGCTTATGGTCGCATCTGCAAGAGCTGGTTCCCCCCCGGGGGCGACCACCCTTGCCGATGCGACCTGAAATTGAATTCAATCAAAATCACATTTGAATGCCTTAACTGCAAGAGAGAGAAATCGCTGATTCTGCCTGTGCATGCAATGATTATCTACCACATACAACCATGACTACCGTAAACTTGATTTAAGGATCGAGTTGGTGTAAAAGCTGGACCACCTCATCAAGACTCAAAATCCTACCAGGCACTCACTTCTTCTTTCTCGACGACCACGACTGGCCAGCAACAAGCTTCCTGTCCTCCCACTTCTCCCAGCCGGCCTGCGACAGGTCCTCGCTCACCACCAGGTCCCTGACGCGCAGACCCCGTGCGACAGGAGACTCCAGCGCCCAGCTCAGCAGTCCCACCTCCCTGACGACATGTGTGACGGCATACCAAGCCACCGCCGACAGGGTCCCGGCCAGGGTTCCCGCGAGAACCTGTTTGACTGTGTGGTAGCCCAGGTAGACCCTGCTCCACGACACGGCGGCTGCGACGGCCAGCACAAAGACGCTGGCGACGGCGCGCTCTGTATAGGACCAGGGCCGGTGGGCATATGTCTCGACCATGACCCAGTCTGCACCCCAGGCACTCTTGTTCGTCCTCCTCCTCCTCCTCGTCCTCGTCCCAGCGGCTGTCCCATCATCATCATCACCATCATCTCCATCCCCATTCTGTTCTTGCTCCTGCTCTTGTCCCTGTCGTGATGATGATGCTGCTGCGGATCGTGCACCACCACCACCGCGAGGTCCATACCCGTGATCCGTCCAGCTGGGCGTATGCCGCATCAAGAGAAACAAGACCATAGCCACGGCCCAAAAGGCGACAAACTGCGCATGGCTGCTGGGCATGCCGTACCCCTTGCCGGTGCGGTGGATGCGCTCGGGCCGCTCCTCCTTGATGATGCGCTTCAGGGCAAAGTTGACGGCCTCGCAGGCGAGCTGGCCGGCGAACATGAGGCCTACCTCGGCCTCGCGGGTGGACCAGATCAGGGTGACGTAGACGACGCAGAGGGCCTGGGGGACGAGGGCGAGCCAGGCGCAGAGGTACGAGATGTGGTCGGAGGGGTCCTGTGGAAAGAAAAAGAAGAGTGAGTGAGTGAATTGGGAAGAAGACAAGTCGACAATTGGGGGGAGGGGGTTTAGAATGACAGATGTTTGTGGAGAAAGAGGCGGAGGAGGGGGAAAGAGGGCGTGGTAAGACAGAGCTAGAGGGGATTGAGACGCCTTCTAGGAGGCCTGTTCTAGCGGTACACTTACATAGTAGACGTGGGTGAGGGAGAGAGACGCCAGAGGAATGTCGTCGGCCATCGTGGCTTGGGGGTTTTGTTTCAAGGGTTGAGGAACGGTTGGTCGATTGGGGAGGGTGAATGCATTGCTTCCTTGGCCCTGGGAACCGGTGAGGAAAGTGGCCTGCCTATGAAAGGGAGGGAGGGGGAGAGAGAGAGAGAGAGGTGAGGAGTGGGAGGAGATGTGCAAAAAAGCTGTAAGCGTACTTGGGTTTTCTGATGAAGCTCGAATTCGAAACGTCACAACAACGACGTATAGGTTGTTGTTAACTTGGAAAAGTGACATCGTTGTGGCGCACTGTGGCTAGGGGAATGTGGCGGGTGGGGTAGCTATACGCCTGCTCGCCCCCCCCCCCCCCCTCAAAAAAAAAAAAAGGAAATAAGAAAACAAATAGGCAATAGAAGAAAAGATAGCACTCGAAGATCATGTGGAATTTGTGTAGCAATGTATCGCATCAAGTCATATGATGGCCTTTATTCATCTGAGCCAGTCTCCGAGCCAGAGTCTGCTGCTGCTGCTGCTGCTGCTGCTGCTGCTGCTGCTGAACCTCCTTCCTGGCCCTTGGCAGCCATCTTCCTTTCCCTCTCCTTGGCCCTGCGTTTCAATTTCTTCTCCCTATTGAGCCTCTTCTTCTTCTCCATCAAGTGCTCCTCTTTAGACATCTTGTGCTTCTCCTGTGCCTCACGCTTCTCCTTCTCGGCCTTGATCCTGATCCGCATGGCTATCCTCCGCTTCTTGCCAGGCCGTTTGCTCTTCTCTGCCTGCCCTTGTTCGTCCTTGTCGTCTTCATCTGCAACACCATGTTGTATAGGCTGGATAGATGTGATCTTCACATCATTCAGACCCCCTCTCGCGGCTTTCCCCAGGGGGCGCACCATCTTGATGACCCTCCATGGCCTCTCCAGGCCCCAGGCCCGTTTCCTCGCGCCCAGCAGGATCTCATCCCCCGTCAGGGCCGAGCAGCGATACCTCTCCAGCTGCTCTGCCGTCGGCTCCCCTGCCACATAGTACTCGATGGGCCGCCGGGGCACTGTGAACCCACCTTCACCCTGCTCTGCCTCCCCGTCATCAGAGGCAGCCAGGACCACCTTTGACGGCGCAGTGGTCTTTGCAGAGGTGGCGAAGAGCCGAAACTCAAATTCCTCCTCGTGTTTCTCCTCCTCCTCTGGCGGCGCCTGTCCCTCAGCAACTGCTGGTTCTGAGGACTGCCTGGGGTCGGGCGTCGGGGCAGACAGGTCGAGGCCCAGCAGCCTCGAGAGCCGCTCGTTCAGCCTCGCCCGCACCTCGTCGTCTTCCTTGTCCTCCTCCTCTCTAGCAGCGGCGTCATCGCCCTGGCTGTGACTTCCGGCATCAGAGGACGAGCTGTACAGCTCATCGCGCCGTACCCTAGACCATGCACGTCTGTTCAGCCCACCATGACTCCCCTTTCCTGCCCCAATCAATTACCCACTAGGAAACACGGGGACCTACCTCTTCGCATTCGGGACCTCGAAGGGTCCGGATGACATTGCAGTAGTCCGACTCGACCAACACACCCCTCACTCTCTCGCCCTTTCTCTCTCTCTCTCTCTCTCTCTCTCTCCCTCTCTTCTCCACCTCCGAGATATTATCTCGCACCTCGGAGCTCCGGGCGCCCTTGTGGCAGGGGTTTCACGGGCCAGCCCTGGTCAAATAAGGATGGGATTTGTGGATTTTATGTGACTGGGTCCCCTTGATGCTTACGACTCGTTTTACTCCTGGATCTGTTGAGGTTTTGGTTTGTATGAAAATCTTGGGTGTTTTGGATTCAATGGTTGATGCATAGGGAGATTGTAGGTACGTTGGATGGTTCGCGGAGATTTGGCTGCCGTTGTTCCCAACGAAGGAGAAGGAACGTCTGCAGAGATTCCTTTCCAGGGTAAGGCAAGGATAGCCATGTCGTGAGATATCGCACAGCTGCCACCAGCTGTGAGGTATTGGGAGACTGCTGACCTAATCATGTACAAAGAACACGGCCCCACCAGAGCCACTAGGTATTGGATACAGGACGGCCTTGGGCCCCCAACTTGGAAGGTTCAGCTCTCACTCACACCGCCAGCTCCCCAGCTGTTGTGTCCATCCAATCCATTATCAATCAACTTGGTCATCCACAATTCTCTTTTCTCATGACATTGCCTGTCTCTTTTGATGCAGACAAGGTTAGGATATGGCCCACTCTCGGTCTATAATCTGTTCATTTTCTTTTTTTTTTTCTCCATCAAGGATGAAACCGAGCTCGACATTTCCCTTGCAGCAGTCGTGTTCGCGATGGTCAATGGGGGCCATGGTCCGAAGCCTCCTCACCCAACCGTCATCCTCCCCCCCCCCCCCTCTCTCTCTTTTCCTTTTCCCCTCTCCATAACCTCCCCTGCTGAAGGTTATTTTTACTTTTTATGTTTCTTCACTTCCTTACCTGGCCTCCCGTCGAGTAAAAAGCGACCTAACAATGTGACTTATGCAAAGCGGAACACAAACGGCACACACGCCCAACCTTGACTCTCCTTCCCCATTCCTCCTCCGCCTTACTCGTGTTTGGCCCCCTCCCCCCGGCCTTCTGCATGATGAGATAAGACGAGACAATCATTGTACTCTTGATAGGGTGTTCCAAGGGAGAGAGGGAGGGGGTTCTGGACATGTACTATGCATGCAAGGTATTCCAACAATAGCGCACGGACGACAGACAGATGTGTTTAACTTACCCCCCCTGCTTGCGATACCAACTCCGAAGCTACTCCGCCTCCACATCCCGTCCGGGGGCGGTCCGGAGAAGCAAGTCCTCGGCCCCGAGCATGGAGCAAAGAGAGAGGTGGTGAGAGGAGGAGGCAATACTTGGGAACCACTCCACACTGTGGCCAAAAGGACATTGGCCGTCTATTCTACAGGGTGTTCTTGTAGCGGCGGGTCCGTGGGCGTGTACAGAGAGGTACAAGTTATTTCCCCTGGCTTTGACTTGGGTCGTTGGACCCGACCCCTGGATGCTGTTGTCTGTGCGTGTGCGCGCGTGAGTGTGCTTGTTGGCGTGCCTTGAAGTTGGTGACAAGGCTTCAGCGACGGCTACGGTAGAAGGAGAAGCAGCAGGGCTGACGAGGCTCACAAGGGACGAGTAAGAGAGCACCAGGTATGTTCATTTGGTAACCTTCCTATTCTGCCGCAGCAGCGTCCCTGCGGGATACAGGAAGAAATGGCCAGCCACTTGTCCCCTCGGGACATCTCCCGCGGCTATTCACCAAGTACGGCGTTGGTGATGGTACGCCTGCTGTTTCTCTTGCACCCGATGCTCGACAGACAGCCTTGGTCCTCTCATTTGACCCCTGGTGGTTCTCTCCTCCACCAATTGAGTCCCTCTGCAACTAGAAACACAAACACACAGACATACCACAGCGGAAAGAAGCAGACGAAGCAGAAAAAACACACGTTGTGGCCCTCCGACTGATGATGATGATGATGATCGAGCCGTGACCGGATATCCGAACAATGGAAGACTTGACAAACGACGTATATATCTCCAGCGGCAGTTACCTGATCTTTCCCATTATTTCCCCTCCCACACTTTCCCTTGACCCCCTCTCCTCCTTTGCTTTGTCGGCCTCCTCTTTCCCGCAACCCGCTGTTCCCTTCTCTATCATGGAGTAATTCAAACACCATTGTGCATGGAATGCATGCATGCTTCCTGGGTACATTTCCCGCCCAGGTCCCTTTGTCCCTAGATTTCTCCCTCAAGGAATATTCACAAAAAAAGCCTCGGTGCCGCAAGGGATACCAGAATGTCCACCTTGAAACGCGCACCTAAAAGTCCGCCGGGTATGCAGCCTTTCCCTATGTTTGCTCATGCACCTCGTCATGTTCCTCGAGAGAGAGAGGAAATGGGACTCTCCACCTTCTCTGCCCCCCTCCCTCCTCCCCCCTCCCCCCCTCTCTCTCATTCCCATCCATTCCTCGTGTCCCTCCAAAGTGTGGAAAAAGAGAAAGAAAAAGAAGCCGAAGCAAAATAAACGAAACATCAAACAAAATCCGTCGATCAAATTGGTATCCGAAATGAATGGGTTGGGGGGGGGGGGGGTTGAATATGAAGATTTCGCAATATATAGCACGAAAGCAAACGGGAAAGGGGTTTGCAAGTATGCCCCTCCCCGGAGGCCTGGTCGCGCCAGACGAAGGAAGAAAAGAAACGAATTAAAAGAAGCAAAACAAGGGAGGCGTCAACCAGCAGAGAATGCCCAACGCCAGCCTGTGCGCCGGTTATTTCATGTGGATTGTGATTGAGCGTGCAAACAAAATGTGAGGGCATGGAAGAAAAACGCGCAGCCGTAGGTATTCTCGAAGGAATTATGTGTACAAAAAAAGGCGGTGGTCTCCTATGTGTGGGGGATTTGCACAGGTCCGAAAGGAGGCTTCAAAGTCGGGCACGGCTGGTGGTGTTATGTTTGAGGGATGAATGGTTCGGTTGGCATGTCAGGCCGAATTTCCCACGTCTCTTCCTTTCATGGCACATGAGAGAGGAAAGACAGAGGAAACAGAGAGAGAAAATTCTCTGGTTCAACCATAGTTGGCAGTCCTCTCTTTTCCCACCCTCTTCCCCTCTCTTTGGTACGTCTCCCCCTCCGTCCCTGCATCTTTCTGGAGCGAGAGAGACTTTGACCGCCACTTGGGATATCGCTACCCCTCGTTGTGGTAGCCAAATACCCCTTCTCGCCTATCGCTGTGCTGTCTGCCAACACAGCATGGTTCAAGTTTGTGCGTTGGTAAGCCCTTACGATGTGTTCCACGAGTAGTGGCCCACCGCCTGGCCGGGATACACAGGCGCCGCAGGAGCATGCGGGTCGTTCTTGACGCCTGCCGAGGTCTTGTACTGCTCCGTCGAGTAAGAGTACGAAGGCCTGTGCTCTCCATTGGCATAGGTTGGCGCGCTCGACTCGCCCGCTGTTGTGGTCCACGAGGCGGAAGGGGGATAGTAGTCCCGCGGGGGCTGGGCGGCCGTGTTGGACGACGGCGCGGCGCCGCTGTCGGGCGCGGCGGCCGAGGTCGAGTAGGAGTGGTGCTGCGAGGTGCCGGGGCTGATCTCGGCCGAGGTGCTACTTATGCTGCCGTAGGCGGGAGGGCCGTATCGGTACTCGTTAGACGACTCGGTGCTCGATATCGACGCGGCGTGGATCGATGGGTGGCTCGGGTGGCGCGGGCTCTTGGACGGCCGTGGGTTGGCGTCGTCTACGTACCGTGGCACGCTGAGGCCGCTGGTTGCTGTGGCGGTGGCGGAGAGGGGTGCCGGCGCTGTGGACGTCTGGACGTACGAGGCATACTGCGTTCGTATTGGGGGTGCTTGTGACGACGCGCCTGCTGTGGCGTGCTGTCCTGGCTGGTCGCTGGAGACCATGGACAGCTGCATGGACGGCATCGAGGTGGGGAGGTGAGACGGCAGTTCTTGGGCTTCGGTGGCGTATCCTGGTGTGCCCGACAGTGGCAGCTTCTGGTATGGGTCGGATGCGATGGTCGTCGCTGGATAAGTCGATGGGCCCGAGGCGGGCGCCATGTTTGGATTCCATGATGTTGGATATGAACTGCGCCGCTGTCAGCTCATCAAAAGTTCGACCACGTTAAATCATTTTCGATCAATTTCACTCCTCCCCACCCCCCCCCCTTTCTTTCGACAAAACAAGGATGAGACAGAGAGAGAGAGTCCCATCAAGTCTCTTCCCCGCCTATCACGCTTGTCCTCCTCCTTTCCATCCTCCTCCTTTCTGTGGGTTCGGCTTCATGGGGAATTGAGACAACTTACTTTGATCGCATACTTGCCATCGGGCTTGCTGGCATCTTAGTGGGTGCAGTAAAGGTGAAGGCAGTCCGCGGTAGCTCTATATTCATAGGCCTTCCTTTGGAGTCCTGAGTCTTGACCGACAGAGGTCCTGCCACGATCCCCAGTCCCGTCTCCACCAGCGCCTGGCCTCTCGACCCAGCGCTGGAGCCCAGGAGCGGGATCTCCTTTCTCGCCTGGAAATTTCGAGGGCTGCGTCCTCGCACGACGATTGGTGCCGTCTGTGCCTCTGAGAGCACGGCCTTGGCGCCGTTCGCCAGGGTTGCCATCACCTTCAGGTGCACCACAAAGTGCTGCTGGAGCTCTTTTCTCCTTCCATTGTTTGCCGTCGCACTGGAAAGAAAAAAAAAAGAGACTCTTTGTTAGCATACTAGTTCTCTCTTTGTCTCCCTCTTCTCCCTCTCTACCGCTTGCTTGCTGGTCATGAGAACAGTGTCCTGCAGGATCAACAAACAGCAATAACAACGCGTTCTTCTTACATTCGAAATTGGAGACGTCGCCACCCGACTGGGTAGACTGCGTACTCTCCCTCAGACTCGCTCCCGTCGTCTTGGAAGGGAATGAGCGGTAGGGACGATGGCTCCTGGTCGGGGGCCTGGTTGACCTCTGGCGAGTTGGGTGGAGGCGTCTTCCAGGGAATCACAATCAGGCGCACGGGATGACCGTCGACGGACTCAATGGCTGAGATGGTCACCTCGGTAGCGCTGACAGGCACGGTTTCTCCCGTCTCCGTGATGACAGACATTGGGCCCCTCGGCGTGATCAGCGAGCCGCTGACCTGGAAGAGGTTCCGCCGGTAGCAGGTCAACTCCGGCTGCAGCACGCTGCCGTCGTTGTTGGTGGTGGGCATCTCGGACAGGAAGAACATGCCGTGCAGCTGGGCCGTCAGCTCGAGCTGCTGGATGCGCCCGTGGCCGTCGAGGATGGTGAGCTTGTCGGGCACCTTCCGGAACGACAGGAGCTTGTGGTCGTGGCCGACGCCGAGCTTGGTGCCGTCGTCGCGCAGGTCCTGCACGATCTCCTGGTACGGGGGCTGCTCGGTGGCCGAGTACGGCCTCTTGAGGCTGGGGAAACTCTGGTGGCTCGTCAGGGAGTGCTGTTGTGCATGACGCTCGTAGGGGTCAGCGGCCGAGTCGTCCTGGGAGTAGCGGCTGTATGAGGAGTACTGCGAGTGGTGGTCCACGCTGCCCCAACCACCCTGCCTCGGCCGCCCTGACTGCGGCGAGTTCGAGCCCGTACTCGAGAGCCCTGCGTCCGCCGCGTGACTGGGGCGGCTTGTCGACATCTGCACCGGACTGCCGTACCAGAGATTGTGTTGCGACGCCGGCTCCTTCAACTCTGCCATGGTGACTGCGTAAGTTGCGGTGCACATGGGAACATATCTCGCTCAGCAGGAAGAATTGCTGAACCTCTTCTTCTTCTTTTTTTTTGGGGGGGGGGGGGGGAGGGTTTTGTCTTCCTGGATCTGTGGACTTTGGTTGGGAGAGTCGACGCGGTCGTAAAGAGAAAACAAGAAGAAGAAAGGCTGGCCTGGGGGGGGGGGTATGTGTTATAGCACGCCGTCGCCACCTGATGTCCCACGTCCACTAAAAGGTTGGGGAAATATATCGGATTCAGCCACACACACAGACACACACATAGAGACGGCCCAAGCGCGACCGTTACAATAGCTGATTTTCCTTCTTCTTCTTCTTCTCCTCCTTCTCTTCCTATAGGAGAACCAAAGCTGGACTCGCCACGCAAAGTTCGAGGGGATCTGCGACTTGTATACAGCCTTGTCGCCCAGGCAGTTGAGACAGGATGAGGTTGAATGTTCCCAACAGACGAAACGGAGAGATGTAAGTTAGCATGGAGTGAACGAGTGGCCCTACCAAAGGTCTGCAGAAAACAAGTGGTACTTGTATGGAAATGATACGGTAGATATTGGTGGGGGGGAGTTTTTATGAAAGCCGCCGGCACTATCCTGGGGGTGGAGCAGGGCCGATGGGGCCAGCAGCGGCAGCAGTAGCAGGCTCTCTCTTCTCTCCTCTTTTCTCTCTCTCTCTCTCTCTCTCTCTCTCTTGCTCTTTTGCTCTCTCCCTCCCATGCACACCCACACCCACCACACACACACACACACACCCACACACACACAGACGGGCAACGGGCGGCCACGGTCAGGGGTGTATGGTGATTGAGGAGCCAGGAAGTGGATAACAGGGGCAAGTAGTGAGTTCTTTGACGGTGGACCGCACTTAGGGCCAGAGATGCACACAATCGAGGGCAGCTCTCCTGTGTTTAGTATACTGTACAGTACGTATCCGTATGTACATGTAACCGTACAGGGAAGGAGAAGGGAGGCCGCGGCGATCTGGCAGGTGAGCAGCAGGGGGTTGCTGTGAGTTGAGATACTTACGGCATATGGAATACAACGTGAGCCCACCTTACTATGGAGGTCGGCCGGACGGACATGTACATCGCAAGGTCTGCCCCTCCCCTTTCCTCCACCCTCCTCTCTGGCCAGGCGCCTTGTCGCGGTACTATGGTACCAACTTTCTCTCCCATAGGGTGCGCCAGGGTCTTTCAAGATACTTCTTCTCTCCTGGTTGAAGAATTAAAACAATTAAAAGTTAGAGAAGTCAGATGGCTGGTACCTGTAACAACAAATTCTCCAAGAAGACTAGCACTTACCCTTGAAATAAATAAAAAATTAGAAAAAAAAATTGCGGCCGACTGCCCTGAACGTTTGACCGAAGGCGGGCAAAAAAAAAAAAGTGGGAACTCAGCAGCAGCAGCAGTAGTGACAGCAGTAGTAGCAGCAGCAGCAGGAAATATTGATTGCATCAGGGGGCCTTTGGGGCGCTAGGGGATCCGAGCATAAAGTTTGTGAATTCATTGGACTGGCCAAACACTTGCCGTCTTCCCTGAAATGTTCTGCCGAAGGATCAAGGAACTCCTGGCTAGTGGGCCACAACCATGCAACCCAGGACCTGGGCCAGAGTGGATCGGAGATAGATGCAAGACAGAGCTCACCCGCGCGACCCCTCCAGCAGGCTCTGTCTGGACCGACCGCGTCGCATATAAGACGGTATCGTATCTGCACGACGAGGGGTAGAAGACGTGCCGCGGAAATTACCAACGAACCCCTCCCCTCTTCTCTCTCTCTCTCTCTCTCTCTTTTGGACGAGACGAGGAGCAACAAAAAGAGGAAGAAGAAGAAAGACGGCCTGCTGCTGGAGGATGTGCTGCCCGTCTGCAACCCGGTGGGAATCGGATGAAAAGGTGGAAGATTGGCTTGACGCTCTCCTCCCTCCTTTACTTTCTCTCGGTCTCTCTCTCTCTGTGTGTGCGTGCGTGCGTGTGTGTGTGTGTGTGTGTGTGTGTGTGAGAACTTTCTCCAGTGGCTCTTTGCTCTCTCTCTCTCTCTATCAGAACCAACTCCGGAAGGCTGGGGTCCTTTCGCGCTCATGGAGCTCGGTGCAGTTCCTGGCCCCCCTTGTCCTTTCGAGGAGCGCAGGGGTATGTGATTCGAGCAAAAAAAAACCCGACAAGCTCATCGAGGCTGCAGGCCCGCCAATTTTCTCGACGACCGTTGGGCCAGACGGGCGATAGGTGATCAAAACGGAATGGTATGGCGGGCATGGGGGCCGGGCAAAACAAAATTCGGTTCACGAGATTGCTCAAGACCAGGGGCTTCGAGTAAGAGGGTGGGTGATTGTTTTCTCGGTGGAGAATTGCAGAAAAATAGGACCAGGGGTGGCAGTCAGGGGTGTCCCAGTAGCTGTGTCTGCTTTATGAGAGTGTAAGTTGAGAGGGTACATGCTACAACTGTGGTACTACTCCGCACCGTAGCATGGCATGTACGTACCGTAGTACTATGGTAGTTAGTAGTGAGTGGTAGCAGCGGCAGCAGCCAGAGCCGGCTCCTCCTCTTTTTCTCTTCTCCCACCCCACCCCCTTTCTCCCCAATCCAGTAACAGAGAAGGGAGACACTCTCCTGATGAGGCCAGATAGGTCGCACGGTAATGGTCAAGCCTTGTTATGTGCGTGTACACACACACAGTATATTTATATGTGTATATATACCTCAAGACTTAATGTCTTAGACCTCGGGTTATAGCGGCACCGTTCTGTAGGTGCGATGGAGGTTCGGAGACTGCGCAGCAGAGAGACAAACAGAGAGACTGCTCATGCGCCTCTCCATGTGCAGACGAGGCACTGCACATGCTAGGGGTGGGATAAGAAGAACATGACCTTACTGAACAACATACCGTGCTGCCATCGCACTGTGTGTGTAGGGTACATGGACTATGGCCCAGCAGCACCGCTTAGCAGGATCTGGTCCTGTCCTTGTGAGTGACACGGGTATGCAGCTTTTGGCAGAGGTTAATCCGACACACCCTGCCCCAAAATTCGATGAGCGGGTGCAGCGTGACCATTATGGCAGACACAGGCGACGGCAGAGAGTGTTTGGAGGTCGCATACCTCGCGAGGGCCCGCACCCACCTCGGCTTTTGGAAGGGGTTTAAAGGGGGGGGGTGTAGGAGGGGAGATGAGACGTGAGGCATTCGAGCCAATTGTGCGAGACCACCAAACCATGAGCAGGCTCATTCTTCGACCTCCCAAAAGGGGTCACGCACAGCTCAATGCTGCCGACCTCGTCTGTGTTTGCACATCTCAAGGCTGGTGGGCGGGTGTAATGTCTGTGCGATGGAAAGGCGTCAATCAACACACACACACACACACACGCCGCCCCGCCTGGCTTTTTTTTCTGTCTGCTGGTGTCGGCGGCTTCCATTCTTGACTATGGCGATTGCACACAACAATCGAACGAGTCGATAAGTTATCTAGTGAATTTCCATCACCCTGTGCGCACTACTTGCTACCGCTCTGACAACCGAGTGCTCGAAGCGTCAAATATCCGAAGTCGCAAGCGAGGTGGGGTTTGGACGGCCCCGCATGCCCGCCTCGTACTGAATGACCTGCTCCACCAGTTGAATGTTTTGAAACCTGGGACTTTCCAACGGTAGCAAGCCGCTGCTCTTGGCCGCGCCGACGTCTAGTTTCCCATTGTCCTTGGAAAGGGTGCATGAGCTAGTAAGGGCAAATGGGCTCGACGTTCCGAGCCTAGACGTCCAGGCACGCAGCAGCCGAAGGGGTAAGACGCGCCTCTGGCCTGATGAACGGCCGCCTCTAGCAGACGACATTCCAGAAATGGACAAGGGCATGGCCGAAGAAACGCCTGCAGCCACGGCCCACTTCCCTAGCCTGAGCAGGCCGCATTGAACGGGCCATGGGGGGGGGGTGCCCCCTCCCCCCTAGCAAGAATGGCACGCACAGGCGGACAGGCTGCTCGTTGGTCGCCATGAAGGAGAAACAAAAAAAAAGGTACCCAAGTACCGTCCTATGCGAGGGGTCATCGCAAGAGAGGGGATCAGTGACTACATCTGCAGCAGCATGCAGCATGCAAGCATCCGAGCTGCGCCTACTGGATCGAGTCCCGCCAATTCTGCTGTGCATGCAAAAATTCCTTAAAAAGACACAAGTGACGTGCTGTGGTCGGCGCCTGGAGGACCGCGAGGTGCCGTGAAATAAGCCTCGCCACACAGCTCTCTGCGGCACTTCTATGGAGATGACGTCCGGTAGCAGATAGACAAGCTGCATATGGCTATGGATGGGGCAGCCACTATCAGGTTACCAATGAACCAGGTCTCCAAACCAAACCCCCCAAAGGTTCAGGATAGAGATCATTTCGCTGCCGTGCACCAGAATGGTCGATTGCCAGACGGACGACTTTTGAGACGGTGCTTTTGGAATAAACTGAAATCAAGGGTCAGATACAACCAAAGAGTGATAGTGGATGCGAGCGTGGATGTTGGTTGCTCCATTACCCCTCAGCCCGGCGTAATTCGAATAGGCCGGATGGGTGATGTCGGCCCTTCGCATGCATCTCTGTTTCTTAGATTGGTATCAAAGATGGGAGCCTGGCCCGCGCAAATACACCCACCCACACCCGCGCACCCGTGTGGTGGCTGAAGGCGAGGTCTTCCTTCCCGGGGAACCTGGCGACCACTACATGCAACGGATGCTAGCATCGTAGATCGTCCAAATCCTTCGAGTGTGCCTGGCATGGGAGCTGAATCCCATCACGAATAGATTGGGGGCCAGGCGGCCCAAGAGTGTACCCCAGCGGCGCTTGGCGGCAAAGGAACCACCCACGCGAGCCCACAGACGCTGGGTTGGTAGGGGATTGCGGACTCTCGCAGATCGTCAGAGCCCCTTTTTAACGCATGGGAGCCGTTGGAGGGAACAGGATTCTGCTGCCAAGAGACAAGTCGAGGACGTCACCTCTTTCTCCTCCTCGTC